TGAATTGACCGAGCGTCCATGGCCCTTGAACGTCTGTAGACACTTCCCAGTGCTGGCGTCCCACAGCCGTACGGTGCGGTCGTGAGAGCCCGAGGCCAGCTGCCGCCCGTCGGGGGAGAACACCACTGAATTGACCCAGTTTTCATGGCCCTCGAGCGTCTGTAGGCAAGGGTTCCAGTTATATAATATTCTCGGGAGTGAAGAAATCCACTGGGGTATTTCTTGCTTGAAGGTTTGTCGAACAAGACTTTCTTCTGGAGAGAATATTAACGCGGAGCAATATACCTGAAGGGGTGCCTCTTCGACTGCTGTACGGCATTGACGAAAGACCCGAATGGCATCGTGTACGAAACTATTATGATTGAGAGCAGTTTCGGATGACGATGGCCTTGTTCGTTCTCTCTTAACTATCTGTATGAAACCTTTAATGCTGCGAGGAGGATCGGGTACTGACGACTTTGTTAGTTTCTGCTGAATCATCCGCTCTAGGCTATATAGCCCATTAATTCCTCGATCAACTTCGCCTATAAGGCTAAGGGCCTCGAACCAATGAAGGAGGTGCTCAAGAAGAAATCTGTGAACGCGACCTTGATCCGAGAAGTACTCTTGATAAATGGGGTCATCAATGAGGTCATCGTCGAGATATTTTACGAGATGATCTATCCAAAAGGAGCAGACATAGCTGATTGACCGTAGGTGAGTATTGATTGAAGCCGAGTGTGCCGGTGCGCCAGGGTGCCTGAGATTACACATGTCTTTTCTCAGAGTCTTTAGCATGGAGTCTAAAGAACGACGCACGAGAAGGCCGTGCTCCTTTTGGACACAAGTAGAAAAGAGTTTCGGAGCGCCGCCAGTAACCAGATAGTCTTTGGCTGATTGATGAATAAAATAAATGATGCCTCTCCGAACGGTAACAAAGGAACCACAAAGCTCGATCAGATGTAAAAGGTCACTAGCCTGAAGCTCTGACGGAAGTCCCGCCGTGGTGATCAGTTCTTCCATCGATAAAGGTCGAAATGTCAGCGTCACGGAACGAAGGATGGCCACACAATAATGGCGGCCCTCTTCAACCTGAGTTTGAAATACCTGATCCAGCATTCGTGAATAGAGTTCTGGTAGGCCCGGTGGCAGATCCTGTAGTGTGGAGGGTGCTTTCCATGCAGGGACTTTGAGAAGCCTTTTGCAAGCTAAAGCTACCCAAAGAAAAGTCGAATCTGACTTGGCGACTAAGTCTTTCTTAACCATCTCTTTAAGCTCTAAGCTGTATGTGTTTTTCTTTGCAAGTTCATTCGTCTTTTCTTCAATGAAGGCAGTAACCGCTCTGGAGATGTGCTCTTCATTTAACTCTAAACTGAGCATCCGGCCGTCGTGTATTAAGACTTGCTTAATGTCGGCATCGTTGCGACTAGATAGGAGCCATTTAGTCTTTGAAGATTTAGCGTGCGTCACGATGAGATGAAGGAGTTGTTCTCGCTCGGTTCCAGAGCTACATTCATCCAATGCGTCAATAAGAATGAACGCTCCGGGACAACCCTCCAGCATTGCTGCCAGTGTCGAAAACAGTGCAAATATCGCATTGGAGCCGTCAAGTTGATTAGATTTAGACTGGTACATAGTGTGGAAGGTGTGGGCCAGTTGAGCATCTTTCATAGCAAGGCTCCAGATTAGGCCACGTAAAATGGAGGAAGCGGTGTTGAGTCGAGGATCGGTCTCCTGACAAAAGAAATAGGTGACCGTACAGGGACGTCGAGGAGGATTCTTCACTAATTCGCGGGCAAGGGCAATCATCAGCATTGTCTTTCCTTTTCCAGGTTCCCCTTGGATCCAGAGAAGTGGACTTGTGTCGCCATCTCGCCATTCCTGAAGAACAGAATCATTGAGAATCCACTCGTAGCAGTTCTTGAGCAGTGCGTCCTTCGAATGTTCAATTCTCGTCATATCAAGCTCTGGATCAGTGGCGCGTAGACTACTAAGGGATTGTCTGATCGCGTCTTCAAGTAGACTATCATTTCCTGGTAACAAGATAAGCATTAGAGAGAAAGCAATTGCAGATACACACTGACCCGTCCGATTTCGAGTTTTCGACTCCTCCCTTCGATCCCATTCGCGGCGATTGGCAATCACACGGTTCTTACAGCGTTCTACTGCATTGCGGATTGCCGTCTTGATCATTATTCCAGGTTCCGCCCGGTCATTTGTAGATGAGCTGAAGCGATCGTAGGCTGCATCATAGCAGTTTTCAAATTCGTCGATGTCCTGTAAATGATCTGTAAATAGCTGTCGGAGGACTTTGAAGAAAAGTTTATGTAGGTCGAGTAGCTTTGTAGTAGATTTGAGCTTAAGAACAAGATTGCTGTTCTCGAAAAGTTGTACATAGTCCATCAAATCTCCATTGAGTGCGACCGGAATAATCCCGTGACCGTTCGTGTTGGCACGCTGATATCGGACTCGAAGGAAAGCAAGCTCGGTATGCACATGGTGAACTTCGCCACGTTTTTGGAATTCATTCATCACTTGTCGAATGCGACCTTGTAAATTCTCTGGATAGATTCCTCGGTTATATTCTTCGGTACATAACCGTTCGACGGCATCGATGTAACCGGAGTCGAGACCACCTTTACAGTACTCTCGCAGCACATCAGAGCCGCATAGTAAAACCTTGTCGACACTGCTGATGACCTCTTTGTCGCCAGCACTGCCGTGTACCGGTGGTAGGAGGCATATTTGATTGGCGAGGATGTCCCGGACAGCCTCACCCCCGTTTTGACGGTTCGACACCTCCAGGAGTGGCGAACGATCCGAGAGTATCTGGGCTCCAACCTTCTGCAGCCATTTGATGAGGTGGTGCACACACGATACATGGGCATTTCCAGCATTTGGCTTGTCGTGTGCATAAACAAGGAAGATGCTTGGAGAATGTAAACGTCCAAAGTGGTCAAAATTTCTCAGTGTATTCAGAATCTCTTCAAACAATTCTTCCAGTATCTTTCCGAATGTTTCTGTGGACGCCTGAGGAAGGTTGTATTCAGGATCCGCGTCCGAGAGCATATCAGGAATGGTTACATTTGGGTGATTTCTCTCCTCCTCTTGCACTGTGTCTAGTGACCAAGCCAGAATATTCGGCTGAGGAGATTTGGCATCTCTCGGAAGCTGGGACATCGTCGGGATCTAGAAGGGTTGTTGCAGCCACCATTAAGGCAGTGTTTGATATTGCACTACGTTATCGAGGTGGAACCAAAGTGACGGGTCCTGTAAATCTGTGGTCACTCTTTATCGAGTGAACGTTTTTTGTGAGGCCCAAATCTGCATCGTTGCCTAATTATCAAGGGAGTGTGTGAAAGGCTAGATCAATAAGTCAAGCGGTCAGTACATGTACCATCTGGTCAGCGTGACTGTATCCTAGAGCATCAAATCATTCAGCCGCAGGGTTCTGAGGCTGCCATGAAGGTTTGAGTGTGAGGCTGCGCAGTGTGGTTAAACAAGACTTGTCGTGCCTGGAAGATCGCATGTTAGCGATGAGGGATTTGGTTGGCAAGACTTTCTAAACTAGGAGCTGCGAACACGATACCACGGGGGGTAAAAGCGTAGCTTCTGTATTTTGGGGGCTAGCCCCCAAACCCCCAGGCCTCGCTGCGCTCGATATTGCCAAGCCTTTATCATCACGTGATTGACAGGGCCTTGACAGTTCTTGGCGGCGCACACTTGTGTCACGTGATTAGCCAATCCTTCGTTATCCGGAAAATCTATAATCCGAAGATTACTGGCCTCATCGGATCCAATCCACGGCCCACCCAGGAATGGGTAGAATGCCGCCTTTGTCTGCCAGACCGCCCTGATCTGATCACGGTGTCCTGTGCCGTACGATATCCTCCATCGGATCCAGTCCATGGACCGTATGTAGATATTGATCACCCATGTCTTTTATGGGGCCTAACCCCAGGCCTCACTGCGTTCGAAGGTCTTGCTGTCGAGCCCTTCATCCCGGAGCGGTATCGGACCCAGTTCACGTGCTGCCTGTAACCTACGAAAGCAGGTGAGGCTCCATGTTTCTAATTGTTTGGTGGACATTACACTCATGCTCTCATAGTCTAATACCCTCATAATTTCATGCACCGATATCGTTTCGGGGTGCTGAAGAGCCAAAAAAGCCCATCTGTGTTCAGTCGAATACGATCAAATCAGCTCCGCACTGTCTTACCACCACTCAGACACTCACGACAACTTCATACTTCCCTCACGACACCTTTGCCCTTTCCACCCGTCTCCTCTTGTCCCATGACGCCTTTGCCCTTCCCATCAGTCCCCTCCTGTCCTACGATGCCTGCCTCATTCGTCTGACCGCACTCCTGGAGGGTAAATGCTAGGATATAATATCCTAGGCATTTCATATGAGACTTCATATTCGTGAGAAATGGGCCAAATTCGTTCATCCGCAGAAATGGCCCTGGGTTTGACTTTCCCGATGATTTTGCTTTGGCATTCAGGGTTCCTGATACATACTTGACATATTCCTCGCCGAATGTCGCCAACGTTAGGTAAACCTCGTCCCTATCCTGCGACACCAGGAGACGTCTAAAATGTCAGCTTCCGGAGGTAGGTCTTCTGAATGGGATATGAGCGCTTACGTGAAATTCCCATTGGAGTCTGGGCTAGTGCAGTGATCTGGAAACTGACAAATCCACGCAGCCATCTGTCCAGATTCCTGCATCCGAATATTGCTGCGTTGCCTAAATCGTGCACATGGCTTAACTTCCAAGATTGCCATGACCTGCTGGTCGGAAAGACGACCTAGAAACCCATCCACTCTTGCTTCGTATCCTTTTCCGTTCTTTTTGTTTCCAAGTTGGAATGATTTTCTCTCAAAGCTCCAATCTGCCATGGGGACAAAATGCATTGTGACCGCGTTTAGAAAATGAACTAACGCGACATTGACAATCTGCTCGTCGTCGGCAGAAGGTTGGTTCTTTGTGTCCTTGCTGATCGGAGGTACCGAATCCGGAATGTCAGTTCTGGCAGATTGTTCGGCGACCGATGGCAAACTATCACTGGAGAGAGGGAGGGAGTTCAGTCTATTCCGAACTGGTGTCGAGAAGAGATTACGTGCGACTACCCGGCTTGGGGACTTCGCGGCTGTTCGTAGCATGTCGCTGAATTTGGATCTCGTCCGATGTGCGATTGGAGAAAACTTTGGCGTAAAATTCTCATTTTCCGGGTATTTCGTCAATTTCACTTGTAGGTATCGGACTAAGGAAAATGTCCCGAGGTTAGGAAACGCGATCTGGAGATCAAGAGGCGATTCCAAGGAATCCAGATAAAGTTTCCACGGCGGAAAAGAGGCAAGAAGATGGATCGCCTCGAAGTAATGCTCGTCTCTGAGCCAAGTTCGTCGCGTATCTTCGTCGGCAAAATCTTTTGCTCTTTTTCCGGTCCATAGAACCCGGAGGTGTAGAAATTGCTCATAGGTAATCTTAGATGCAGACGCAAAATGATCTAGGTCGAAAATGGAACCTCCAACTGACTTGTGGCGTTTGGCTTGCTTCTCCCACTTATCAGGGGTCTTTGGTAGGCGTACATTCGCTGATGGCCCATCGTCATCGAATGAGGAAATAGTTGACCCCTGTAGGGAGGATGCAATAGAGGCCCGTGGCGAGGACGCAGCTGACACCGGCTCGGGGCCCGCGGCAGAAGAAGTTTGAGGATCCATGAGAAGCTACTGGGGGATTGGCAGCTAGCTACAAAAATCTCCGAGTTGCTGCACCTAAAAGCCGCGGATGCCGCGCCAAGACTTGCCCTGCCAACCGCGTTGTCTAGGCCAACAAACACAAATACCGATTCAACAAACTCTCCCTCGCCATACCCCGCCAAATCTCTCTTATACTCGGCAATGAAGCATCAACACTGGATAGTCCAGCTATTTCACCGTGCTCTCTCCTCAATTTCGGCCTGTCTTTGTAGGCGCGGATCCGCAACAATGAACGAAGACCATCCCTATTATCATGTCGCCTCTTTGCTCCGGAAGGTTCATCGTCATCGTGGACCATATCTTAGCCCGGATGATCTGGAGAGCCTCGGCATTAAGGTGTCCGGCATGGATATCAAAACCGGGAGGCCAACGGACTCGGGACAACAGTTCTGCACCCTGTACCCAAGCAAACAATTTGACAAGCTCTTTGAGAAAGTATCAGCCAAACATTTTCAAGATTTAGATGAGGGGGGCGTCTACGGTACAGCGCTTGGGATTGGAACAGAGCTGGATCACTGTTTAGATGAAATGGGAGTGTTTGATGGCTGGGATCCCTCAGAACGGATCATTGCATACTGCATTCGATCGTGAGTGTCTTCCGGCTTTTTGATAAATGACATGTGCTTATGTCCTCGGAACAGAAGGAACGATTCAATAGTCGAGCAACGGCTGGGCAATGGTGGCAGGTACCAGGGAGAGCCTGAGTTTCAAGCCGGAGACATTTTCGAAACATACAAAAAGTCCATTCCTCATCGAGGATGCACCGTATTCGATACGGCTGTTTCAGATGAACGGTTGCGGAAGAGTGAAGTGTTCTGCGCCGCTGGTTTGATGGCAGCAAGGTTAGGAGATGCCGACAAGACGGGTGACCGCATTGTGCCTGTAGGTATCTACCCTGGCAACCGACTTGATACTAATTATGGTGAAAGGTGTTCATTTACTCTTTCTCTGGATACCAGGCTCGTGTGATTCAAGCACATTACGAGCATCCTCACTTCATCATCCGGAAAACAGAACATATTGAGTTTGAAGATGGATCAGCCGACGGCTTCAAAGTAATGCTGCGGTGGATGATGAACATTCCAAAAGGAGATGTCAAGATGCCGAATGGAAAATCAAAATGAAGTTATGTAGGAATCATTGGGCGGACCTGAGGATGCTACAACATGGTGCTGGTGCATCTAGTCGAGTTCTCCATAGAATGGTCCCGTCAGACATGCCGTGTCATGACGAAAATAACCTACGACAGTCACGCTCCGGGGGGGAACGGTTTCTCAGGAAAAAGGGGCAGAATGGCACACCTGTACAGATACACTCACCGTTCAGGCCCTGACTGCAGGAGGAGGCAAGCACGGAGTCTTGTATGCTAGACGCTAGATTGTTCGCTGAACACAGAGATGTCTCGCCCTACCTGATGGTTCTCATTGCTTGCCTCAGTTCACTTTCTAAGCTACTGCCATGAAATGAACTTTGCTTGGGTGAGCACAAAAGTGGCATCACCCAGAGCCCAAAAGGGAGGTGAGCCCGTCCGCCGGCTTCCCGGCGAAGATGTAACCTGATTGTCGGCGACTTGAGCACCATACTCGCAGTTACGAACCCCCTCCCCAATCCCGGCACGGAATAAAGCAGGATTTGCCAACACCGGTAATTTTCGATCGGAATAGCAGCGACGAACAGAGACATGACAAGAGAATATTTCTGATTCTTTCATCAATCGCGTTCTGCGAAGCACGGGGAATGTGTGCGTGTGTGTTCGAAGTAGAGAAAAGGCCTTGGTCGGAGCTTCCACCCACTTGTCACAGTTCGATTGGCTTTGAAGCGTCCAGGCCAGACACAAGCTCTTGAGATTGTTCAACAAAGATCAAAGACTGCTCTGATGGACCACCCTGCCCGACTCCGCTGCCGCAGAGGACACAACATAGATCTCCTACACCAGCAATCAAGGGCCCAAGGCCAAAGCGACCTTTTTGGGGAAGACAAAACTCCTTTCATCGCACATGAGCTTCATGTCAGTCAAAAATTCTCCAAATTTCCCTTGTTGGCGTCGCCCAACATTCCTCCCGGCAACCAACCGTCAGGTTCCAGTTACTTCCAATGTCGACAATAAGCAGCAAAGCCATTGGTGTGCCGGTCGAGTTTGTCCTCAGCGTGCTTGCATGTCGACATTTCTATGCAAAGGATCAAACCCAGTGCCACGATTTGGTCTGGGCTGTAAGCAAAACCTCTCTTTTCATTAATTACTTCGACCCAGATACGGTCCCGCAAAGGGCCTGGCAATTGGAAAAAGGCTTCTCTTTGGCGACCTTCTCCATATCCTTCCAGTCCGACTCTGAGACTCTCAGCATGTGCGTTGCTACGTCTACCAAAATCCCTCGGATCTGCAATTTTGTCTTCAGCAGAAGTGTGCGTTTCCATGAACACGCGCCTTGTCGTGATCGCCGGTGAGCAGTGTGGCTAACAAGCCGACAGACCTAGACCGGCCTCTTCGGTCTGTCGGTCTGGGTCTGTCTGGGTTAGCAGGCCGGTCGGTCTGATGGTCTGATGGTCTGATTATCAGGACGTCGACCTCTATCGAGTAGGATGCCCCGGCCACATGGTCCACGGATTGGATCCTGTCAGACAGCTGGTGCCTAGTGCCAAGAGCCCCTATTCTGGCCTATATAGGGGGCTTTCCCCCCCATCTATAGTTGCAATCTACACACGAGTTTCACCCCTTCTATCCGCCCTTGCTCCGTTCGACAGATCCGATGGCGGTAGTCTTTCATCAGATCCGATCCATGGATCATCTCGATATCGAGGCTCGTCCCTTAACGCCCCGTTACGAGCCATTTCGAGTGTGATCAGTAAGAGCTCGTCTTAGGTGGTCCACAGATTGGATCCGATGAAATACCACGACCCGTCGGATCCAATCCATGGACCACGTCGACATCGAGGCTCGTCCGTTAACGCTCGGTTACGAACCATCTCGAGTGTGACTAGTAGAGCTTGTCTGAGGTGGTCCACAGACTGGATCCGATGCGTAGATCATCTCGATATCGATATCTATCGAGTAGGGTGGCCCCCCGCACCCAACATGGTCCACGGATTGGATCCGAGCGGTGAACCGGAATCTGTTAATCCGAAGGTAGTGATTCGGAAAATATTTGATCCGTCCGGGTTGGTCCACCAAATGCTCCGCCTTAGATGTGGCGCAGTTGCGTAATGCGACGCCAAGAGCGACGGTCCGGAGACGTCTCGTAGATAGACAAGATTTAAGCGAACTTACCCCTGCTATGCGCTAACTCAGACAGACCCAGACCAACCCAGACCGACGGCCTACGTCGGTCTGTCAGACGGTCGCTGCCCATGAGTTTGTCATCACCGACCCTGAGCAGAGGGATATTCGCATAATTGTCTCGACACTCAAGGTATGGCGTCGCTTGCCACACTGTTCGGGATTGGCTTGGTCTAGGTAGTGCGCTACTTTGACCTTCTCAACTGTGCGAGTCCACGCTCGCCGTTTGACGCGCATCTCACTGAACAGCGCCAATGTTCTAGGGTGGTGTCAAACGGCTGATACCTAGTGCCAAGAGCCCCTATTCCCTGGTCTATATAGAGGGGCTTCCCCCTTTCCATAGCTACAATCTGCACACGAGTTTTCACCTCTTCTATCCGCATCTCGCTCTGTTCGACAGGTGGTAAAGACCGTTGGTGGCACAGCTCTTCTGCCACTGTCTGCGCAGCTCGTTGACCTCTCTTTGCTGCAGCTCGAGCTCCGGGGTAAACCGGCGCTTAGAGTATGGACATGGCCTCGCATTGGTGGGGGGTTTGTGTCTCAACGGTTGCCGTCGTTATGGGCAATGAGGCTCTCTGCTGCATCTGGTTTAGACCCTAAAAGGAGATTTACTTCCACTCAATCTGGCCTGATTTTTGCTCTTTCCTTGCCGTCTCTCCTCTCCCCTTCTCTTTTTTTCTGCAGCGTTTCTAACATCTTTGGTGAAGTACGCTCTTTGCCAAAACTTTCTGTGCACATTATCTCTAATACTTTCACCACTATATTTCAGGCCAGCAGGGAAAAACACACCAGGCACCGCGCAGCCACTGCGAGAATTTCTTGGTGACTGCTTCTTGGCTTCGCGTATGTTCGAACAAAAGATCCACATTCGCCCATGTAGGAGAGTCTTCACCGACGTAGAGGACGAAGTCGGATTTAGAAGGCACCTCCTTACCCTTGTTAGTATCAGGTAGAGTCTGAGTACCGCCATAAAATAGCTTGAGGTCACAAAGAGCCTGGTCACCAAGTCAGCGGAGGACTAAGAGACGTATGAAAGCGCACCCAGAGCACCCAGAATAACGAACCTCGTCGGAAAGCAACTGGCGTAGTCGACTCCAGAACAGTTGCTTTTCCCAACTACCTTCGCCAACCTTCCGCACGGAGTTGACAGCCAGCTCCTGTTGAGGTTTTGCACCGAAATCAGAAAGATATGTCGAACGGAATGTGTCCCACGGGATATCCTTCCTCGTTACCCCACGAGCTTCAGCCGCAATTTGTGCTTCCACGTCCGTAGCATATGCCACGCTCCCTTGGTTTACCACGCTGGCATGAGAGACCATGCGCTGACTGCTGGGTGTCCTGTAGAATGACGGGCTAACATTTTCAGCATCCTTACCCCGTGGTAAGGGTTTCCTCTTGCGGGCTTTCTTCGCGGTGCTGGAGGGTTCGTGAGCTGATGCTCTTCGCCTTTTGGTACCCGAGTTCACGACGTTGCCGGTGTCGATCGAGTCGATAACTTTCCCTTTTGCCGCTCGGGGCCGGCGATGCTTGGGTTTATCATCCATCGAAAGAGCAGCCTGTTCTAGAGCGGATTAGTGGTAGGGGCTTCGTATCTGGGTACGAGGGGAATACTTGGTTATAGGTCGAATTGTCGTCAAGAACGGTTGCTGTTACCAAGAGGGTGATCAAGGATGATGAGGTGTAAATTGACAAAGTGTCGCTAGTGTTTGGTTTTCCGCCATTCCCTTGCGGACACATTGCAACTTGTTGAACTATGAGATGGTTGCCTGCTAGGCTGCAGTACAGGCAACGACACTGACGGGCACTGTTCAGATAGATATATAGATGAGCTCTATCTGCACTTGTTGGGAGAGACAGAGCACTTCTTCAGTTCAAGTTGCACAAGAAGTTTGGCAGAACGACATTCTAATGGCATCACGCGTCTTCTTCCTCGGGAAATGAGAAATTTTGCGTAAAGTCTTGTGATCTTTATGACTAGGTCTAACCTTTGGGACTATAGTTAATAGTAATGTGTTGTCTGAAACGGCGAAATCGGCCGCCAAATCGACTTGAGTAGGCAATGGTCCACGCCAAGCAAACATCACGTGATTTCAAGCCTACACACACACACAAAAACACAAAAAAAAAAACCCTTCCTATAGCCCATCTCTGACGAACTGATAGATGGGGCGCCACAACCAGCGAAAGTTTCAGTCAAACTAGTTCAACTGAAGGAGAGTGACCTCCCACAGGTATCAAGTACGACCATCAACAATCACTGGCTGGAGCATTACGTTTACCCATCAGGGCACCTGGAAACTCAATGGAGCCAGGCCGGACAACCCTCTTACCTCACCTATGATCTAACACTAGTGAGGTCCCTCAATTCTATCGGTTCGACTAAAACCCCAGTATGGCCACTAAAGTTTCGTCCTTGATAGGTCAACCACGATTGGTGTCAATTTGGAGGGAAATTTTTGCGGAACAAAATATAAACCTTAGATTTTTTTTAGAATAGCCTAGCTGTAGCTTAGCGTTGTGTTGTGATGCCAAGACCATCTTGTTGCCCAATCACGTTGGGTCAATAGCTTGGCACCTCACGTGAGCACACGAATGGGCTGTGTCACGTGATCAAAGTGGCCCTTGTCATCGGATCCAATCCGTGGACTATGTGGTTGAGTGGCAGTGGTCTCGTTCCTTCGGCAGCGTGTACGACGCAGCCTCCCTAGCATATAACGGATTGGCTTCTCCGAAGACGACAATATCCACGTCTGTCGCGTATGGCGATAGATCTCTTTTCAATTTCCGCTATGTCTTCCGATCCAGAACGGATATTCAGTCTCGCAGGATAGATGGTGACGGCTCAGAGAAGCCGACTTCGAGCGGACATTATCGGCGCAGCGCAATGTTGTATCATGTTGAACAATTGATGGCCTATCGTTCACGACTAACCGGGTCATTTTGCAACATTCGCTCACCAGACCGTATCACCATTGACAGGCAACAATGATGACGTACACTCGTAAGATATAGATATAGACAGGCTCACTGCCGCCCTCTGACCGAATTCAATCAGAGTATTCTTTCAATGAAGAGAAGTCAACCAGGCCAAGGCACGCCTATGGGCAAGCAAAAGTATTTGGGGGAGCTTTTCATATTTTTCAGCACGCCAAACGCGATTAGCGTCATGCGGCGTCGTGCGACGTCGATCCGATTTGCTGGCGGTTAGTAGGTACCAAATCCATCCTTCATGAAAAATAGTCTTGCAGTCGCAAACCTCGTCGTCGACCCAGTTTGTATAGAAACCCTTAGTGTTTATAGGGCCATATGGTCCACATGCTGCTTGCATCGTCTTTGACCAATCAAAGAGCCGGATTTGGTTTCAGCCAATCAGCATGGCGGTTTTCTTGACGACATTTTGCAGTTCCACTAGGAAAATTGGCGTGGTACTGTTGCAGACACTGCAGACTGGGGTGCTGATGTGATTGGTCCAGAAGCTAGTGTCTGTGCTGAGTCTGCCTATTTGTTTAATAATTAACGTTATTAGACTTGCCAAAAATTATTCAACAATTGCCACTGGAAATGTGACACTTTGGCGGAGTGGTTGTGGGTTCTCTCCACCTTGGCCCATCTGAAGCATTTCTAACATAATACAGAACGCGGTAGGTGCATTGTAGCCCCAGAATCAATTTCGTTTACTAATTCTCATATAGCTGCCCTGCTACAAATCAACCGATTTAAGTAAGGCAGTTCCTTCGGGAGCGCAGGTTCGGTGAGTTTGATGGTAATTCCTTCATCTCGAGTTAGGCTGACTTGTACACCTAAAGAATCCTGCAGGTGTCGTCTTTTTTTCCCCCTCTCTCTTTTTGAATGGATTGTTTTTGCTTGTGGGTGCGTGGGAACGTGTACCGAAGGCAACAATAACCGAGAAAAGAAGTGCCATGGTCAAGGTAGTGCAGTCAAAGGCACCCATCATGTTCGAAAAGTTGGACGGATCCCTTATTGTTTCTGAAGGGAGACTGTTTCTGGTCCCCAGTGATGGTTGTGTGGTTACGTGTGATGTGGGAAGAGACCAGGGGAGCGACCTTGGCAGCGAGGGGAAGAAACCCTCCAAAAGCGGCGGGAAATTTCCCTGCAACCTACATGGAACTGTGATGAAATACGTAAACAACATCTTGAACTTGACCTGTCTGCGCGAGTATCCGTTATTTTAACTTCTCAGAATCCAAAAGGTTTGAAACCTCCAACACAGGTGTCTCCTCGTCGCCAGTGCACAGTGCTACGCTGTGCGAATTCATAGTCATGTGCGCCGACGTACGAATTGGCGATGCGAGACCTTTGGCAAGAGGTGTGCGATTCCCGTACCAAGATCGAGTAGGAGTACGAAACGGGGACAATTTTCGGTTTCTTCTCTCATTCCCCTATGCGACTCTCGGACTATGTCCGCTAACATCTGGGAGTTGAATATATGCATTGCGATTGGTCATTTCCAGAGCAACAATGGTTTGTAAGCCTTCAACGTGAAAACACTGAACTCCAGGGTCGGTAACCTGCCGCCTTCGGGCCATTGATTGGTTTGCAAGACTCAGTTACAGTGATGGGAAGCCTTGTCTTTTGTCCTTTTGGGAACGAAGACGGAAATGTTCCTGCATTATGTCCCTGGAGAAAGGTGCCCGTATGTGACACGTGCTCCGCTACCAAAGCTCTAACGATTAGTGGGACGATCATGACAGGTCTTGCTTCGGAAATGACCAATCAAGCAGTCTTTTCGGCTCGCTCCCTGCGCCATCGATGGTGAAGAATTACTTAAGCACTAGGACCCTGACTCGATGAATATCGGTTATGGAACTTCCCCTCGGAGATGCATTATATCAGCTCTGCGGACAAAGCGACTCATAGTCATTTTGACTCGAGGCCGATGTTCGCTCGTAAGATATGCGTGTCTGATCGGACGACTGAATGGATATAAAGTCGGAGTTCTCGACAGTCATCAGAGGAATCCACCCAAGCTCATTGACAAGAAACAACAAAACCAACAACAACGCAACGCAACCACATCCGTAAAAACAGAGACCTGAAGACGAATAATCCAAACACAAAATGAGTCACCGAGAAATCTCACCGGCCATCCTATACTGGGGCACCCCAGTAGTCTTGATCAGCAGCTCAAACCCCGATGGAACTACCAACAGAGGTCCGATGTCCTCAGCATGGTGGCTGGGGCGCGGTTGTATGCTCGGTCTCGACGCATCCTCTCAGACGACACAAAACATGCTTTGCACAAAACAGTGCGTCCTGAATCTAGCGTCAGACAATATGGCTGCCAGCGTCAACAAGCTTGCGCGGACAACGGGCACCGACCCTGTCCCTGAATCGAAACAGACTAGAGGATATCACTTTGTCAAGGACAAATTTGGATATGCGGGTTTGACGCCATCACCATCCAAACGTGTCGCTTCTCCGGGGATCAGAGAGTGTCCCGTCATGATGGAAGCTGAAGTCGTCGCCGTGCACGAGATGTATGGAGGGCGAGCAGTTCAGGGTCTAGTGCTTGCAATCGAGGTGCGGATTCTTCGTGTGAGCATACACGAGAACCTCAAGTTGGAGGGATACTGTAATCGGGTCGATGCGGATAAGTGGAAGCCTATGATCATGATGTTTTCTGACTTGTACGGGTTGAAGAGTGGGAAGCTGGAGCATTCAAATCTGGCGGACATCGAGGAGGAGATGTATCGAGGACTGACGGAGACGACGGGCCAAGTTCAGGAGGAATAGGAACCGAAGTCAACGACGGCTTTGCAGAGTATGTTACAGGGTTGGTTGCTTGTGAATGGACGAGACATCTAGACGAGTACCCGAAGTTCAAGCATTGAGATATAGAAAAGTAAAGTTGCTGCCGGGAAATCCCCTTCAGGTTTTGGCGGCCTTTTCCCCTCAATGCCAGACTCTACTCGGGTTCCAAACACCCCTTCCTCGACATACCCTGGATGCCAGATATGGCCCTCTTCATAATTAGCAACGGGATCCTTGACTCTTTGACCGAATGACACCTTCGACCATAGCGTCTCCAATAATGACTCCTCTGGTATAGATCGACTGCTAATGCTAGATGCTTGTACAAACCAACCACACGTGCTGGGATATTGGCCAAGACTCACGCGATTCACTTCAGCAGCCTACCTTTCGTGAGAGGCTTCCAAAATTTTGTCTATTTCGTCATCTCCATCTTCTTCTAGCTATCACGAGTTGATTAACAGTTACAAGGTTCCAATCGATCTCCGCCATGGCCTCGTCCTCGAACTTCCCTCTCCGTCAAACTGACCCAGAAACGCTACGCATCGCACCACAAAAAGATCCCCTTCCGAAGACATGCTTACGTCTCTATTCGGACGAGGACGCCGGGAGGCGACTGACAAATGAAGAGTATCGTCTCTCGCTCCTGAATAACGGTCCTATTCCCAACTTCGATTGGAGAGCGGTGCCTCCTGCAGGTATTGGACCGAAGTTTGATGTCTTTGGGCGTGTGGAAGAGCTTCAGAAGTATCTCCGCGAAAACACGTATCCCAACCAGCGGGAAAATATCATGGCAGCAATCGACATGTACAACAGGAAGGAGCTGCCGACACAGGACACACCCCGAGTTTACCTCCAAGATGGGAAGCTAGTAGCTCCCACAATGAACAACGTCCTACGACCCGAGCCGATATGGAGAGAGGTATGTTTAAGACAACACGCTAGATTACATCTAAATCATGCGTCAGGGTTCTGGGATTCAATATATGCAAGCACATGGCCATTATCAAGCGCTCCCTCGGCAATCGTCGACTGTTTTCGGGTACAATCCGGCCCTGGGTGGGGCAGAGGTATAGTTTGCAATCCCTCCAAAAGGTATATCTTTATCATTTATTTTTATCTCCGAGGCTTTAATTCGGCTTTCGATATCCTCTGCAGCTCCTAATTCTTTTCTAGATTTTGCTCCGAGTGACTATCCCTCCCCATCTGGGTGGAAATGGGCTTCCTGTAGTGGTCCGAGCCTTGAACGACACCGGCAGCAATATCATGACGCTTGATTACAACGAGGCATTGGGCGATTTGGGATGGCAACCTGCACTATCTCCTCCACAACTAATTCAAATCACAACACCGGGAGCAGTGACACTGCATGAGTCGATTTCTGTTATGGCGCAGGCCTGTGACTATACCGGAGCTGCATTTACAGGCCAGTTTGTGGAAGACGTCGTCCTTCGACATTTCACGGGGGAAGAGGTTCGCTTGTCTGGTTCCGCAGTCCGCAATCAACTATACTTCGGCACTGCCCCAAGATTGTCCAATCTGTACGTCGCCCGGAACAAAACTCGGCAATCACAGGTTCTTCCGAATTTCAACCAATTGCCTTGAAGAGTTGCGACGTCTCCAGATCGATACTCCAGTTTTCAAGTTCCTTTCCTGTACAATTTGTCACATGCCCAAGGCTTCCGGCAGAATTTCAACCCATCAGGCTGCGATTATCGGTTCAGTTTGTTGACTCAAGCTCAGAGAAGATGGCAATGCCTCATGTATACTTATTTCCAACTTCTCCCTCAGGAGAGACGATAGATAAGTCAGTAGGGCCCAATACATAAAGTTTCATTGCGAGCTCGAGTGCTTCCTTGCGTAGCAATCTATTGCTGGTGTTATGGATCATCTCCTGTCACGAGTCCACGAGAGTGCTTAGCAGAAGACATATTTCGAGAATATGCCGCGAGCTTATGCTCGTAACTGTGCTGAAGCTACGTATGTCATGACGAAAGACATCATATCCCCACCGATGGTATCTGGGGTAGAGTGAACACCAGAATGAGTCACGTGTCATACCCCTGATCGGATCCAGTCCATGGACCACCTTGGGGTGAGGAGGATCGAGAGGAATCCTCCATATATGTACTACAGGCGCCATTACTGGAGCCGGTATGGGCGAGGGTATCGTTGGGTCAAGGAGTCCATGATTCCGTTGTTAACTACGAAGGGCACCACATCTGGTACCCAGGGCGTTCGGAACGAGGGAAGAACGCAGCCAAAAGCGGCGGCAGATTTCTCGTGTGGCCGCAAAAAAAAAGTGGAGCTCCGGCGAAGGCACGAGGAGCGGTGTAGTATGCCGAAACTCGTTGCGGGTGCGTAACCGACCCCAGTCGAGGTAGGAGGGACAGGCACTCCTGTGCCAGGCGCTGATCTCAACATCCCAGGCAACCCAGGACCATGTCGGAATACCTTTGCAGCTTCAAGAACGCGAATCATTGCCATGTTGCGAGAGGTCCTCTCGGTCATGCCATTGTTGTGATGGGGAGGGGGGGCGGGGCGTAGAGCCCACTCATCAATTAATGGACCGAAGAGTTCGGCTTCGTAGTCGATTCCTTTCGCTTTTCGTTGGCTTTCCACTCGCAAAGACGGAGGGTGTGCTGCGAGAGAAAAGCTTCTTAAAGACACCATACGCACGGGCTGTGCAGTGGGTAGCTGAGGCTGGACAGATGACTAAAAGGAATGTAGGCCGTGAAGAAGTCTGATGAGTTTGATGGACTGTGGAGTCCATAGATTAGGCTATGTGATTTTACGGAGGACTTGTCCTATTTCGAAGGGGTCCAAGGGACCATCAGACTAAGGTCTTTACAAGCCTTGGCGTCGCCACATATCACAGCTAGTCTTTAACACACTTTTTCACACACCCTTCTGTCTTCCTAGACAAAACAATCAATCTTCTCTCGACCCAACAGTGCGCTCCATCCCCAGGACATGCAGACTACTCACACAACAGCAGCTCGACATTACTGAGCAAACGGCTAGTGAGTTGCTGCCTCAGCTGAAGGAGAGAAAGCTATCTCCTGGATAAGTAACAGAAGCATTTTGTGCAAGAGCTGCCATAGCCCATCAATGCGTAGGTGCCCCTAAAGCTGTCGTCTCGAAGCGTGACGATTGTCGTGTCTCCGATTATGGTCAACATACAAAGTCGTCTAGGTAAACTGTCTCCTGCATTTTTTTCCCCAATGAGGTTCTTTCAAGGGCAAAGGAACTAGATGATTTCCTCGCAAAGGCTGGCAAGCCGGTTGGGCCTCTGCATGGATTTCCTGTTGGGATCAAGGTGGGTGCAAACTGACCCGTGTGTCACGATGCTGTTGTTCTGATGATGGGCACCAGGATATCTTTCATATGAAAGATAAGAATCTGACCATGGGATATGTTGCATAGTATAACAACAAGTGCACAACCGATGCATCAATTGTCTAGATCCTGAGGAATGCCGGAGGTGAGCAATTGTCCCAGCGTCAACAGACATGAACCGGTACCTGCTGATGGGGATACCGCCTCTTCCAGCCGTATTCTTCGTTAGAACGACCGTGCCTCGGACGGGAATGCTCCTCGAAACATGGAAACAATCTCTCGAGTCGAACCCTGAATCCTTTCAATACGACTTTTCCGGCGGGGGCTCTTCCGGCGGTGATGGCAGCCTCGTGGCTATGAGAGGGGGGGGCCATTTTGTCCTTCCATCGACATCGGTGGCAATATTCGTGCTCCAGGAGCCTTCAGTGGTATTTATGCCATGAGACCTACGGCCGAGAGGACTGCGAAAAAAGGCATGGGCACGACTGCTCCTGGACAAATCTCGATCAAGGTCTCTTCGGGACCAAATTGTCACAGCATGGCTAATGTCAAGCTGCTGGCTGAGATTCTCCTCAGTCAGTATGGTCTGCCAGTCCACGCCCTGGAAAAAAGTGCAGCCGAAAATAGACAAGCTATGTTTCGGGCTGATGATGACAGATGGGTGTGTCGAACCTCAACCACCTATTGCCAGAGCTCTGCGGGAGACCGCAGCACAGTTGAAAAAAGCTGAGCATGAAGGTGAGAAATCCAGCCACGTGGTCAACTGCACAGCCTAATCTCCATAGTGATGGAATTCAAGACGCCATTTGATTGTTGGGAGGTGGCTCAAGCCACGGTATTCTCCCATCGGTCAATGAATGAGCACAAATCTGACCGATCACTAGTGGAGGCTCTGGTTTCAAACTGGCGCGAAAGAAACGCTGACGCTGGTCGCTTCCTCTGGAGAACCCATATATTCGACGTTCAAATGGTATCTAGAGACATTCGACATTAAGGAGCTGACAATCCCAGAACTTTTCCACGTATGTCGCCGCCTCAACTTCTCTTCAGGCTACTCCGGGTGTGACACATGGCTGATATTGATGCAGCTCAATACCAAACAAGCAGAATGGAGATACCAGTTTGCCGCGTATTGGTACAACACGGCGGCGAAGACTGGTACTGACCGTCCCATCGACGCCCTAATTTGTCCTTGCGCTCCTTCTGCGAGATTTCCTCATGGACATCCAGTTTGGTGGGGATATTTTAGTTTGTGGAATATCCTGGACTATCCCAGTGTGATTCTTCCACTCAAAAGGATGAAAGCCGACCCCGACAAAGATGCCAAAGACCTGAACTACGTCCCAAAGGATAACATTCGACAAGATGAATTAGGAAATTGGTAAGGTTTCCCTTCACCTGAATTTCTTGCTTCTAACCATTGTTTCCAGATGGGCCTCATCGATGGAAGACCCTACCAATAACTCTGCAAATCGTGAGACACACAATTCGGCGACGAGGAACTGATTTCTGTCGCGGAGTGTATAGATCAGGTCTGCAACAGTTGAATATCGAATCTGTTGGTCGTCAGAAAGCCCATTGGTCTCTCACCGTCGTAGGCCAAGGGGTCATCCGGTCGTCGGCCATCTCCGAGCATGTCCGTCCATGAAACTCTTCCACAATTTCTTCGACGTCAAGAGGAGGAATAGTAGCACAAATTCATCACCGAGAGACAGATCCAGCTTGTCTAGGCACTCTGTCGCCGAGCCTGACAATGGAGATATGCACAAACTGACACCCTTCTAGAGCGTTGGGCTCAGGGGCTGGGAGTATATAGAATGCAAGATCGCCAAGGTCAGGTGGAGTCGTTCCAGCAGAATTACTTGTAAGTCGCTCTTTGAAGAGATATGGCGAACGTATTCATAAGGAAATGCTCTTCTTGCACGTCTCTAGTGGAGCTTATTCTTGCCATGGCGGGGGAACCCTCGAAGCACATATAGGGAAGCGATTGCCCTTCAAAACACTCTTGCAGTTTTCGTTTGTGAAGAGAATTGACTCGCCCACAGTCCTCCCGAGAAGGGCAAGAAGACCCTCGCCATGATATTCTGCTTCTTTAATTCCTCACAATCCTTTACGATGTTCGGCCAGCAATCTCCAACTCAGAGCTGAAGATCAGATTGCCATGCACAGAAAAGATGTGGGCCCCCACACAGAAGGAGTGTGGAATAAACGTCGACGACCAGGACACCGTGAGCCACCATTCCAAGATGTATTCTCTGAACCCTTCCACGAATGGCCACACGATGATACAGAAACGTATCTGCTGGGGGGGTGACTACACTTTGATTTCAGCTCTAATTCAGTACATGTTCTCCGTGCGAGAGACGGCAAAATCTAGACCTCAATCAGAACAAATCTTGACCCTCGAAGAACACGCCTCCTTGAGAAGGGCACCGGATAATGGGAAATACCGAAGGGAAGCAAGAACTGAGTCATCGTTGGTCATAGGGGATCCTGAGGGGCCGATATCATTCAATCCGAACGCGTTGCATCGAATGGCATTCTTCCGAATCCACGTTGCCATTAGACCGTATTGTAGATGAAGACTCAAGGTCTTCACCAATTTGCGGTATCTCTCGCAGACAGCCCCGTACCCGAACATAGCTGGAGATTTGACAAGGCTGCATGGGACACTTCAACCGCACTAGCCAACCACGTCGAATGGGGTGTCAATCTCGTTGCTCGCAACCAGTTGGCTACCCCGTCAATGCAGCACTCGTTCTACTCTCCTGATTGCGCGCTTGTGCTCAGCAAGTGACTACAAGCAGTACCGATATGACTCTCTAAGTCGGAGTTTGAGGAGGTGGGATATCATCTCATGAATGCAGAACCAGGGTATGTCCACGAGTTGCAAAGTCGTTAGGGTCTAGGCGAGACTGTTTCAAGAGCAGCCCGTTTGGGATGTGGTGAGAATGGTTGGCGAGGCATGGGGTGTCTACAGAACGATGTTGGTGGATGACAAAGACGATGACTCTGATCAGATGGAAAACGAGAGCCTTGACAGTGCAGGTATGTCTTTCGACAGAATTGCGACTGCTTCCAGGATGAAAATGGAAAAGGTTGGCAGGATAGCTGGCACGTTGGGCTTGAGATTTTATATGTGAGCATATGGGATTTGGCAAGGCTGCCGGATGGAGACTGTACCCCGTTTTCAGCCAACTCCAAGCTGAAAAAGGATAACGGCCTAATGATATAGTGACTTCATCGCTTGTGAACCATTCCAAAAAGGGAGGAATGAATGATTTTCAGAGTAATATCTCGGGCCAAAAGCGTGTCAGGAAATTCAGTAGTTAGAGCATTCCTCAGCTTCTTCCTTTCCTAGATATTCGTGTATCTCGTTAAGCAATCTCCTTCCTTGGGCCGTTTGAAGATACGCGTAGGCGATCGAGCTTGTCACTTTTTGACAGGATGAAAAGCGACTGAGAAATTCGAGATTAGCGACTTTGCAGCCATTGAACAATTTTCCCGAATTGTTACCACCATGATTCTGTAGGGCAGGCAACGGCATGAACTGCCTCGGTCTCTCGGCTGAAGAGTGTTCAATAGTCCAATGAATCTTTGACTTTCAGAAGTGCGCCTTCTCGGAACCGATGGAAGGACCCAGCAGGTATCTTATCAACGAGTTCCTATCAGATTCTCAGAGCCCATCTCCGCATTTTTGGCCTCTTGATTGGGTGGATGGAAACAGAACCCGCCCGCTTAGTCAATACGCCCAAGGGCAGGTGTCGGCGGGGTGGATTAGTGGTCGTTGAATTCCGAAAAAGTTCAAGTTATCATAGGTCAAGTCCTTGACAAGGCCAGAGTAAATATAAATATACATGGAGAGATTCCTACCTTATGCTGCCGGGCTAGAATGCAGAAGACAAAATAAATCTACGGTGCAAGGAAATTGCATACAATAAGTACCTGATCAATCATGTCTCCATACTCGAAGAAAGAAGACAGTGTCCAAACAATCGATCCGTACCGACTATTCGATTCACGCCCGGTGTTCTCCCACGCTGCAACATCCACGGGACCATGTCGCATTGTTGCCACCGCCGGGCAGGTGGGCGCGGACGAGAACCGCGTTGTCCCCCAGGATGTTGACGAGCAAATGGCGCTGGCGATGAAGAACTTGGGCCGATGCCTTGAAGCCGCGGGCGCCACTGTCACGGACGTCTTCAAGCTGGTGTACTACATTGTCGACTATGATCCGAATAATCGACGACATACGAAGCACGTCAAGGCGTTTCTGAATGGGCACAGGCCGGCGACGACATTAGTCCCAGTCCCGGCGCTCGCAGATCCGGAGTTTAAGTTCGAAATCGAGGCGTATGCCGCCGTCAGACAAGAGCCCCTGAAAAATGTCGATGTGGTTGTTGTGGGTGCTGGGCTCAGCGGGCTCAAAGCAGCGTACGATGTTCAGAAGGCGGGGCTTTCTTGCATCGTCGTCGAGGCTCGTGATCGCGTCGGAGGCAAGACGTGGTCGGTTGATCCATTGGGGGAAGGAAAGTTCCTGGATGTCGGTGCCGCATGGGTCAATGACACCAATCAGGGCGCGATCTATGCTCTGGCCAAGTCTCTGGGGTTGGAACTTGTGGTGCAGAACACCGTGGGGAACGTAATTCAGGAAGACCTGGGAGGGGGGTTGGGATTATTCGAGTATGGAGGTACGCCTGAGAGGATGGCCGAGCCCAAAGGAGTCGAAAACTTAGTCTACATTCGGGAACGGGCAGAGACGGTGTGTCAGCAGCTGGATATCCATGATCCAGTTGGAACCGGAGGACATCTTGACCGGATGACGTTGGAGGAGTGGTGCATGGCCGAAATCAAGTCTGAAACGGCGCTGGCGTCGGTCAAATTGTGGACCCGAGCCATGCTGGGCTTGGAGCCGTCGGAGATGAGTGCGCTTTATTTCCTGAATTATTGCAAGAGTGGCGGTGGGCTGCTGCAGATGAGATCGGATTTCAAGCATGGCGGTCAATATCTCAGATTCATCCGGGGTAAGTGGAAGCATATCTTCGCTGGTGGGCCAGATGCTGAACTCGAACTGGGGGAGGACAGGCACGCAATCAATGTCTCTTGGATTGGCTAATTTGATGAATCCTGGTTCCGTGATCCTCAACTCACCAGTGCGACGCATTTCACAGACCCCCGAAGGGATTTTCGTATCTGCAGGTCGGGGCGACTTTCGATGTCAACGAGTTATTATCTCGGTGCCGACGGTTCTGTACAAAGAAATCACCTTTGATCCTCCCTTACCCGAGGCCAAGGTCGAATTGGGCAAAAACAACGTCCACGGATACACCTTGAAAGTCATGGTCATGTACTCGGAGCCCTGGTGGCGGAAGAAAGGCCTGTCCGGGGCCATCATGTCGTTCAAGGGACCTATCACCACGTGTCGCGACTCGAGCAACGATGCCAAGGGCATGTTCTCTCTGACTTGCTTCACGAACGGCGATTTTGGTCGTCAAATGTCTCTGCTCCCACAGCAGGAGAGGTTCAATGCGATTTTGGCCCATATCAAACGAGTCTATGGGCCATACGTGGACTCGGTCCCCGATCCGATTGCCGTCACCGAGCATGAGTGGGCCAAGGATCAATGGGCCCAAGGTTGTCCCTGTCCCGCGTCTCCTCCGGGTATTATGACCAAGTATAATCACGCCTTGAGGACAAGTCATGGAAAAGTCCACTTTGTTGGCACCGAGACGGCATATGAATGGAAAGGGTACATGGAGGGAGCTGTGCAGTCGGGGGAAAGAGGAGCGAAGGAAGTGATTGATGCTCTAGGGAGGGCTAAGTTGTAGATGCATGACCCATCAAAGTAGGGGGTTACTCAGCCTTGTCAGGGGGGCATCGTCCTTGACATGTTAGGGGGTCTTCTGCATCCCCGTTTGAGACACCCACTCAAATAGTAGTTCGATTTTGATGACAGTCAAACCGGTTTCGAGTAGTTTATTGTATCGGCATTATGAATACTGGTGGTGTTTTCTGTCTCTGCAGCCCAGCCTTGTGTTAAACGGCTCAAAAGGGGCCCGCAGGTCGCCAACCACACCAAACTGAATCCCTCTTTTGGCCCCCAGAATCATGTGATGTCCTAGGTTTGTTGCTTACCAGCAACTATCACGTTATTGGTGGGCGACGGGCTCAGGGGTTGAATGAGGCGCCTGAAAGAGTTAGCCCCATCTACTAACCGGACTCCGCCATTAGTATTACCTTTTTTACATTTTCGGAGTGTCCCTGCGCGTGTCTCTCTCCTCGCCTTGAGTCTTATTTCTTACTCCAGGTTCCAGCTTGGATTCCCTCTCTTTCTATTTCTAATTATCATATACGGCCATATTCAACAGACAAACACTCGTTTTCTTCCTTTCAATTCTTCATTCCTCACACCCTTAATAAATTGGGTGGTTTGTACTCGAATTCTGTCCCGCGAGTTTCAATGGGCTACGCAACCCAGCTTCAGGGCAAGTTCGCCCACAAAGTCGACGACCCTGTGCCTGAATTCAACTCCGAGTATGCTCTTCTCCGCCGTTAAGTCCAAACATTCACAACTTCGACCTCACCGACTCTCCTGTCCCACCATACTGACCGACACTCCAAAATAGATTTCCCGCGCACCCAGCCATTGTCCACTTCCCCATCGCCTTCAACACGTTCGCCTGGGGTCTGGACATCCTCTACGCCCTGACAACGACCTGGATCCAACCCGAATTCCTCACCACCCGATTCTCATCCCCATCCACCCTGCTCGACATCACTCGTATGTCGTACTTCCTCATGTGCGTGGGACTGATCACCACCGTCCCTGCCATCATGTCCGGCAACATCCAACTGGTAGGCATGATCAAGAAGAACGGCGGACCCTGGGAAAAGGACGCTGCAGGCAAGCAGAAGAGCACCATGGTGCCTCGCATTAAGGCGTGCATCACCCACGCCATCATCAACGATCTCGTCTTCGTTGCCAACCTATACAGCTGGTATCTCAGAAAGGACAAGGAGGGTGCCGTCAATCCCGGCAAAGTTCCCACTGAGACCAACATGATTATCAGCATGGTCTTGTTACCCTTGTTGATGATGTCCTCCAAGATCGGTGGCACTCTGACCTATAACCATGGCGTGGGCTTGAACTTGGGCCGCAAGAAGATCGAGTAAGGCTGTGTGTGTGTGTGTGTGTGGAGAGAAATATCGTGCTGAAGAGCAAGGTTTAAGAGATGGGGGACGACTCATACGTAGGTCTGCACCGCCATGGACAGGCCAGCAGAACCCTTTTCGACGACCCTGTTTCAGCGGACTCAGTTGGACCCAAGCTGCACGTGCACACACTGTTCCCATTGACATTTTTGACACATGAGGCGAGACGAAGAAAGGCGATTTAGGGAATACGATTATGAGTGGTGGGGACCAAAAATATGTCTTGGACAATTCTCTCGGTTGGAATGGGTGGTGTTTTGGTGGAAGGGAATAGATGCTGTCGTGTTTCTGTTGGAGAGGTGCGAATGGTATTTCACAGATGTGTAATCTCGTTTGCTACATTTATAATGATAGTCCGGGGGATTGGATTCTACTTCAGTTCGAAGTTCTCCTCGCATATCGTTTGAATCATTCACTCTCTAACCCGTTTGGCCGGCTAGCCTTTGAGACTGACGGACCCCTCTGAGATACCATTTGCTAGTGGAACAGGATGAGAATCCCAACACGACAACTATATATTACCCCCTCCTCGTCCACCGCCATTATCGTCTGAAGAACAACTTCTCCATCTAGCTCAGCGGGATGGATATGCCTTACGTTCCCTGAGACCCTAGCGCAGAATATTACAGATTTGTTCCTACGGGATTTGTTCGCGCGCTCATCACCGTTCTTCGACTCTCACAGAAACAGAAAGGCAGCTCTGTAACCCACGAAACAAGGTCTCGAGTTCGGACATTAGCATGTCATCGGGGAGAAGGGGTATATCACTTTCCAGTGTCGCGTGTATGCTGACCCAAATGGCGACTCGAATAGCACTGGGCAACCGGACCCGGATTCGAGAACGGATTCACTAAGTGTGGGTAGCCAGCCTCGAAACTGGCGCAGCCAAACCATGGCACGAAGCAGGACTGTTTTTGTTCAGGATTCTCTGTGACATCTCTCGGGCGAGCAATCTGGGGCCTTCGACCTGGAACAATATCTCGTGGACGGCAACACTCTCGATGTCAAAATCCGAGGATACAATGACGTACATGCTCATTCATGCGGCTATTTCAATATTTCCCTTCGACAGGGCACGCGGATGAACATACGGACCTGGGCTTATTGACGCTTCGCATCGGCGATGGTCAGAGGTTGCGGGTTCTGGATCGGGTCAATTCGACAGAGGTGGGCGCCCGCATGGATTGAAACTACACCACCGCCCCAGGTATGCATAGGGTGGTGAGGAATCCAGAGGGCAGACAAAGCGTTGTATTCTCGGTCCGACACTTGTCGAAGCAAGATGCTGATTCCACCCTGTTTGGAAGAGATGACGGACAGGTCCATCCCGTGCGACTTGTGGAAGGCGATCCTAGTCGGCAAAGTGAGTGTCAACACGGTCAAGGAGATAAAAGAGTTGCAACGTTCAATGTTGAGTGCTAACGGTACGATAGAAGCGGACGATTCCTCTCTCAGCGTTTGAAGATGAGAATGAGCATGAGAATGGGTCACGGCTAGCTTGACTCGGATGTCCGGTAGTGTCGGCCTAGGGGGATTTCGTGACTTCGTTGACCATCGCGACGGCCTTTTTCGCTAGTGTCTTAGCATCAGGTGGAAATCTTGCCGAGAGATAATTGTACTTGGGGTCCAAGGCGACGAATCTACATTGGGTTGTGTCAGCCTTCGTCCTGGCAGCAATGTGGAAGCGGATGGACTTGAACTTACGGAGTAGGCCGAATACTACTAGCAAACTGCCTCCTCTCAGACAGCCTCTTCCTGACAATTTCCTCGACAGGATCCGTCCCTGCACCGTACGTCTTGTAATAATCCCCGAGGAACAATCTTGTGGTGTAGAAGATCCCCTGTTCCATGAGCGCCGGCAACGCGGTGGTCTGAACATCGTGCAAAACGCTTTTACCTTCATTCGTCGAAGCCATTGCCAATATCTGCACGCCATGACAGATCGCAGCGATTGATTTCCGAGACGGCTTCTGCGTTTGGGGAAAGTAAGCGGCAAGCAATTCATGGACGCGAGGTGAATCGATGACTTGACGAACACCTTTGTCGTGGCCGCCGGGAAGGAACACGAGGTCGTAGTCCGATAGACGGAACGAGTCATCTTTCCAGGCCAAGGGCTTTTGAAAGCCGGAATCAATGTCCCGGAGCGATTTATACACTTTTTTGGCGGCTTTGTTAGCACCGAGAAGAGTTCCGGTCCAGCCTGAGAGCATCTTCTCGTCGCATTTGGGCGAGGTGCCTGCTTCGGTGGCGAAGGTGATTTCGAAGCCAGAGTCGCGAAAGACCTGCCATGGAATGGCAGTTTCTGTACCAAAACATCATGAGTAAACAAATGCTTTGACGAAGAGTCTCGGAGTATACCAGTAGGGTCGTGTCCGTAATCGGCCATAAGGAAAATCACTTTCGGAGCCATTGTTAATCCCTTGGCTTCTCAAGCCCCGTGATGAGCTTTGTTCGGAACCGGATTAGAGCTTTGACTATTGAAGGAATGCTACAAGAAGCTCCAAGGTCAAAACACAAGACATTGGCGGGAGGGAATGGAAGGGTCGTCCAGAAGAATCTATCACATGCCCGTGAATATTAACCCCCGTATGACCCTCCCACGACAAGCGAGAGAGTTTGGCTTTGACTCAGCTGAGGCTGATGTGCCACAGGCCCATGTTGGTCACTGAGATCCCATGATTGGCAATGGAGTAAGCACGAATGAAAAGACGAAAGACTTAAAAGGAGGTTCACCAGAAGCCTGTGCGGAGACACGTTTTTCCGGTCCCGAGCTCGAGGGCCCCGGGTCGATGACACCCAAAAAGTTTTTCGAATTGCCTTCTGCCTCGTATACATCTTACATGGGCTCTGGCTACTCTTTCTCGTCCTTCGTATTCATGCCGTCTGGACCCCTGGTTGCAGACGTCATGCCCTTGGTAATTCTCACACAAACGGGCACGTCATTTCTTGCCTGACATCCAGTTTCACATGTCGAGAATGTTATCGTCTGGAAATTCCGTTAAGAGGCTTGCACGGAGCATGGCCTACTGTGTAAGTTTTCAGCTATTGAATCCACCGCCTCATCTTCGTGTATCTGAGCACAGCCTTTCACATATTCGAAGTTTTCCCCCTTTTCGAAGACCTCCACTCTCTATATTATATTGTCTTTCTTGAAGAACTCTCCTTGAAGACTTGGCTTCTTTTCCAAGCTCACATCAACTCGTTCCTATTTCATTGAGCGGCATCCACAATGGATCAAACCCCTCAAAAAGTCTCTGACGGAGACATCGGAACCAAAAGTCCCAACGGGTCGAACGGGGTTGGTTCATCAACGACGCCCCGGTCAGCTTCTCATCAGGTTCCTCCATATCGGGTTGGGACCACGGAGCCCGGAGGTCCACTTTCTAGATCTCAGTCGAAGCTCGAGGCCCGAGACTACCATGAAGGAAACAAGTTCCCTCGGCTATCCCGCCCTGTCGAGCTTTTGCGACATGGCTACGACGTCGTCGTGATTGGATCCGGATATGGAGGAGGAGTCGCAGCATCCCGGATGGCGCGCGCCGGTCAATCTGTCTGTGTTCTGGAGCGTGGGAACGAGAGATGGCGTAAGCAATATCATCTTGCCTGGCTGAATATATATCTCATGGCGTCCAGCGGGTGAATACCCTTCAACTCTGGCGGAGGCTAGCCCAGAAATCAGCGTGTCTGGACTTTTTGCTCCTGAGGACAAACCGGGAGTGCCAGTGCAGGTTGGAGATCCGACGAAGCTCTATCAGCTCATCATGGGAGCCGGTCAAAATGCATTTGTTGCCAGTGGTCGGATTTGTCCCCATTCAATCTCCTTGAATATGTACTGACCAGTCAAGGTCTCGGGGGCACAAGTCTCTTAAACGCCAACGTATTTCTGAAAGCCGACGACGGAGCCATGAGTCTTCCGGAATGGCCAGACAATCTCCGGAAACCCGGGGCTTTGGATGAATGTGCGCATCCTGTGGGCTCGCTGGATTGTCAATACTGATTGGGGACACAGACCACAAACGCGCTGCTCAGATGCTTCAACCGGAAACATATCCAGAAGATTTCCCTCCTCTGGCAAAGCTTGACCTCTTGAAGAAGCAGGCGGAGCTCTTGGGCCTCGAGAAGAATTTCAAACGAGTCCCGCAAACAACGCGGTTTGAGAATGGACCAAACTATGCTGGCGTTGTATGCCCGTTATCACCTTCGTGCGTGGGAAATTTGACTGACCCTGCTCGATCTGAAGCAAATGCAAGCCAGTGCCCTCACTGGCATGGATAGTACGGGTGTCAACGATGGGAGTAAATCCTCAACCCTCGTCACCTATCTTGCTGATGCATGGAATTGGGGAGCCGAGATGTAGTCCATCCCCGATTCCATTTTGCCATGTGCTAACTTGAACAGCTTTTGCGAATGCGAAGCTCGATGTATCAAGAAACATCCCACACAAGAAGGTTATCTCATATACTTTGCATGGCACGGGAGCAAGCGAGGTTTGTTCAAGCAAAACATCTATCGTGATCTCATGTGGGTGCATGCAAAGAAATTCGTGTTTCTCGGTGCTGGTGCCCTAGGAACCTCCGAGATTCTCCTTCGAAGCAAAGCTCTTGGACTGAAGATGAGTGATCGCGTGGGTAAGGACATGAGCGGGAATGGCGATATCCTAGCTTTTGGGTACAATGCATTATCTACCAATCGTGGCAATCAACGCTGATTCGGCATGTAGATACAACACCGACTACGAGGCCAACGGTCTAGGACGAGTCTCTCCAAACCCCGACCGACCCATCGGCCCGACCATTACGGGAGTCATTGACTGTCGTCAGCAACTAAACCCACTGGACGGTTTCGTCATCGAAGAAGGTGCCATTACGGAGGCTTTGGTCCCCGTGCTTCAAAAATTGCTGGAATCTCTCCCAGGAAAGATCTTCCCGGAAAAATACACCATCAAAAATAGGTTGCGCCATTTGATTTCTCGTCAACAAAGCCGACTCGCTCCATACGCGCCAATGGGTAGTCTAGAGAGGACGCAAACATATCTCATCATGTCCCATGACAGCAACCAAGCAGTGATGAGATTGGGAGAAAATGACAAACCTACTTTGACCTTTCTCGGAGTCGGGAGAAGTGACCATGTGAAATATCTCAACGGGATTCTTGCCAAGGCCACCAATGCGGTCGGAGGAACCTATATCAACTCTCCCTTTTTCGCAGCTCTCGGAGAGCAAGAGGTATGAAACCGAACGATTGTTCCCATTGGCATGCTAACTGTGATAGATCACGGTGCATATCATGGGGGGAGCAACAATCAGCAGCGACGGTACTGGCGTCAATGGGGCAACGGATGAATTTGGTCGACTGTTTCGAGGACCCGGGAAAGACGTTCACGATGGGATTGTCGTTGTAGATGGTGCGGCCCTTCCAACAGCTCTTGGAGTCAACCCATTTGCAACCATTACTGCACTCGCAGAACGATCTGTGGAAGAAGCGGCCCGAGTCGAAAATCTCATGATCGACTTGGTCACTCAGAATGGTACGGAACGGGAACGTGGCTTGATGTCGCAATGCTGAAACATTCAGGGACATTGAACCTGTTCGGACGACCGGCACATGCGCATCCTATGAACAAGGAACTCCGTCACGCAGAAAGAACAATTCACATGGCCATGGACTCCGAGGCCGAAGGCATTGAGTTCACCGAAGTTATGTCCGGTTATATCAACACCGAAGATCAAGTGGACACCGGGAATGAGGCGTCTGATTTCACTATCGCCACCGCTGCAGCCCAAGCGGCAGGAAGCACTGCCAGATTCTTTCTGAGTTGTCATGCCTGGGATACTGATGAATGTATGAGATACCGTCCCTCCCAACGATCAGGCTAACCTTCACAGTGATTGGCCGATCAGACCACCCGGCGATGCTTACCGGCACATTTACATGTGCGGGCCTTCCAGGGTCGCCTTTCATGGTTCTACGAGGTGAATTCAACCTTTTCAATCAAGACAAACGGACACCGGATACCACCAATCTCACCTATGACTTTGACATGGTGTCTACCCGAGGAGAGGTGATCCACTTCCATGGATACAAAATCGTTGACCGTTCCGTCGCTTTCAAGCCTTGGTCTACATGGAAAGCCACTTCTACACTCTACGTGACTCTTACCCAGGGAAGCCAAGTCAAAGGAAAGGGGACGTTACACATCGATCCCCAAGACTTTGCATCTGAATTGTCAACTTTCACCCCTCATGGGCCGACGATCCTATCCAAGGCATTTTCCACCGGCAAATTCTTGACCTTCTTCACACAACAAGTCTTGGTCAACTTTCTCGGCCCATGGGGCCGAATGCAGTTTCCAACCACCACCTATCAGGGCTATGAAGTGAACAAGAAGCCGCCTATTGAGACCATAAAAATTACTTCTGTTGACAACGTCGTCTCCACCTTACAGCGATGGGCGCCGACTTCCACGTCTTCCACTGGTCGAAAAGTTCTGTTTATTCCCGGTGCATCGGTTGACCATCAGATTTTTGCTCTTCCAACCATCGAGACGAATGCAGTAGAATACTTCCAAACCGCAGGATACGAGGTCTTCTGCATCACACATCGTGTCGGCAAGACCCCCAATGCTCAGCGTGGATACACCACCTACGACGCCAGACTCGATATCCAAGCTGTGTTTGAAGAAATTCACCGGATCCAAGGTTCAGACAAGCCCATATATGTGATCGCCCATTGTGCCGGGTCCGTCGCATTATCTGCCGGACTCCTGGATGGAAATATCGATTCGAAATGGATCAGTGGATTGACAGCATCGCAAGTCTTCTTCAACCCGATGTTTGGGACAATCAACAAGATCAAAGCATTTTTACCGATTCCCCTGACCCAGATTTACAAGTTGCTGGCCGGAAATTGGTTCTCATGTATCTCCACAGAGCACGACTCTTTGGTCCAACGGCTCTTGAATCAAGTGGTTCGATTGTATCCCGTCGGCTCACCGAAAGAGCTATGTAATAGTGTTGTCTGTCACCGATCCGAGCTTGTTTTCGGAAGGTAGGTTGGGGAGCAAGAGTCCTCTGATACTCAACGCTAACCATGACAGACTCTGGTCTCACAAACGTCTAAACGCCGCTACTCACGAGAACTTGTCCAAATTCCTCGGTGGGGTGAGCATGAATTCGCTCTCTCAGCTCATGTACCAAGGCATCCATGGACATGTGACGAACAACATGTCAGAGTCGCTTGTCACAACGCCGAATCTGCAACGACTGAAAGGTCTTCCAATCTTGTTTATCTCCGGAGCAGATAATGTGGTGTACACGCCAGAGAACACGGATAAATCGTACACGACAATGACTACGACATTCGGTCAGAAGGAATACCAACGAGAACTCTTTCCCGGGTACGGGCATTTGGATTGTTGGATGGGCGCTGAGGCGGTGAAGGATGTTTATCCCACTGTACTTGCTCATGCGGAGAAGATTTTCCACCAGACTAACGAGATCTACGTGTGAGGTTTTCTGTCAGGGCATGAGGTGTCCATGATCATCATGGACGTCCTGTCTCACGACAGTCAGTCGCCGCACCGTATATTCGGCACCTGTGAAATGGAAATGGGGAATAATCAACATGAAATTCTCTCCATATAATCTCAGCACGAAAACCCTGGGTACACAGGTACTCCTTTCATTTTAACGAATGTGACTTGCGCGGGCTCGCATTGCATCGCAGACCCTGGACTTTGTGGATTCAGCTCATGCAAGACTTCAATCCATCTCACCACTTCTCCCCCAGAATAACAAAATATTTCCCTTTCAAGATGATGCAAGTAATCGCGTTCGGTAGCCAATGGATCTAGACAGGGATGTATCCTTATTATAGCGGTGAATCCACTGTGGGGTGCCCATCAAAACTCAAAAGGCTGCCCTTCTTCTTGGCCTTTACGCAGCTTCTTCAAGACGTGTCCTTTGTTTACGGATTCCAGACGCATGAGAGAATCAAGACAAATCCGGTCAGGTAAGAAAGGAGAATGAGTTGATGGCAGGCCCCATTGTACCTCCCGTCCAATGTAGTTTAGCGTCTTATTTTCTCATCGTCTTGAACCTCAATCTTCATCCCTGGTTGCATCCCTCGACTCGAACCTGCAAGATGTCAAACGTCGCAGAAACTGTTATCCACTGACTCGGTGGGAGGCCGGCGTCTCATTCTCTTCCCTGTCTCCCTTTTCCAGCCCTGAGGCAACCTCTTCTTTTAATTGGTGGGTGGCACAAAGCACCGCCGTATCTGGGAAGGCTTAACCCCCTCGCCCAGCCTCGTATTTCCCCCCTTCTTTCCCGATGCCACCATTTCTCTTGGGCAAAGCTGAGCCCTAGCGAAAGGCCGCCTCTGCTGTGTAGCACATAGTCTTTTCAGCCTTGGAAGATGACTTTTTTTTGACATGTGAAAATCGAATACTCTCCTCGACCCCAGAGTAAGGCCTGTGAAAGGCCACGACTTCAGGATCTCGTTGCCTGCCAGCCAACCTTATCCTCACCGAAAATTTGGCCCTTCTCTGTTATCCTCGAAAGCTACAATCACCTCTCATCTTGTCTCTATCTGCTTCCTCCTTCAGTGATCCAAGAATTACCATCCCGACAACAACCATGACCCCATCGACCAAACCGCTCCCTTACACCGCAAACCCAATCCTCCTCATCATCAACGACCTTTGGCTCTTCGGCCAAATCACATTCACTTGGCCCATCACCGCGGGTTTGCCCAGCATCATTTGGCCTCCAACACCCACTCGATCCGGGTCCCTTGACGAACTAGCATTCACCGCCGCCAACGCCTGGGCAATTGCTTTGCATGCATTTTTAGGATTAGCACAGTTTGTTTTTCTCGTGTCCCTGGTGCCGTTGGCATTCACCCCATTGTCGGTCTTGTATTTCTCGTATATCGTCGCCTTCGTGCTAGGGAACCAGTGGTTTACCATCTTGCTAAACGGGTGGAGGAAGCATGGCTTGCTCGAGTCAAATCCGAAATGCATCGAGGGGAAAGCTGTGCATGAACATGAGAAATGGGTTTTCATCAACGGCGTCGCTGTTGGGTATGTCCTCATTTCTTCCTCTAGGGATCGAGCGGGTCGATGTAGAAAATGCCTGCCAGATTCGAAGCGAGTGGATACTCGTGTATTGACTGTGGTTGTAGGAGTCATTGGCTTCAATCAAATCTCGACCGTCTTGCTATGACTTTCAGACGTCCAGTATATGGCATACATAATCAAACGTGAGTGGGACCTTTTCTTTAAAGAACCTTACGGCTCCTAGTCTCAACAGTCGCTTTCCATTCCATTGTCTCATCTACGGACAACAGTCGTGGAATCATCTTCGATGTTCTCGAATGCATCATCCAGCGCGACCTAAGCTATCCAACCCTCGACATCCGACAAGCGTACTCCGAACTAGTAAAAATCCTCTCGGACTCCGATGTGCACAAACTTGTCTTGATCCTGCACAGCCAGGGCGCCATCGAAGGAGGCATGGTTCTCGATTGGCTCTACACGACAGTTGCCGCCGAACAGCTTCAGAAACTAGAGATCTACACGTTCGGAAATGCCGCAAATCACTGGAACGCTCCCGTGATTTCAACGCTGGGTGACGGTGGGGAAAGGGGAGAAAACGGAGACAATGCGAAAGATAGGATCGTAAAGCATATTGAACATTACGCCAATACGCGCGATTACGTATCGCGGTTTGGAATTCTACATTTTCGACCTGACCAGGCACCTGCTTCACCTCCTGTGTCTAGAACCGCGACGTCAACATCACCAGGGCCTGCCTCTTCTTCATCCACCACCACCCTCGTTAATGGCCCTATCAAATCAATCTCAGTCTCAAGCTCAGGAACCCGCAAACGCCTCAAACTCACCACATCAGACCCGTCAACCTCAGCGCCCGCTCTCGCAGCTCCGTCTCCCAAAACACCCATCGAGCGTCTCAACCCTTCCGCCCAAGACGACAACCGCTTCGTCGGCCGTCTCTTCAAGCGCCTTGGCTCCGGCCACCAGTTCAACCAGCACTACCTGGACAACATGTTCGAGATGGAAGGTGTCGATCCACATGATTTGTCTAAAGGTTACGTTAAAGGTGGCAATCCTTACATGGATATGCCGGTTGATATGGAGGTTTTTGACGAGTGGGATACCGTCCAGTACGCTACCGCCGATGTGCACGGGAGTGTGGGGAATGGAGACAGGCCTGGGAGCAGTATTGGTCAGAAAGAGAGGGTGAAGAGCGTTAAAGAGCTAAGTCGGCTTTGGGGTTATAGAAATGGTATGAACCCAGATGAGGAGGGCAGCAAGAAGCAATGATGAGAAAGAGGAGGCTTTGGGAATAGGATGACAAGCGGTATAACGGATGAGGCTGAGGTATTAAGGGGAGGCCCAAGCCGTGCTGGCTAGCTGGTCCACTAGCCGATCGGTTGTTTGACGGTTGTCAGGATATTTTTCTGGCCAGACCAGACATCATTCACAGATATAGCTGACTGATAGAAGTCACTCCCCTACTGGTAGGCTGCTAAACTGGCAGTTGGAGTCGGATTATATGAAAAGGACATTGGCACTCAAGATGTCAACTAGAACAGAGACGTCGAAAACTGTCCGAATGATGTAGAACTTCTATTGAAGATTTTGAGCACCGATTGGCGTAGCTTCAGCCATCATGAAGTTGAAAATCCAATTTGTTGCCGTCCCAATACCGCACCTTCGGTACGCATCGAAAGAGAGTTGGTCCTAGTGGGTTACACCAAACAAAAGCCGTTAATCTTCAACCAAATATGGCGCAGAACTCACGCCATGGAGCGCCTTGCCTTCCATCCCGAAAAGCACATAGTACAAGAAGAAAATGCCATGCAAGCATTAGCAACCTCATGCTTGTGAGCATAACCGGGTTTCTCGTTATATCCAATCAAAACGATGATGAGGAGATAACAGAGAAGGATTTAACCGGAAGACGCAAAAGTCATCATGTTTCGACAACCCCCTTTTTTTGACGTTGGGAATCCCAATCAGGAGGAAGAGCAGGTATGACACACTGTTGCATGCTGTGAGCAATCTGGCCACCTTTTTGTCTAAATTGGCCGACCTGATCAAGACTCAGAGAAGGTAATAAGACGTGACGTTGATTCTACTAAGTTCCTGCATTGCTTGAGTTCCGGCACCAAGCAATGGTCGACGAGTTGTCTTGGTTGCCCCGTTGTCGCGGCCCAGCCGCGGAGGTCGACTCGTCTCGCAGCATTCTGTCATTCATATTGAACGGCATATACAATCTCCTTGTGCCGGGTCACAATGAATGGGTCGTCTTCAGATTTATTCTCGAGGTCGACAAGGATTTTGAATGCTTCATCTTCGTACTCATTGGAGAAAAGGCATCTAGGAGTCGTCAGTGGAGGCAGCCACGAGATCATCGAAATGAATCCTTACCGTAGTGATTCTGATAACCAAGGCACAGTTGAGAAGGGGATGGAGATGAAGAGGAAATGGAAAGCAAGAGGAAGTTGCCACGCAACAAGGTCCACCAACAAAGAGCATTCTTATGTCACCCAATTCGAGAATGAGAATCCAGCAATGTTGAGGATGAGTTCAGTCACGGCCAATTTCTCTCTCCACTTGATTGTAGATGTCTCTGTTTGTCAGATATGGGACAGTGGCCGTGTTGATTCCGTTCCCAATTCCCGCAAAAACTCTCCCCACGACCATCTGAGCAGTGCTGTGAGATGTAATTTGGAAAATTGCACCGATGCCCATGACCGTGGTACCAACGAGGACGGACCTTGTTCGTCCAAGCTGCTCTCCGTGCCAGACTGCTATGATAGCACCAAAGAAACAACCAACGTCATAAATCGCAGTTCCGGGGCGTGAAGAATCATGAGCTTGATGCGGGTAGAGAAACAGGACAACTGACCGAGGAGTGTTGTTTTGGAATCACCACCAAAATTGTGAACATCGATGAAGTCTTGTGTAACAATGGCCCCGCCGGGCTGGGACTAGAACAATGACTCGAAATAGTAGGGTAGAACGAACCGAAGAAGCCCTCGAGTCGTGGTTAGCTGATTTGTTTCCCTTAGAGATGGATTCAACTTTCCTGATCATAACCCACCCTTCATGGAGAGAACCGCATTAGTATATCCCCAGCCACATTCTTGTCCTTATGTTAGACTTGCAGTGTCATATCGGTCACACATGCAACCTAAGGCCAAATGCTAGCAGGATGTTAACTCGGGGAAACAAAGATCGACTTACGAAAATCCAGAAGGTCAGCCATCCTCCTTGAGAGAAATCGCATCATTCTATGGCCTCAAGATGGAAAATTCGCATTTTCTTCCAGTCATATCAAGAGTCATGGAGTCTTGATCAGTGGATGAGTTGAGTATGGTCCATATGAGATTTCGCAAAAAAAATCCATCATATCAAACCGTCCCTCTCCGTAAACTTTTGTGGCACGCCATAGCTCTCCAGCATCATTGCCTCCAAAAGGCTTCACTCCTACCACGAGCATGGTATATTCTAGTGGCGTCAGGAACTACCAGCGGGCTGTGAGTAAATCTTCCAGAACAGGTTTCGCCAAAATTCCATGGAAGGACCAGCGAATCCACCATAGCCAGCGCATGTCATCGTCACAGGCACTGGTTGAAGCAAAGTAAAACACGATGAAGCTTTGATCTAGTATTTTAAACCCTTGTCGCTTGGGATGCTTCTTCATGCGATCGAGTGGCACTAGGGGATGTGCAAAAGCCGATGGACGTCTTCGGTTTCGGATATCGTGATGTCTTATGATGTCAGAGATGTAGGAAAAGGGGGTAGGGAAGCAGGAAGGGTTCAGCGTATGAATGGGTTGGAGATCGGCCATCGGCTTGACCTGCCCACTCTTGGTGCCGGATGACGGGTCTGTCCACGCGACAGCAGTAAATTGTAGTGAACTCGAAGACACCACCTCGATATTAGAATGAATGAATGCTTGTTAGTCAATTGAAGAGATGGAAACTGTGACGTAGGAGGAATCGGGGTTCAGTTGCTCCTGTAAGTATTTTACTTTCTATTGTCTTGAATCCTGACCCTTGCCTAATCATGTGTCGCCCATCTAATCAAAGGGGTAGGGCCAACGCTCAAAATCGTTGCTCAAAATGTCTCATCGTCTTGACGGTGGTAGAAAAAGGAAAAGCGTCGACCTGGCATATATTCTCGTTCATTTCATTCAGTAAAAATTGAAAAATAGACCACTACCTGTGGTTAGATCGAGGATTTTCGAATGAGCGACCATGCATCTCATAGCCTTCGGTTCGTGGTCGAGATTTCTCGCCCGGAAGACTATCTGAACCCGATCTCTCCGTCGAAACTGTTGGGAAGAGTACCACTGCCAGGTAAGCCAAGAAAATGACGGCTGCGAAGACACTGTAGATGATGACGGAGTAGTTTGGAACATTGTCGCTTCCGATGTCGCCAGCCGTCTTGAAGCCCAAGCCTCCGTTAATAACACCGAGAATGAGGAATGCACGACCGAGCCAGCGGTGAGAATGCCCCATGGGGCTGCGAGTACCCACTCTCCGGAAATGTAGATGCTGACCTAAGCCTAAGGCGGGTTGGATGACGACCATCCATGCAAAAACGATATAGCCAATGACCATGTGGTAGCCGTCGAGTTCATCCAGTCGTTTTCCAAGTTCGACACCCAGACCAAGGCCAGTGATCATCAACATGATGCCGAGGACTTGAAGAGGAGCATGAATATGACGGACTTTATTGTTGTATGGAAGATAAACGGTCAAGGCAGCCAAAGGAAACATGACCACAAAGACTAGGGACATGATGGCGGCATGAGCGATTCGAACATTCTCATTAGGGTCTCTGACCGTCTGACTGGCACCAGAAGAGGATGGATCAGAGCTTGCGATTGGGTTCGAAACTCCTCCGGTAGGAGTTGACACACTATCAGTTGATGTGGCAGTGACAGACTCGGTTGCTGAAGGAGTCGCAGAAGTGGAAGAATCATCGGAAGCCGCCACAAAGGGGTTTGATGAGCTGCCCCCAGTTCCCTGAGTCAAGTCCAGGGTAAACTGGCCAGTCCCATCATGCAGTGAAATCTCCGCATCGATGCTCGTTGTGTCGAGAACATCACCTGACTTATGGGCATAGATCCAATCGCTAGACGTGCTTGTGGGATCCATGCTACCGCCATTCCAGCTGAGGCAAGTGTCACAACGAATATTAGCAACCATGATGCCGTCGGAGGTAATGCCAGTGCCTTCCAGGACAAAGATTGAAGCATCGGGATTGACATCGGGTTCAACATGACCGGTACCCAGCCTGGGCGAGACTGTCACATTTGAGCTGTCTGCGGCATACACGACGAACATGTTGGATCCCGCCATGCCCGTTCCCTGACCGAAGGATATCCATTGCGTGCCACTTGGAGCACCGATCTGAAGATAGATGGAGCCGTTTCCTGACGAGGCTGTGTCTGAAGGAACATTGACTGCCAAGGAATACCCGTCAGAGGAGAATTGGGCGAACTGAGCTGCTGAGCCAGCCACTACACAGGCATTAGTGAGGTCACGCTCGCGATTGAGAGAGACGAAACGCACCGAGGACAGCCGTGGTCAAGACTGCCCTTAACACCATGTTATTTAATACGAAGAAGGAAAAGGGACGACGACGATTTGTGATAGATGGTCGGTTAATACAGGATAGTGAACTCTGGGCAAAACACGAAAATGGCTGCTACTTATCAACTGCCGTTGAAGCAGGGCGTGGAGAAGAGTGTCCACACCGAAGGAATGAAGGGGTTTATTTATCTTCAGTAAGTCTGGATTCCCCTCGACTTTGTCCCAACAATACCGCGAACATCAAGTATATGCTACAAAACGCGCCATACATTGGGCGGATTGCGCTGTGGATTGCGTGTCCCCATGGCCTGCCAAGGTTGTTTCAGGAGAAGTGACAAGCATCGAAGACACTACCCCTGTCCCAGGGGTCACCACTTAGCTAATCACAGCCATTGCGTGGAGCAGAGACAGGGCCAACCCACCAAGAGGATGACTTATCTGTCCCCGGCAGGGAGAGAACATCTACATCATTTCCAGGTGCAGGGTGAATGTTGTGAATCCCGTTAGCATCAAAAATTAGAAAAACCATTGAGCATGACGATGAGAGAACGGACGGGCACTTTTCCTCTTTGGGCATGGTCATACTGTCTTGTGCCTGATTGGCTACTTTTTCTAGACTCTTGTACGCCAAGCATTCGCAGGCCTGATGACTGATCGATGCTTCGTCGGGTGGATCTGGGATGACCCTGACTGTGAGACGCGGAAAGTGTGCCTCTGCCAGATTTTTGCTTCTCTCACTCCGTATGGTGCGCATCAGCTCCTCTGTTATCTCACTCGGTATCACCAAAACTCCGGGCATGCGAGTAGACTTCAGTACACAAGAGAGGCGGGGCATCTACGCGTAACGATTTTCGACTCTGTACGCCATAAGCCAAGATAGGAATGACGAAGACTATCAAGGTACCTTTGACCCAGCCTACCGTATTATGTTCGGTGTTCCTTGACTCCGCGGCGGCTCCCTACTTTCAAAAGATGTCCCATGTTGTCCCACCCACATTTGGACCAATAATCATGTCAGGAAAGTGATCTGACCAGAGTTTCGAGTTCGTCCGTCGATTCCCAGCCAACCACCAACCTCTGGATCCGTGACATGTGGCGCGAGGTACTGGAATTCCAATAATTGGCATGAAGAACGAAAACAGATCGGATTATGATGTTGGAGCATCAAAAATTTTTCATTTTGATTTGTTCAATCCGTCGTGAATGACGATTCTCCGAACATTGCCATCGGAATTCTGTGCCCCTGACTACCAACATCAGGACCATAGTTCACTTGGACCATGTCGAGCACCAAACATGGCGACAGTGATCCATCTTGGGCCTTGTATGTTCGTATCGGCGGACAATGGCCTGTTCCATTCAAGACATCTTGCTGGACGGCCCTATACACTAGATGAAGTCTGCACACGAACTTCCGGTCATCACCAACCTCACAATTACGTCTTGGTCTTCAACATAATTTCTTTGATCATCTCGTTCCCGAGTCTCACAGCTTCCGGAAACCTTGGAGCAAAATATTGTTGAATGCTCTCGAATCGATCGCGATATGCTTCGAAATCACCAAATGAGACGCATTCAGACCATGCCTACTCCAGGAGCTCTACCGTCAGCAAATGATCTTCTACCCCAATTTTTTTTTTTTTCCCACCTTCTAAAACACGATAGAAGTGTGGGTTGATTTGGAATTGAGAAATTCTCCGAGCTGGCTTCAAGACCCAGTAGAAAGCACTGGTACAGGTATGCACTTACTCTAGCCGCAAAGGTGAATTCTAGGTCGTCCGACCGAAAGGTATTGTCTTCTATCGCCGTGTTAATAACTTCATCCAGTAGAGTCTCGTTGCGAAAGAGATACTCGGTCACACCCAGCCATATGCGGAAAAGCTAATCGAGATCAGAAATAGAAACACTTTTAGGGCAAGCACGGCATACCGGTGTGGAGCAAATCATATGGTCGTACGGCACAATTCCTAGCTTCCACCAACAATCAACCATGCCCAATAGACTCAGATGGTTATTGGGAGTTCTTTCTTTTGGTCGTTTGGAGAGTGAGAACTTGTCCAACACCTCATCTCCGAGCAAGAGGTTGTGATGCACAGCGTCGCTTGAGAAGACTGCTGTCCCTGCCGTTTTGATCCTGTGCTCCAGCTCTCGCCTGTGTCCACCCAACATCAGTTTGTACAGCTCAGTGACTGACTGAGCGTATTGTCGAATCTGCTCCCTGGCCGCGGGATTAAGGATCGCGAGACCGGCATAAACGTGCCACTTGTTGGCATAGATACGCAACGTGATGTTGATTTTGACGTTCTCGATCCCTCCCACATACCGATTGATCTCCCATGGGAACTGTTTGTTGGCAGCCCACGCAGTACCCATGCTCAAGAAAGCCGCATGGGTGACGGCTTGGGTATCTGCCGTAATCCTGTCATGCTTCTCCCCGGAGAGGAAGACCATCTTGGAATTGAGGCAGGAAAGAATTCGGACGCACAGGTCAACACTCTTTTGGGGAGCTCGATGTTTGACGATGACAAGGGGTTGGCCCGTGGGGTCTACAGCAGGACCATGTAAAGAGTGGCAAGACACAATCTCAACATCGTTTGGAAGATACTTTTCAAAGGCGGCCAGCTCGGGGGCTTTACAAGAGGTCTGGCCGCCGACTATGGCACCGACCTTTGTGGACGGACCATATTCGGCGACAACCTTGTCAATGAGCTCGGCTTCCACACTGTATATTATCCAGTCGCTAGCTCTTGAAACGAGATGACCATTGGGTAAAATATTGATTCCTTTCTAGTCTGGGTCAATCATGCTCATCGACATTGCTGACGACACAAACCTCATTCTCGTACTCCTTTTGGAGTGTATGAAATTTGTCTGGTCGGTCGCAAGCATTGATTCTGCAGGACTTTCTATCAGTCCACGTATTGGGTATCTCAACGCAACGAAACAGATCTGCAGAGAATGACAGTTAGCTAAGATCACACTTGTATCGATAAAGAAGTCGCGAAGACTGAGAGATTCTTCAGACAGGTAAAAAGTAAGGTAGCGAGGGTTTTACATCAGCGATAGCCGTCATGATAGGACACAACCCCAGAATGGTGAAGCTATATCACGATGACCATGCTCGAGCCAAATGCACTCCAGTCATCCTCGAAAGGTAGTTAGGATGTGAGACAGAGGGAGAGAGCATACCTAGCCAAAAAGGGGACAAAATGTAGCTGTTAACCCAGGCACAAACTCCATGTTGGCCTACCTCCATCCAGCTTGACTGAACTTCCTCGCGTACAAGCGACCCATATCACCCATTCCAATAATTCCCACGGTAATGTTCTCCATGATGGGCAATCCTAGTGGTCACAAGGGAGGTAACCGCGGCGTTTCATGGAAAGCAGAACTAGTCTGTTGGCTCGCTGCAGAGTTGGTGGTACTGTCAATAGAGCACAATTGAGATATGAAATTGGCACATGAAATTGGCCGAGCACCGAACCTAACTCTTTGAGCTCTGCATGTAAGAAATTACAACGCCTTCAAGAGGATCATCAACATCAGATAGAGGAGGGGAAAAAAGTTCCAAAGTTTCGTCCTGCCAAGCCCTGTCGGCCAATTTGGGTTAGCTTCAAAATTCTCCTCTCCGCACGGGAACCCAAAAACTCCCACAATCCAATATTCCTCGAAATTTCAGGCGAGAGAGAACACTTTGATCAAGATCTATCCAAGCCCTCTCTGTCCGTACGAAGATGCCTCCCAAGAAGAAGGTTGAGCGTGCTGCAACCGAGAACATCTCGCTCGGACCTCAGGTCAGAGAAGGTGGGTGCAGGACCCCCCCGGCACGAAATTGTTATGTACGGGCTAATTGAATTCCTATACAGGTGAACTCGTCTTTGGCGTCGCCCGTATCTTTGCATCCTTCAACGATACCTTTGTTCATGTCACCGATCTTTCGTAAGTTGCCAAAAAAAAAAATATCTTGCAAGGCTTTTTCGGGGGTTGGGAACAAGATTTCAGACAGACATGTTCATGGTACATTGGCTAACAATCTGGGTGATTCCAGCGGCCGTGAAACCATCTGCCGTGTGACAGGAGGGATGAAAGTGAAAGCCGACCGTGATGAATCCTCCCCATATGCGGCCATGTTAGCTGCGCAAGACGTCGCTCAACGTTGCAAGGAACTCGGCATCACTGCTCTACACATCAAGATCCGAGCCACGGGTGGAAACGGCACAAAGACTCCAGGCCCAGGCGCCCAGTCGGCTCTGCGTGCGCTGGCTCGTTCGGGAATGAAGATTGGAAGAATTGAGGATGTGACGCCTACGCCGTCCGATAGCACGAGACGTAAGGGTGGTCGTCGTGGTCGTCGTCTGTGAGCTGTGTGTGGCGGTTTTTATGGTCTACGTGGATTCGGAGGCGGAGGTACCTACAATATGCAAACGAAAGAACCTGGTCGATTGGGGGAAGGCACTGACTGGTGATGGATGTGGCCACCAAAATACGCGAAGAACGGCACTTTTTCTGCCTGGTCTTCATAAACCCTGCACCTATTTTCTCTGCACCACATGATGCAGATGAGGTAGTATACAGTGAAATCAAATCCAATATTTCATTTTGAACTCAGCCATCTCTTTTCTATATTCTCACCATCCACCCTCTCGGATTTGATATCAGTAGTTTCAATGGATCCGCCAAAGACGCCCACCCTGCTTCTCCTCTCTCTCCCACCCATGACGTTTATCGGAGTAGACCTCATATCATTCAAGGCGCTCCCCAGCTCCCACAACGTTACAAATATCCGCATCACAAACATCCCGCCAGGCCTGCATTTTCTGTACACGGGAACAGATGCCTCACTGTCCATTCGGCACGGTCGATGGCTGAATTTCACGGCGACCAAGCCGCAATGGTACGTACTGAGATGGAACTCCGACGCTGAGAACCTCGACTTGCTAGACCACGATGACCCAGCGGCACAAGAAGCGATTCGGTCCCCATCGACCCGTGGACTGGTTGACTACGCGGCCCTGCAGGATGCGACCTCAAGCCTCGCTACAAAGGACTCTAGAGAAGCAGGAGATGGTTCTACACCTCCATACGAGGAGCGGCGAGCAGAAAGCACAGACTGGCCCGCCCTGACCAGACACATGTCGCCGACATTTTTGACCCGCGCTCTCTCCTCAGACAGCCACTGGGTTGTGTCTTCCGTCTCCTCGGCGCCGAGTGACACAGAGTGCATTCCGGGCCTCTCGCATCTCGAGGCCTCGGACACGCTGCAACAACACCCACTAAATCTGCTACCTATCAATCTGAAGCAGACCTGGGCGGCCGGCGACATCGGACGAACGAGGACTGACCGGGCACGAGACAGAAGCTGGTATCTCTCACAACTCATTGAGAGCGTAACTCCGGTGAACGGGGACAAAGCAATCGGAGCAAAGGAATTGCTGGGCGAACTGCAATTCTGTTTCCTGATGGTGCTCACTCTCGCGAACTACAGTTGTCTAGAACAGTGGAAGAGGCTGCTTAAGGTGTTTCTGACGTGCCAGAATGCGTTGCGTGAGGCGGAAGCGTATTTCGTCCAAGTCGTCAAGGTTCTGCGTCTGCAGGTCTGGCATGTGGAAGACGTGGAGGGCGGCTTGTTCGAGATGAGAGATGAAGGGGGCAGCGCATGGCTACGAGCCCTTTGGGGACGATTCCGAGATCTAGTTGATGAGGTATTTGGAGATGGAAATGGGGAGGAGAAGGGAGCAGTAGCAGCAGCAGGTCAAAGTCTGAGGAGGGAAGTTGACGCTTTGCAGAAACTCTTCGAGGATAGATACGGATGGCAGAGTGAGAGGGATATTCTAAGGAGAGGCTTGCTGGAATTAGAGGATGGTGAAAGGGTCGAGGTTAGTATGTTGGGAGTAGACGAGGATGAAGAGACGGGAGAGTATGCACCTGTTGTAGTCGAGACGTAAAAGATATCGGTCGCGCGAGCAAATGAACAGTGCTCGCTGATACATGTAGCCTTGTCCGAAACGTGGGAATGGGTTGCCACAATATCTGAGTCCCTTCCTTGTTGAACAGTAAATTGTATTCATTTTTGGCCATGGAGCGTACGCCCCCGTAACGGGCTGTCGCCTCAATCAGTCGAGAGCGCGCACTTTGCATGGACGAATATGCCGTTACCTCGACCACGTCATCTGATGTTCCAGATTCTATCCCTGGTTGGAAGCCAATCATCCTCGATCTCTCCCCATATATCATTCCGCCATGACAGCCGCCAGAACAACCGCAGGATTATCACTTTCCCAGACACACCAGCACCAACCACTGCCTTTCGTATCGCTTTAACGGTATGATTTCTGGTATCTCGCTCTGGCACCCGGACCTCCGAACTTCTTGGGTTCACATCGTCTGTTGTCCGCAACCAGTAGTGTTCTGTCGTATTGCACGAGGGCCTGCTTCAATTGGTTCTTGGTGTATTCGTCGACATATTTCTGGTAGTAAGCGACAATGGATTTGGCAATTGCCTGTCGGATCGCGTAGACTTGAGACGTGTGACCACCACCGCTGACTCGGACACGAATATCGACGTCGGCGAACTTATCCAGGCCGACAATTAGGAGGGGTTCGTAGACCTATAATGCGCAATTTGTGTGAGGACTTCTGTGTTTTCCGAATGTGCGGGGAGTTGTTTCTTTCAGCCACTCGCAACCTACCTTGAAGCGGAGGATTTCAGGTTGGACGAGAGCGAGAGGTCGGCCGTTGACTTTGATGAGGCCTTTGCCTTTCTGTAAAATTCATGAGAATCTCTCCTTCCATTCATTTCTATCCCGTCGGGCTGTACCTTGCAATGTGCGACTGCGGTTGCTGCGCAATCAATTATTAGCCTTTCCATTCTTCCCACAAAACAAGTCTGCCATTCATACCAGTCTTTTTCTTGCCGAAGCACTGCACACTCTGAGGAGCCGACATCTTGAACTGACGGCAGTTGACAGAGTCGATACAGTTGAGAGGTTGTTGAATCTCAGAGTCTCGTCAAAATTGTGGTTGAAATTCTGGCGAGTTTCAACCGCAGATGGTGCGCGCCAAGATGAGCGAGGGAGCTAACCATAGAAAGACTAGTTTGCAGTTTCGAAGCTCGCGATTCCCCAATGAACATTTCAGACTCTCATCTTTCAACCCAGATATCCGAAGATTCATCGTGCTAGGTCTGAGCAAGAGCTGCGGTCTCGCTGTGCGCGCTGCCACGTTCTTCCATGTCAAGATAGCACCGCCCAGCCATGTCGCAAACTGTAGGCAAGGTGTGTTGATAATTTCTTTCTCTGTCAACCCTATTCCATCACCCTAACAAATTTTGATAGACTCGCCTTGCCTATTCTCGCACATGGCACTACATTGATGTCGGAACTGACCCACGACCGCTGGGTCGAATCGCCTCATCCATCGCAGTGTTTCTTATGGGAAAGCACAAACCGATATGGGATCCTTCGACCGATTGCGGAGACTACGTGATTGCGGCCGGATGCCACGATCTGCGCGTGACCGGCAAAAAACGCTTCCAGAAACAGTACTACACGCACACTACACGGCCAGGCAGCCTGAAGCAGATGAGTATGGATAAGATGTTTGAAAAATGGGGCGGAGGCGAGGTTTTGAAGAAGGCCGTCCGGGGAATGCTACCGAAGAACAGGCTGAGGGATAAGAGGCTGGCACGGTTAAAAGTTTTCGAGGGCACTGCGCATCCGTACAAGCAGAACATCGTCAGATTTGCAGGGAAGCCACACATTCCAGGCCCGGTCACGGAGGCGATTAAAGCAACGAAAACGAAGGCAATTTCATCGTGACAACAAACTTTTATCAGCATGTTTGGCGTTTGCGGGGAGAAAAATAAAGAGGCAAACTCTCTAGGGAATACGTATTAGCATCATTGCTTGTATTGTCTACAAGTCGTGGTGATGATGGACACTCATTGGTGCACTCCGACCCCAAACTCCCACCGCTGTCCCAAACCTTATTATACCTTGGATTGTACCTTGGAAATGCTTTCAGATTTATCGTGTAACAGTGCATTTGATCAAGCCATTGGGGTCTGTTTGCGGTGCATAGACTTCAGCATCCTTGCCGGTGTTCTTCAATCCGTGGTGCCAGCTCAAATCAATCTCGAAATAGTGCTTGTTTGGCAAAGAATAGTCGACAGCCTCAACCATTGGCTGGGCGGCAAGGATCTCCTCACACATCTTATACATGGTATTTTGCACACTCGGGCTCTCCTCGAGAGCAAAGAGACGGAAGGTGATCTCCCTTGCCTTGGCCCAGGTCTCATCGAACTTCGCTGAGTCCTTTTTGACCGCGTCAAGGCCAGAGAAAGTGGCCCACTTCCAAGAAGCATCTACCGACGTGCTAAGAATACGGTCATAAACATCTGGGAGAGTGGTGAAATCATTGCGGACGAAGTGGTGGAACTCGGAGCCCGTGCTCTTCAGCACGAGGAGGTCAGAGATGCTGGATTTGATCTCGATGCCCTTACCCTCAATGACGTCTGCTTGTACCAGTCTCTTTTCATTGCCGTCCCGGTAGAAGGAGTGAGGGTGTGGCTTCCCATCAATGGTCATTCTGGTCCAGCGATGTTGAATGATGCTAACGTGCGCAGTGTGGATGTGTTGGTACGTCTCAATGAAGTGGGTACCGAGGATAGATGCGAAGAGTTCAGGAGGGTTGATTGGGTGTTGCTTTGCCGTGATATATGTGGTGTTCTTCATGGAGTCCGTCGCAACCACCACGCTGTTGTCTGCTTCCGTGTATCTGTTCGGTGGTCAGTACAATGTCTTCCGTCCTGACATGGTGATGCTTACGATGTCTCGATTTCTCCTTCTAGCAAGACGCAGACTGTCATCTCCGTCACAGTGTGTGTCTTTGTGGCTTCATCCCGATCCACCTTATAGAGGCGGATGTTGTCCTTGCCATAACGGGCAGCTGCGAGCTTGGGCATGTTGTGTTCTCGGTGTGTTTTGATAGAACCAGTACAAATCTTGTTTGAGCAGCTTACTCGGTAGTACGAAAAGCTATATAGCACCGAAGTCAGCAAGCTCCCGTCATGTGATTGCAAGTTCTCTGCTCTCCGAGAAAGTCCTGAGAAGACGAGAAGATTTTATCTCTTTATAGCTGTTTGCTTATCGGAGGGGCAAGCAGTAAACGAGGAAATTTCATCCATTGCATTTTACCAATTGCATTGGTCGACAAGCTGAAGATCTGGTAGACCGCTGATCAGGGCTACACTAGCCGGTAAACACAGATGGTTCATTCACAGACGATTGGTGGTGTGGCGAGCCGTATGGGCATCGTACGATCTAATGTATGGCGGAGCTCGCCGACGCGCGCTTGTTTGCACCTGGAAAAGGCTCCTTTTCTGTCTCTCCTACTCGCCCCCATCAAATGCGGCTTTGAAAACCAATTGTGTTCTATCACCTGATGGTGCAAAAATCGGAAGAGAGCGTCGATACTTTGCTTCTAGTAGGAGTTGAGCGCGACTTCTACAACTGAGGGGCTTTTGTATGCTGCAGAAAACATGGAGAGCCCTGGTCTCGCCCAGAAATCATGATGTCAATGGATTCTAAGAGGTGCAAAATTGAAGGCGATTCGGAAGGCTGAGGCCGTAGCTGGGCTCCGAGATGCGATCTATGCCACAGTGTGGTTGAAGCAAGATGAAGCACTTGAATTGAAGGGTTCTAGCCAGATGAGCAGCAAAGCCGGAGTCAACCACCCAAACTCAAGAGAAAGGAACATGTGAACCCCGAGCCCCTGCGCTTCATAGAGCTATACTCCTCTGAAAAATCTGCATGGGTCACCTTACAAGTACTCCATGCTCTGTACTCGACAACTCTCACTTTTCGCTTATTATTGTGAAAATATCACACTCTTTCCTCTTTCAAAGGCAAACTGTCAGCCTGGTCCCCCGATTCACTAACTTTCCAAACGACAATCATTATAGATCGTGACACCTGAACGCATGGTTCAGCCGTAAACCATCTTCCAACCGCGCTCGTTCTCAAGCCCGTCACGAATTTTCGACTGCGCACCTCTTACCAAGCCTCATGAAAAAATCCAACCAGTTTGCACCTACATAGACCTATAATATCTTTATATCACCTCATCACAGTCTTTGACGGCCTCAAGCCTCATTCCGCGCCAACCGACGTCCGTCTATGTACGCTCCTCGTGCGCAGCCAGAACACCAAAAAGTCCGGTAGTGGGACCATACCCTTCATGGCTCAATGGCTTCGACCGACCAAGGGTCAGGCTACTCGGTGACACCTACCCAGGGAAGGGGTTTCACGATCAGACATGCTTCTGGGAAAAGTGACGACTTCTCCGCGTCTCAACGACCCTCCATGAAAGATGGCCGCTCCCTGTCTGGTGGAAGCGCTCAATATGGCCAAAGGGGCTTCGTACCCACATTGACAAGTGTTGGTCCTCCTGGTAGCTTCAGTACCGATCTGAAAAGTGCTGTGCAGTCAGGAAGAACTACGCCTCAGACGGAACTAGCGAATGTCACGATATCTCGACTGCAACCACAATACAGAGATGGAGACACCCTCACCACTTCGGAGCAGCGGCAGGCCGTGGTCCGTGATAAAATAGCGAAAGAAATGAAGATCAAGTTGGGGACGGAGAACATGCTGGAGGCTCTTTTGAGCAAGAACAACAAGCAAACCAAAGAACAACGACAAAAGGTTGAAATGGAATTGGGCACTTCCAACAGGAAGCTAGCTGAACTGAAGCAAGAACTTGACCAGGAAATTCTCCGTTCTCAAACTCCTACCACTCCTCCGAACAAGACACTCTCCGGTTATTTTCGAGGGAGCCCTCTCAAGTCACCCCCGCTTGGCCCCAATCAAGACAACGACCCGTCCGAGTCAGTTGACAGCGAGTCACCTACGGTGGTCCTCACGGAAACTCTCCAACAGCTGGAAGCGGACGGAATGCCACCGGATTATTATATCGAGCGCGCGAACACCTTGGTCGACCTCTTGAAGCGGAATCCCACGTTGAAATATGATCTCGCCTGGTCCGTCTTCCGCCTACGGGTTCAACTCATGTTACTCAGCGAGAGCTCCGATGTCGTGGCAGCAGGCTATCGGCTGACAAGACATACCATAGCTGATCGAAAGTCGTTGCAGACGATTCGAACCCTGCACACAGATGAGCTGGTTATCTTGTCCCTGGTGAAGAAGACCAATGCTGTTCTGGAACGCGAGCAAGCTGTCAAATTCGTTCGGGCATTCTTGGATGTGAAAGATGGTGTCCACGAAATCTCTCGTGCCGTGGTCCGAAGCTTAGTTGCAGTGGCCGAAACCTATGACGACCGATTAAAGGACATTTGCATGTTGACCTTGGCGGAACTGTTGACCAAGCATACCGAACTTGTTGTTTCTGCCAATGGCGTGACAACTCTTACGGAAGCGCTGGCTGACGGTTCTTTCCCGGCCCCGGAAGGTCTCGTTGCCAGCTTTCTTTACATCTTGGACCATCCGCAACAACGTCGATACTTGCACACCGGCCGGGAATTCGAGGCGATGTTTGCGCCTTTCACGGATCCTCTCCTCTTGAGCGGCAACGAGGACAGGTTGAAGACCTGCGCCCAGGCCATTGCCGCCATGCTGAAAACTTGGCCGGGCTTCCTTCTTCTATCGATGAACGGTGCTTCACCTCTTCGATCGCTGATTGACTCGCTCGTATATCCCATTCCTCAATCACGAGACACCGTGCTGGAGCTTTTCTTTGACATCCTTCGCATCAAGCCTCCTTCTTGGTCAAGTTCGTTTTTCGCTGGCCGACGACTGACTACATACGGCAGAGTCAACACATTGCCTGTTGAGCAACCTTCTCAGAGACAATTAGCGGAATACAATGCAGATGGGAGGTTTGATTTGACATATCACTTCTCTGCATTTGTTCTGGCGGCGTTAATCAGGGCTGGTCTGATTCCTGCTCTCATCGATCTCATTAGGATTGAAGAGGACCAAGCACTAAGGAGGAAGGCGACGCTCTTGCTCACCGAAGTTCTGAAACTAGCCCATCACACGCTCCCGGAGGGGATCAGCGCAAACATACAAGTCCTAGGTGATCTTGTGCCGACCCTCCGGGAGTATGGCTCCGAAATGTCCGCTATAAACATGAGCATGATATACCAGACGGAAAGCATCAACCGTGCACTCAACAGAACGTCAGCTTCAACGTACGGCCGGACCGTCCCCGTAGATGAGTTGGCTGTCGGTCCACAAGCGGTGGAGAGATCGAAATACACGGCGTTGATGGACGCCGACCAATTTCGTCAGGCCATGGCCGATAGTCAGATCACGAGCCATTCTCAGTATGTCAAGTGGAAATGGGAATTGATCCATGGGTTGGTGGAAGGACCATTGACCAATCCAAAAAGACTGGAAGAAGCAATCAAATCCCCCAAGTTCCTCAAGAGGCTCGTGGGGTTCTTCCGCCCTTTCAAATATCGATTCTCGATGATACGCAATACACGACCTAATCAACGATATGTGCGAACCGGTTGCGCTTTGATGCGGACTTTGACCCAAACATCTACTGGCATACAGTATCTTGCTGAGAACAAACTTCTGCGGCAGATTGGCGAATGTCTTGCGCAGGTAGACCCTCATAGCGGGATTACGTCCGCTAATCCGCTATTCGACCGGCATCAGATGGCCGAGACGCTGAGTGGAGGTTATTTCGCCATGCTCGGAGCCCTGAGTTCCACGCTTGAGGGAATGCGACTGATGGAACAGTGGCACATGATGGACATCTTCTACCATCTCGTGGAGCTGAGAAATCGCGACGATCTGATCAAAGCGCTTCTCGGAAATATGGACTTCACTCTGGACACTCATCTGAGGGTTATCCTCTCGAAGGCACTGACTTCGGGCGTCAAAGATATCCGCCTTTTTTCCACCAAACTCCTCCGACGCTACGCAGTAGGCCGGGTCCAGTATTCATCCGGGTTACAGGGGCCCTCTAGTTCCCACTGGGCTCTTCGTCTTGTTCTGACGCAATTGTACGATCCCGATGTGGAAGTTTGTGAAGTTGCGATCAAAATTCTCGAAGAAGCTTGCAACCAACGAAGTCACCTTGAGTACGTGGTGAAGTGCAGACCATCACTGGATCATCTTGGTGAAATTGGTGCGCCTCTTCTGTTGCGGTTCCTCTCGACCTCTGTGGGGTATCGGTACCTGAGTGGCCTAGATTATATTACTCAGGAAATGGACGACTGGTTTCTGGGGCGCAACGACGCCTACGTGGCTCTGGTGGAGGCGTCTATCCTCCGCGCCTACATGGACGGAAGCATCAACAAGACGCATTTCAACGAGGATCCGGCCGTTGATCCCCACGAGATTGGAATTGCACCTCCACACTTTTACCGTGAACTTGCTCGCACGGAGGAGGGATGTAAACTCCTGAAGCAATCTGGTCATTTTTACGAGTTCTCTTCAACCATTCGAGATTTTCGTCTGGATGAAGAAGACAATGAAGTATTGACCAAGGTGAAAGGATGTATGTGGGCGGTAGGAAACATTGGCTCGATGGATCTTGGAGCACCGTTCCTGGAAGAGGCGGATGTTGTGACCGCCATCGTGCGTATTGCCGAAGGCGCAGAAGTAATGTCGATGCGCGGCACGGCATGTTTCGTCCTGGGCTTGATTTCACGGACCCTCCACGGCTTTGAAATGCTCGCCGAAAATGGATGGGACACGACGGTCGATCCTCGAGGGCGATCATTAGGCCTTTGTCTGCCTCGTAACTTGGAGGTATTGTGTTTGGTGGGTATTCTTGCCCGCCACTTTGAGGTTGACGCTGACATCCACTTCAGAAATCTGTTGGATCATTCGAAGGACCGCAAGTTGCATCAGCGGAAGATGACGCCAAATACAAAGCTGCTGTCACGGACGAGAATCCTGTTCGAGCCAAAATTCTGAAGAGTATTGTCGAGATGGGTAATTCAGTCATGTACAAGAAAGCCGCCGCAGATCTTCATGCACTTAAAGCGAAACAACCCAGCCATTTCGCAGACACTGAGATGTTCCGGAAAACTCTTGTTATCCTGGAGAGTCACCATTATCGGCTACAGGCACGGCACTATATACTTAACTTATTCAACAAAGGTCTGATGAGACGGATTATTCTTGACGAAGAAATGGGAGATGAGACCGAATCAGACACAGGCTAGAGGCATGGTCGGACGGTTTCAAAATCCTAGAGGTTTTTGTAAAAAAATTTTTCAAAAGGCAATGACGGCGTACCAGGAGGCGAATATGGGATAGAGAGTTGGTTGTCTGCATTCAGACAGCAGACTACGAGCATGAGGTATGATCATGAAGACGGACTGGTTATGGGTTCTCGAGTGGAATGTTGGCTTTTTGGCATGAGCCATCTGGGTTCGGAAGGAGGCTCTGGTGTTCAACGGTGTGCGGTGCATGTGTACACTGAATGGAGGGAGAGATCAGCTGTCCAGCACGTGGATGTCGCAGATACATAGCGTGGACTATTGCGGTCGTGATGCCATGAACTGAACCGTGAGGCGGCCATTGGAAACTGATATCACGTGGTTCCACACGAGGGTGCCCACTGAAGTGATCATCGATGATGCCTTACAGTTACCGCTTTTTTGGCCATTCAGCGTCTTCTTCTTCTCGGACTATGCAAACTTTGGACTCCTCCCGATCCAAGCTGAGTCTAGATTAACATCGTTTCGTTTCCACAATCCTTGCCTATCGCCAGCCGCTTGCTGCAGTACACCGTCGTTGACCTTCCAATCCCGATCTTGGATTGAGCAGACATTACAATAATCTATTTCTTCCTCTAGCTGGGCAAAATGCTTTTTTACGGTTGACCTAAGGATCTTGTGTGACCGCCTTCTTTTCTTCCTACGCAATTGAGTATGCTCCGACAACCTGACTAGGATACCCCGGGTTCAACTCTACCATTCAATGCCTTTATTGTGCATCTTCTAATAGCGAGGTGGCAAGGACAAACCATCTATTCACCTCGAGTCGACGCAGCCTACAAAATCTGATCAAACCAGGCTCCTGGAGTTGACGTAAGAGTTGGATATATGCAATTGAGCCCATATATGGATTCGACCAATTTCCAACGCTGAATGGTCTCCAGGCAAACGAAAGAGGGGGATCCATCGGGATCAGAGCGGCCTGACAACCAAACAGAGTCCCCCCCGACCGCGCAGATGAGCGGTGATGGTACTCAGTTTCCCACGAAGGCCCCGGGCGGCTTTGACGCCTACGATGATGCTCGAGCCATTGTCAAATTGTTCCAGTGTTCGCAGTGCTCGTACCCTTTGAGGGAACCGATATCGCTACCATGTGGCGATACAATCTGCCGGCCATGTCTGCCACCGTTGTACAAGAGAGAGAATATAACATATCCCGTTGTTGAAGGCAGGGCGGATGGTTTTCTATGTCCCTTCAAGCGATGCGGTTTGGAACACTCGATCGGGGATTGCGGAACAGATGTCACCCTCAACAACGTGGTCTATCTCGTCAAAGGTCACATTGCCAAATACAAAACCGCGTTGCAGGAACTTCCACTTTTACTGGAAGAAAAGTTGAATGGCCCTCCCGTGGTCGACAGTTCAATGGACGTTATGCCTCGATCCCGCGTTCTTCAAGGAGGACGGATCGTTGCGACCTACATCCTTGCCGACATGGGTGAATTGCGTTATGATTCCGATCTGGCATATACTCCAGTCGCGGCGGATTCTTTAGAATCGGCTCGAGCACTTGATGTTGGGGTCCTTGAAAGTTTGAGAGAGATCATTCGGCCCGAAGTAGAGTGTCAAGTGTGCTATCAGATCATGCTTGACCCTCTGACGACCTGCTGCGGGCATACATTTTGTCGAAAATGTTTCGCTCGTGCCATGGATCATTCCCATTATTGTCCCATGTGTCGTCGTAGGCTCCCGACGCTATCCAGCGTTCAATCCGAACCTAGCAACAAAAGGATCACTCATTTAATCCAGCACCTGTGGCCTGATCTTTTGGCTGCTCGGAAAGCCATGGTCGAACAAGAAGACGCCATCGATGAAGAGACACGATTGCCACTGTTCCCTTGCACCCTGTCATTTCCGCAGATGCCTACATTTTTGCATATTTTTGAACCGCGATATCGACTGATGATCCGACGAGTCTTGCAAAATGGGTCGCGCAAATTCGGCATGTTGCCGTACAGGGAACCCGGATTTGCGCCGGGCGAGCCACACTACAAACCCTACGGAACGGTCTTATTCATTGAACGCATCGAAATGCTTCCCGATGGTCGGAGCCTGATAGGGACCAGGGGACAGATGAAATTTCGTGTTGTCGAGACCTCCATGCTTGACGGCTATCTGATTGGTCAAGTGCAACGGGTCGATGACATACCTGTACATGAAGAAGAAGCCATTGAGTCGTTGGAAACGAGAGCAGTGCCTGCACCGTTCGGAGGCGAAATTGCTCGGATTCAATGTATGTCGACACAGGGACTTCTCGAAAATGGTTTAGAATTCGTGGAACGAGCCCGATCCCAGTCGGCTCGGTGGCTTCACCAACGTGTCCTCGACACGTACGGTCAGCCGCCCTCTGATCCTGCAATCTTTCCGTACTGGCTGGCGAGCGTATTGCCCATCTCGGAATACGACAAATATCAGCTTCTCCCGGCGACCAGTGTGCGAGAGCGTTTAAAGATAACGGCCGTGTGGATTTCGAAATTAGAAGAAGCGAATGCGTAAGTTTATCTTTCTATTCCCCTTTAAAGAGCCGGAGGGCACGTCGCCTGACATCGCATGCCTGAAGTAAGTTCGAAGCGGAACCACGGGTTCGCGAAACTCGTGAAACTGAAGCTGAAGCTCATGGGGATCAATCGAATCATGAAGACAATGCACCGGCACAAGAAGGCGGTTAAAGTTACAGCTGTCGCCCATACGACACTTACGCTCTCAGATCGACCAAGACTACCAGCTCGAAGATGACAACCACAAGATTAGGAAACTAACTTCTTGACCCTGATAGGCAGCAATCTTCGTCGTGTGTCGTCTTATGACTGGCTGTGGTGGACATTTGGCGGTTGCATTGTCATTGTGGATACCCTTTTCCCATGAGTCTCCGGCTAGACCGGTTGTCATGAGCGGGAGCGATGGGCAAAATGTTTCTGTGATGTACATTTCCAAGCTATTATGTTGCTGGTTGCATGGTTTTGGCCAGCCTGAGGGTCATGATACCCCATTTCATACCGATGGGGCCAGTGCCGATACCGGCACGACGAGGATTGCCCATGGATTGGTGAGAGGAGCAAGGCGTAAGGAGCTTTTCGAGGACCTCGAAGATGAATAGAGCCCTTTGTTGAGGAGAACGGGCAGTTATTATATATGCTCGTATTCCATAGACCGACGAGGCTGTGACGGTGACGTCAAGCCAACTTCCCTTCCCTCGCAATTCGCGGAGTGGTGGTGCGAGTAACTGTTCCATTCCGCTTATTACATATATGTTTCTTTTCGTTTCACTCAATCCTACGTCGTCCTCGTTCACGAATCGAGCTCCCATTGAAAGGACTAAATATAATCATCGACAAAACCATGCATTCTACGCGTGTCCTCCTCTCCGCTCCCGCCAAGGCCGTTCAAGCTGTGTCTGAGCTACCACTACGCACAACTCAAAGGGTCAGATCCTTCCATTCCAGCTCGTCTCTCCCACAGCAAAATCAAAATCGGGTGCTCGACCTCTTCCGCACTCCTCCCCAATTCCACGATGCGCTCCGCCTCTGCTCCGCCAACAACACGCTCCTCCTGACTCTCTTTACAACCTCAACATGCACGTCCTGCCGCACAATTACACCGCTGCTTCAATCCCTCGTTGAAAAGCGTCCCTCGTCCAGTGAAGACCGGTACTCGGCGCTCGCGTTCGCGGAACTCCAGCTAGATAGGCCGGGTACAGGTGCTGGGAACATGTTTGATTTGGCGGTGGAGTATGGCGTGAGCAGTATGCCGACCCTGATGGGATTTGGAGGACGGAGAGCGGAGCGCGTCACGGAACGACTGGTTGATACGAGGGTGATGAGTGATGGAAGGAGAATGACGACGTGGGTGGATGATCAGATGAGGAAAGGGGATCGGTTCCCGGCGAGTAGTCAAGATGGGAGTAATGGGGTAGGGGAGGGAGCAGGGGGCATATTGGGACGGATATTTGGGTGAAAGAAAAAGAGAAAAAGGGAAAATGAAAAGAAAATTAATGATAATAAAGGGCATTTCCCTGGGAGGGCAGCAAGGACACCAATTCGATGCTTTCTATGAGCATGCCTCCAGGTCGAGCGTTTGCAAGCGCCTCTTCGTGGATTCGTAAGAGGCGCAAAAGTTATTGTGAGATTTTCCAACTCATTCGACCTACGTCTACGACGAACGACACTCATGTTTCAGCTCTGTGAAGAATGCCTTACCATCTACAGTGCGTGCTGGTTCCCTCGTTGCCGATCGATGGAACTACGAGCATCTGCTGAACAGACCTCGGTGGCCGCATCCAGGACCTAGCTGGGAAATTGCAACCATCGCCCGGCTCCATGCATCATTCTCTCAGTCAAGGTTCTGGCTCTGGTCAGAGAATGAGAATTCCAGCCTGTACCAATCCGGGCCACGTCCAGTGGCCGTGAGACGATGAATGATGAATAGCACTCACTATCTAATATTGCTGTTCGCCTCAAATTCTCTCAATACTAGGCCGCTACTTGTCAGGAAAGCAGCACCAGCGAACACGATGTTCGTTTGACATGCAAGTACACACATAATCATAAACATCGCGGTTCTACAATATTGCATATGTATCTCCAAGATACCATATTCTCTATGTGGACGAAGAAATCACATATGTCTATGTCATCGAAAAGTCCACCTAGAACCAGCAAGAGAATAGACATGAGGACCAGTGCGGCCAATAGCACCTGCCAAGGCCAACGAATTTGAATGCCTATCTGGTTAGATGAGCCGTCAGGGTCGGCGCGTTAGACATGGAGACGAAGCGCCGAAGTGCCACTGTGATCAGATTCTCCCGTGGGCTGTCAATTATGTCGAATGTGGAGACAGATTTCCGTGCAATTGTAAGTTTATCAGACTCGTGACTCGTGTGAGATACGGCAATCGACACCGGATACCTCAGATTAGCCTCAAGCATCTGCAATGATGGATTTTGGGGCATCTCTCAAAGAAATGGCCCGTTTGCGGCAAGGGGGACCCATATCTTCATATTACCAGCAGTCGTAGCACGGCCCGCACTAACGATAAGTTATGTATTTCAACCTGATGAGCCCCATTCGGAGGCCCATTTCGTCACGAAGACAGCCACATAGGTGGTGCTGTAGATGGCCGGTGACGATGAGAAAAACGTCAATGCTACTCTTAAAAGCGGCGGCATCTGTCTGCTATTTTCGGCTGCCTTTCCATTGCGACACCACCTTTGGTAGTGTTGGGGGGAATACCGTTCTTAATACTCCAGGCGATATCGGGGACCCGCTTCTGTGACAGAAGTCAAAATCAAAAGAATGCCGCAGGTCTACCACATCTCACAGAATTAGCCCCATCTGGCCATGTTTTCATCATCCGAAAACGCAGAGTAGGGCACCCATTAGGTCAGATCCATACCAGGGTAAGCGTAAGACGACATCAACGCCCCTCGCCACAGCATCGATGACAGTCGACCATGGCCAAACCTTCAAATTTGCTAACCTCCGTCCTCGACTGCCAAGGTTGAGATATAGTCCCTTCTTGCATTGGGCTTGCCAATCTTTCCGCTTGGGAGGAGGGGCTGTCTGCGTTAGTCCGGGAAAATAGATGAACTGTGTCTCCAACTATCGACATTACGCGCAAAAAGCCGGTTACCTGTTCAGCATCGATCTTACTGAAAGATATTTGAATTGAGACCTCGAAATCAAACAAGAAAGAGAACCCTTCAGACTGTGCCACCGCTGGCCCGACCCGACTCTTCTCCGCCATCCTTTCAGTTCTCCCACCTAACGATTGATTCAAGAAAGACCGGCAAAATGACTACCACCGAGACATCGGATCGTCCAACGAAAGTGCAATGGGAGGAGCTATGCCGAGATGTAAAGAGCTCGTTGATGGAAGAAATGGGCTCTGAGAGTTGGTATCTGATCATCGTGGGTTTCCATATGTCTTTTCTTTCAGACCATCACTGTCTCTTCTAGTTCCTATCCCAGCGTGTCATGCTTCTCAGACCAGAATGGGCCAAGACCCGCTCTTGCTGCAAGAGACGACGATGACTGGGACAGAATGGTTTAATCGAGCTTCTGAAGAGACCCGAATTCTTCCCCAGTGTCACCCGAATCCTATCCGAGACATCATCTAGCTAACAGAGCCCTACATTCATCCCCCATTTCATACGCTCTCGCCTTGAACCCGTCAGCTCTAACATCAATATCCACACACAGGCTACAATACTGACCGTGTCACCGGAACCACACTACCTTGCCGATTTCTGGACGCACCTCACCACCCACGACCCTGAGTTTTCCACCACCGAGTCTAAGAAACGTCTTTCCATCCGGCTGAGCGATATGCTGCTCAAGCAGATCACGCTGATCGGAGCACCACAGGTTCTCAGTGCGTTGATCCCCCTTGCCCACAGGCAGACCGGTGGTAAAGGAGAAGAGAACCGAGGTGAATTGGATTTAGACCAGTGGTAAGTAACCAATACACAGTCCTCCCTGGCCATCCATATCATGAGATCTACCATACCCCCTCTCGCCGGCCGCGCTAATACTCGTTGGTCTCGCCCGAGGTCCGACAAGACCTTTCCCGCTCTACACGCTCGAGGCATCGAAACAATAACCAGCATCTACGGCACCCTGTGGCCCACCATTTTCAAAACCTTCGGCCCCCATCGCTCCTCCATGGGTCTACACGAACTCACCATCGTCTACGGCCTGTACCTATCCGATTTCACTCACCTCTCGGCCCTGGAGACCGAACTTGTTGCCTTCACATGCATCACTGCCCAGGGACTTCGGGGCCCGAGTCTCTGGCATGTCCGTGGACTCGGGCGTGTACTGGGTGCGAGGGGCAAGGATGACGAGATTCCCAAGATGAGACGGATCAAGGATGTCATCCGGGGTGTTAAGGTTGCAGCTATGCGGGCCGTGGAGTTTTGTGGGAGTGAGATGGTGGTTAAGTCAAGGCTAGATGGGGGAAAGGACGGGACGCAGTGTTGGCCTAATGTCGGCGACGTGGTGAGGGAGTTAGGTGGGTGGGGAGATGATGAATGAGAGCATAGCAAAGGAGCAAGGCTGAGATATGTTTCATTAAAAGGAGGGCCGGGTTAGTGAAGTATTCCCGTTGAAGACCCGACCCTGGAGATACTTTTATGTGAGATGGTTGCAACGCGGTTTACGCCTCTAGGCGTGAGACAAACGAAAATACAGTCGGTTGGTGCTCATCTGGTTTACATTTCCGCGATTCCAGCATCATCTCATCTGTTCCACAGGGCACGCATACAAGTTACCTTGAGCTGCCCAACTTGAAGTCTTGCGAAGAAAATAAGCATATGACCGTCTGGTCCTGAAGTCGATGCCAGCACATCGGACCTAACTTCTTTTCCAGAGCATCCACCTGGCCAGCGTCGAACCCGACAGAGTCATCTCGCTTCGCGGGAGCATGCAACTCATGACTTCTAACCTGCACCGTACCCCGGTCAGAGCTGGGTCATGGAGCTCGTCTGTGTGAAAATGTGTCTCCACGGTGTTTAATTCCGCGCATCAAATAAGAAGACGGAATAAACCAAGCCTATTTCTACGCAGCTAGACCTTGCTTCTCGGATTCGGAATAGAAGATGAGCATACGCCAAAGCTTGCGGACGAGGACTTCGGATTCTTCGTCGAGAGCCTGTAGGGGACATAAAAATCAGCATTTCGTTTGTTAAAATCGGTGCAAAAACAAGACGAGAGGGAGGGGGAAGGAGGAGGGGAGGAACCCCCCCCCCCCCCCCCACAAAAAAACTCACCCCTTCCAATTCCCCCACCAAATCCTGCGGCTTCCCTCTCAAGCGCAGCGCATTGACAACGACATCAACGAGCATCTGTTCCTGCACGCCGAGATACTCGACGATCTTCTTTTCGACAAACGGCTTAAGCCGCTCTTCAATGACGCTCTCATCCACAAACTCCCACTTGACATCCCAGTTCCACAGACCGTCTTTGTCGTTAGGGATATCAGCAGCGAGTTGTCGGGCTGCCTGAGCACGTTCTTCCTCGCTCATGGCCGAGGTGGCCGATGCGTCGTATTGGATCGGGATGAGCGTTCTGCGACTACCAGAGTGGGAATCTTCCTCTTCGTCCTCGAGCAAGCCTTCCACGTCGGCAACGGTGCGTTTTGACGCCTGCGATGCGCTTTGAGCGGCCGCCTTTTGAGCGGCGGCACCGAGCGAGAGCTTGAATCTGGCCGGTTCGCGGCGTGAACTGTGTTGTCGATCCTCTTCTTCTTGTTCGTGCCGACTCATCTCCTTTTCCTGCCTGCTCAGGAAATCGTCGGCCATGGCACCAGCGCGTTCACGTTGTTGTAATTCTCTCGCCCGTTCGCGCTGTTCGGCCGCCCGATCTGCATCGTCGTTCGCAATTTCCCGTTGCCGGAAGCTGGCACGATTGCGAATCCACATGCTTCGGTCGGCATAGTATTCTTCGTGTTTGCGGGAAGATTCGATGTCGTCGTTCCACTCACGTAGTCGTTTGGCCATGGCTTGCTTCTCTTCTTCTATACGGGCTGCTTCGTCCTTGTCACGAGTCTTTTCGCGTTCCACTGCAGCTGTCCGTGATCTCTCACGGTTCAACCAGCGTCGTTCTTGGTCGAGGTATTGTTTTTCGAGCTCTGCGTCTTTCTTCTCTTTACGTCTCCGCTCAAGTTCCTCATCACTGGCATCCGTATCTTCATCCTCGAAGGCGGATGCGCCGCTGATCCCTGTTCCGTTGACGAACACCACTCCCTTTTGATAGTCTCGGGGAATTTGTTGACCAAAGCCTTTTGGACCAGCAGGAACCCCTCTCGGGCCGACAGGTATGCCGTTAGCGCCCGCAGGTCCAGACGGAGCCAGCGGAGGTGGCGAAGCAAGACGATTGAACCGTTCACCGTTCATCATACGATTTCGTTCTTGTTGTTCAATCTCCTCTTCTCGCTTTAGCCGCTCCAAATCGCGACGATTGCTTCGATCTCTGAAGGCAGCGATTTCTTTGGCGACAGTGTCCCGCATTTCAGCGGGAATATCAGAGAGCTCGTCATCGACGGTAATGGGGATGGTGACAATGTCCCCATTTGCACCATCGGGATGTGCGCCGTCCGTCATATTGACGTCTCCTTCTCTATCAATGTTTGATAATTCGTCCTTTTGCGTGGGGACAGTGGGGTTAGCGAGGTCCTGCAAGACCGCTTCCAATGCGCTTCGTGCATGGTCGAGACGCATTTGCACTTGGTCCGAGTCTCGTCCACCCTGAGACTCTTCCCATTGCTCAATATAGCTGAGAGAATGGTCATCGGCCACGACCTCCAACGTATGTCAGTCCACGGAACGCGATAAGGGGACCGATTGGAACTCACAATTAATTTGGACATCTCCACGGTTGACTCCTCATCGGCATTCGCATCAGTCGGAGTCTGTCGTTTGACAGGAACCTCAACATCCCTTAGTACTTCTATGGCAGTACTGAGGCTTTCAGGGTCTTCGTACTCTGCAAATCCAAACTTGCAAGGTTTGTCATCGGCATCGGTAGCACGAACCCATCTTCGCAAACTTCCAGCTGCGCGTAATATTCGTTCGATGCCTTCATCTCCTCCGGTGCCTTCGGTAATTCCTCCCACGAAAATGGTCTTTATGATCTCCTCTTTCGTCTGGGGTTGTACTTGGGTTATGCGATCTCTTTCTCCTCGAAAATCCGAGCCCATGCCCGAACCCAGCCCAGCCCTTCTACCACTTCGTTCTCGATCGTCTCGTCCTCCCAAATTGTCGGGTTTGGAGGGCCCCGAGGTTCCCAAGCGAATGACGGGTGCGGAGAAATTGATGTTCGGCATATTGACTGGAGGTTGAAAGTTTGGAGGAAAAGCGCCAGGTCTACCCGGTTGGTGAGCCTCTTGCTGTTGTATTCCGGGAGGAGCGCCCATGCCTGGCGCGGTCACACCAGGAGGGGGTGCTACAATACGAGTGAGTCATTTTTATTTTTGCAGTTGGATGTCAAATGGGGGTTATGACTTACCCATACCTGGCGGCGCACCAGGGAAACCGCCGTAGTCTCCCGGCGCGCCATATTGCCCTGGCGCTAATTGAATTGTTAGCGATCGTTCTGGTAGTGAGATATTAACGAACATACCTTGGTACGGGTTGTACATCGCGGCGAAAGTTGGGTGAGTTTTCTGTCGGGAGATAATATGATTCGCCACGCCCTGAATTTGAGAGACCGAATGGATGGATATCTGGTAAGAGACAGCAACAGAAGAAGAGAGCCGGCTACACTCTGGACGCTGAGACTGATGTGAGTATGGCAATGCAGACAATTATTTACGCATCCGAACTTGGAGCAGATTAACTATTGATCCTTGCCAAGAGCGGGTGAACCCCCCACCCCCTCATACCCACGAGTCACCTACAGTTCTCCTCCATACATGTGCCTCATACTATCGGGGCGTCGCATTGCTGCAGCAAAAGATGCACTCTAACTGGGTTACCGGCCAGACCTCTAGGGCTACGACAATGCAGTATCCTTCCACACGAGGTGCCGACTGGGCACTGGCATCTTCCTTCCCCGTCGATAAGTTATGATTGATTATACACTGCTGCCATCATAACCAGAAATCTTGACCGCTCTTTGGGGGCATCCATTCATTCATGATTCTGATTCCAGTGTGCTTGCTGTCCCGCGGCGAGGGTGTCTGATGTCGGACAACGTTCACGACACGTGGTCCAGCTTGGTCGTCGCAAAAAAGGACTACGTCGGCCCAAATCGAGGCGGCCAATGTCGCCAGTGAAGCCGAATTTCGCGATGATTTCGAGACGACATGTCGGAACCATCGCCTGTTTGACTATTCGAGGCTGCTGGGTATGCTTAACAACCGATATGGCCATGTCATAGCATTTACCCACGCCATCGACGAGGCCTGCCAGCTCAAGGATGACACCTCGACTGGTCTTTTCTGGGCAGTCGCGATCACCGCCGTAAAAGCCGGTTACTTATTCATCTCTACCCGCCCATGCACAATTTGACTGACTCTGCTCAAGTCTGCCCTAGAGGCCGGAATTGAACTGGTGGATTTCATCCGCTTATTGCGAAAGCTAGATACCGCATTCCCAAAGTTTGGTGTCGACGTCTCTCGATATCGTACCGATCTTCGGATACAACAGAATATTTTCAGCCAATACATTGACTGTTATCTTCCAATCATTGAACACTTGACAGAGGGAGAGGAAGGAGAAGACGAGACCGCTTGTGAGATACACTTCCCATCGGAAAAGGGCGGATTGACACTGACTGTGATAAGCCGACCTGGACAGTTTTATTCTGCCACTCATTCGGGAGGCAGATACCAAAATCAAAAAATACTGGGATACAATGCTTGTCATCGCCCGACAAAATGAAGAACGGGAATTACGCAAACTCGTTTCTGCCACCACTTACGTCAATGGTATTCACGGTGAAGGACACGGCTCTAATAATGTTCGCTTCCGGTTTATTCGTCACCTAGGGACGGGAAGCTACGGTGATGTCTCGGAAATGGAGGAACTGTCGACAGGAAACGTTTACGCTCGTAAACTCTTTCGATATCATGACGAATCACAAGCCAGGCGCGTGGAAACAGAGGTCAAGAACAAGGTCAAAGTCATGCCGAAGCTACGACACCATCACATTGCTTCCGTACTCTTGTGGGTCCGAGATCCGGATTCCAAAAACCTTTAGCATTTTCATGTTGCCCGTGGCAGATTACGACCTTGGCTTTTACTTGGATCAGCGGTGTGCCAGTTTTGACCGGGCCCAACTCAGATTGATGGAAACTTGGTCTGGTTGCTTGGTATTCGCGTTAGCCTTTGCCCACGGACTGAGCATCAAGCATGAAGACATCCGACATCCTTATCAAGGATAAGTCGCCCTATCTAGCGGACTTCGTAAGCGCCAAAGATTTCTCAGTGTTAGATAGGAGCATCACCACGGATGAAACCAATATTGGAACGCCCAAGTATCTGGCCCCCGAGGAGCGTCCCGGGGAGCCCAAGGGACGGGCAACCGACATTTTCGCCCTGGGTTGTGTCTTTTGCGAGATGCTTGCGGTCAGACAGGGAACATCTCGCGAAGATTTTCACGAATGGCGTCAAGATGGCAATTTCCCGTCTCCATTCCGAGACGCTTTGCCAAAGGTTCATCGGTGGCTCACAGACCTCCCGGACCTCAACGAAGCGGGAGAATTCATTCGTGATATCCCATCAAGGAGGGAAGGCCGGACGCCAAAAGACCGGAACACTTTCCTATTTCTTTCGATGGCCATTCCGATCTCCTTTTCTGGCGCATTGAATGAACCTCGTGTTGATCGTCCTCCCCCTTACTCTAGCGCATCGATCTCGTCAGCCCATGGAATTGAGGTTTGAGCTCCAATTCGGGAAATGGTGCAAGCCAAAGCCCGGTGTGCTCGTTGGACCGCCTGTTGAATGTTCCATTCCCCTTGTGCTTTTTGACGAACATAATCGGCTGCATAGCAACCCAGGAATGCATCGCTTAAGTCATATCGTTAGCCATTGTCATCCCAAGGGGAGATTGGAAGCATACCCTCCTCTGGTAGAATCCACCATTTCAACATTGTATGCTTCTTCATGTCCACTGGGTCCTTCTGCCGTGGCGTAGTATATTCCTTTGGGCCCAAGCAAGATGATGACATTCTTGACCCTTTTTCATCAAAAACTCCTTTGAAACTTCGGCCCAAGTGTCCTGATTGACTTCTATGGCAGCTTCCGTTTCATTGATGACGAGATGTGTAACGTACTGATACAGATGTGCGAGAAGGTGCTGGCTCGAGGATTTGTTCCACAGTCTCCCTTGGGATGGTAAGGTACAAGATAACCAAATCGGGCTTGATGCCGTTTGCTAGACTGCCAACCGTACGAAAATCGGACGGTTGATGAACCCAGTTTGCTCCTCTATAAGACATGACGCGACTCCTGTTGCCCGCAGAACGAAATGCCTGTCATCTCTCCTGGAACAACTCGTACGCCTGATATATCGACACCATTCCCTCTGAAGATTCTCCATACAGAGTTTCCCATTATCATCATCTCCCACAGCCCCAACGAGAATCACACTGATGTCGTCTTCTTTGTCCTGCTCCCATACATACAAGAACCGGGGTTCACCTTCGTCGTCGTCCTCCTCCTCGGGACACCTGATATGACAACTTCGGAAGGCCGATAACGCTGCGTTTGATCCTTTTCCGCCCGGGATCAGGAACCCGGTCAGTTACCATGTATGAGTCGATGTTTAGTGTGCCGATAACGCTTATTGTCCTCGGTGGCATCCTGGTTCCTTCCGGACTGATGGGCAAGACGACCGATCAGGCCTTTCACTAATTGAGGAAGGGGATGAAGTACAACGAGATTCAGCCTCAGGCTGGATTGTGCCCGATGAAGCAGGCTGCCAGCACTGCGCCTTTCTTTTCCATCTGTAGGTGCTGCAGATTCTGTGACCAATCTGCTCGGATCTAGGCCCTCTTTTTCATTTAGCAATCATGCATCGCAGTCATAACCAGGGACTTCCTCACTAGAGAAATATAGCCGACAACGGTCTTGCTATCAGCTCCAGTTTGATTATTCAATAAACATCCTGAATAACTGGCTGACTGGTGGCAAGTCTACAATCTTCTATACAGGGCATGTCGCTCTCTCCCTTCACAAAGAGAGTAGTAACCAAACACAGGGTGCGAATGGACTAGTAAAAAGGCATATCTCCCGTCACAAAACTGCTCGGGCCCGTTTTAGTGGCAGGTCGCTAATCCGATGAATTGCGCCCACCTCTCCTGCAGCCTAATCAGCCGCCTTGTATATTAGAGTGCAGCCCTCTCAGAAGCCAGATCAGCACACCCTCCGGTGGCTGAACACAAGGCAGACAAGGCGAATGGTTTAAAATTGGGGCTTGACGCCATTTTACAATGCCTCCTGCAATACCCGTCTCTATGATGCAGGCAGTTATGGTCGAGATGCCTCGACTGTTCGAGCGATGATACAGACCGAGCACCACAAGCTTTATACATGGGCCGAGGAAGCAGGACTATTCGAGGAACCCCCACCCTTCAAGTAAACGTTCGGGACGCCGAAGTTGTCCATCGCAACTCCATGAAACTTTTTGACCGATGTTCACGCACTCAGAGCCAAACATCAACTGGATTTAGAAGTGACCAATGAGGAACTTAAATGGTTGGATGAAAAACCAATCACCGTACAGTCCATGATACCGTGGCGAAGTCACAAATTCACGACCGACGTATTGCACAATCGCGGCAAAGTATGGCGAAAGCTGAAATGGGTATCGATTGTTGGCCCAGGTAGCCAAATTCATCGCCGACTTGGAATGCTTTCCTGGAGAAGGCCAAACGGGAAAAGCAAAATTGAAAGCCGTATATCGAGCCGTTGTTTATCAAATTCTGACAACCAGCTCCATCTTTACATTACTGGGCCAAGAACTAGGCTCTCGATCAAAACCTCTGTACACAACGCCATTGCTGCTGCTGCAGAATTGAAGCACAAAAGGTTTGATGCTTCAATACACGGCGTCCGCCCCAGCATATCCCGACAACTGGCATATTACCAAAGGCGTGCCGTTCTCGTGGAGTGGAAGACTACGGAGCCAACACTGCTGTGATAGATCGTGTGAAAAAACAGTGACTTGGTGATCCATCTTTCCACGCGTCACAATGCCGAGGATACTTGAGGTGCCCCCAACACTCAACGGTTCGGCTTTTGTTTTGATATCCCCGAAAAGTACATGAGAGAAGCGTCACGGCTTTCAAGTTCCAGCGATCCATTACTGTCCGGGCTCCCCTGCATGCGCTCACTGCGAGAGACTCTTGAATTTCCTTTCTCTTTGCCCCATCGATCAATAGGCGATTGACGTACACAATCACGCTCTTGGAGACCGTTCTCCAACTCCATACAGCGGGCTTGTTGCACAAAGCAATCCGTTCTGAGTCAAGAACAGCTAGACCCTGTCGTTTACCTATGTCTACGCCCGAGTCTATCCAGAATCCTTCTGGACGCAATTCAGCTTTGACCTTTTTCGGAGCGAAAAACATCTAGCATAATCAGACAGCGACGCCTCCATTTCCGACTATGGTGACTCATATATCCGAGAAACACAACACGGGGAACTTTCATGGGCGAAAAAAGATCTGCTCTTAGACCAAAATCTCAATTCCAAAGTCCGGGGCAACAACGCAATGCTTATATCTGGCCATACACACGGATGGGTGAAGCATACGCCAAAATCGTGGCCGGATTGTCTGCAAGCGCCATCTTGCAACCATGTCGATCAAAAAACATTCGTTTGCGCTCAGCCTGGAATCTCAAAGCATAGTCGCGCGATTAGGGAAACTTTTCCAGGTCCATCTTTGGTCAATACTTATTCAAAAAAAATATGTTGCGGGTGCTGACAGTGCTTGCTTGTTCGTTTGCTTGAGCCGGTCTGAACTGTGGATTTGGAGCTCCTGCCTGGGCTTTTCTCTTATCTGAGTGGTTCCAACTAGCTTTGAACCCAATTTTGGGTCTCTGGGATTTAGCCGTAGTCTCGAAGACCCGATTTCTCAGGACCTGGGTTTATAAGCCACTGGCGCCTCTTCGGTCGACCCCTGTTCACGCCAGAATAAATGCGGTACAAAATTTCCCACATAGCGTTTAGCATTGAACTACGGCTGAGCATAATCCACACGTGAGAAATTTCAGCGGTTGGCCTCTATGTATGCCAGCACTCAGTAGCGACCCGTATGCTACAGAAATGTCCTCTGTACTGCACTAGGCCTATTGCATTGCTTTTACTGGCACAGATCTTGCGTAGGTATGGAGGAGATAAAAGGCTGATACATGCCTTCCGCCCTTCATACTATATGAGAAGAAAGCAATAGCGTTGACTGTTTTGAGCTGGGGGGAGGAAAGAAGGTGGTGCCAATTTTTCAGCTCCCAGAATTGGAAGGGGAAAAAACCCCCGACTGACAAATTTTCGTTCGGTGAAGTAATTGAACCACGTCATATCAGCCATTCTCGCGACAGCATTTGACGATTGTCCCTCCAAAGGGTAGAAAACGAGCTCTTTTCCGACCATTGAGGTTGCATTGCCGTAGACACCGCCCATAAAGAAACCAAAACTACGGCAAAGGATTGTGAGAATGTAGCACTGACCGTATTAAGACCATCAGCCACTTTCGCCGCACTGTAAGAGCGTTTAAAAGGAATGTCAAAGTGATCGCCGTGGTTATATATAATAATGGGGACAGCTTTGACCGTCAGGGATAGCAAAAGTGTGAAAATCGAACGTGTCAACGGCCCAAGCTACAAAGCAAACTGAGCTGGCAAAGAAGGCCGACAGACTGGGCTGCGGAGCTGGTCGACGCCATTCCCGTCCGGCTTCGCCTTGCGGTTGGAGATAGCGCATCTCTGCTCCCAGCGGAATAGATCAGCAGCTCATGATTGCTTTGATGTGGCCAGTACGCCACCGACTGGTTTTGGCTGGACCGCACGTGGCAGCCACATCATCATTTAGTGTCCAAGGCCATATTGAGACGAAATCATGAAGCAAAATGATCATGTGGGCAAAATGACGCTGGAATTGATGGGTGCCATTCTCTTTAAACGTATTTTTCCGCAGAACAACTCATTCTTTGAAGAAGGTTCGAAGCCGCTTGCCAATACCGTAGACTATTCGAGATAACCGTTCTCGTTGTTTCCGGCCTAGGATGGGCCAGAGAAGTCGCACGTCTAGATTAGCAACACCGTTCGAGAAAGGGGTAAGTAAAACAGGAAACATAGTCGTGGGCCGAAGTAGAAAGCGAGATAAACCGAGCCGAATGCGGGAGTCGTCGATACAAGCCAGGTAGTTGATATGTTAAGTCGATAAATGACGTGCTTCGGAAGTCGCTATCGTTGGAGGATTTCGTGAAGTTTCTCAACCTCATAATTTCTTGATACCCCAAGTATGAACTGTGTCCCAACCTCCTTCTCCCTCTTTCCGAAGCGAGATAAGCGAGGAATACTAGTACTGGTGGCCTGTAGATTGTCTTCCCAGCATCTGACAGCAGAGTCAACTTAGTTGACAATCCTGGCAACGAATGGGACACCTCCTATACGCGAACGGGTTGCACATTCCAGCCACGGTTGGAATACTTGGCTCTGAAAATGATAGTGGTAGTCAAAAGGAGGATTTCAGTCAATCGTATGATGGTGATGGTGCGTCAATGCGAGATCGAGACACTGTGTAATCTGTGAGTGAAGAGGACAGAATGCTCCGAGCATGTACTGACTGATTATGCGAGTCCCTAGAGACTCAGAGATATACAAAGGCGTTTGTTGAGAAGCATTCGTATTTACCCAGGCGAACGATGAAATCCAATATCGTACCGACGTGTAGTTTTGCAAGTCGGCGGCCGTGTCGGATAGGGGTGTCCTGTATCGTATTCTGGGTGGGCAAGGCTTGTCTTTGGTGTGATGTTTTGTCGGAAGACTGTGTGAAAGCACGCTATAGCTATGATCTCGCTGATTTTCCTCCACTATGCCCCGGTATAGGTCTTGAACTTGATATCATATGAGCATCCACGGTCCCCCTTGACTCTGAGGTAGAGAAGGTTTTAAAAAGGCAAGCTCTAGATTGATTCAGTGAATCTGGGGGTCGACTTTGATCATGATAGCTCGGAGGATACTTGGCGTATGCCAGGAGTCAGTAACATGTCCTCAATCTTACAGAACCTGCCTGGGATGACCGTGGTTTGTACAGATTATTTGATCCTTCTCTTAATCTCGAGTGCGGAGCTGCGTGAGCACTACAGGTCAAAGGAGACTTGGTTAATAGGTGGACACGTCGGTTATGTGCAGCTGGGAAGACGATAGAGATCTCGGTGATCAACGACAGTCATGTGAGAGCGCCATGGACTCATACAGTCGCCGGGGACAATGAGGCCCGGAGGGGGCTCTTGGAGGTTTGTTCTTGCTAAGGCCGTTGTGTGTGATTTCCAAAATGTCCTGCAATGGGGGAGATATTCGAGGGAAAAAAGGATGTGATGGCAACAGGGGTTGTTGCGAGATTTCTGGAAGACCCGAAAGTGGATTCCGCAGTTGGCACTTACTTAGTACTCCATCCACCAATTTACAAGTTTCTCACTTACCCGGGCTTACCAAAATGGTTCCATTTACCAGCATTGGAGAAAGATGGACTCAGTCAAAATCAGCAAGGATACACAACAAAGAGTCGTGCGAATGGAAGGTACACTGTCCCCCGGTATTTTGTCCTGATCCCTTCGTCGTGTGGACCATTTGGCTGACGACTGTTTCCTGTTCTCAAGCAGATAGATTTGCCCCTTGAGATGAATTCATATCACCAAGCTTTCGTCCCAGCTATCAGTCAGGAGACGGCGACCCACTTGTTCTGGGTCGAAAGAGACTGTTGGGGAAAAGATGGATTCTTCGACAGACACGAATTTCGGTTCTCTCTCGAAACAAGCGCGTCCTCATGCTCACCACTACTTACGAGTCACTCGTCAAAGTACGTCGTCTCCTATTTCCGCATGGTCAAATGTGACAGACTTTCTTGTCACGGATAAAGTTGGGCAGCATCAATTCAGATGGGGCTTCGTTCCAGGCCCCAATCCCGACTCGGAACAATGGGATCGGATCCGAACAGATCCGAATCCCCGAAAGCAAGTGGAACGCAAGAAGGCTGACCGGAAATCGACCTCAAACTTCCCGATTGGCTGCGAAACTCCTACTCCACCGACTCCCTTTCGGCAGCGAGCCTCATTATGCAACCTTGGCGGTAAGACCAACCTCGAATGTCGTACATCTCGCTGTCAAGGAGCCTCTTTTGGCCTGTCGAACAAGAAACTCACATACCTAAGGAGCCTGGGAAGCCTCCTGATAACACAGGTTTCACCGCAAAATCAGGGCTGAGCCGAGATCCTGCTCAGGGAGGCAGTCCCGAATTTGCAAAAATGGAATTTGTGTTGCACAGAGAACGTGTTCTCTGCCCATGGCTTGGGGTAGCATCCATGGAAATACCCCACGGCAGAGGAAAAAAGGCCGATATTTTCATTCATCGCCTCCTTCAAGGCACCTCTCCTGCATGCCCTTGCAATGCGGGAGTCATTTTTGTACAGTAAGTAATTCAGATCGTTTGGTAGCTACCCTGCTCACCAGATCGATTTGACGAATATACAGTAGCCATCGGCACACCTGCAATGAGGCTTGGAACGGGCCTCTATAGCCGCCGAATCGACGATGCATCCGACTAAAAAGGGAAAATTCCGGACGCCTAAAAAGGCAAGGTTCGGGTCCAAAAACAGGTCGAGACAATCTGAAGAGAGGCCCTTTTCCCTCACGGATGGATTGTTATTCTCTCGAGAACACGTTATTCATAGACTCGTGGTCTTGGAAATATGAAATTGACCCGCAACAAGTTGATCATCAGCGTATCGAGCCTAGACCCCGTGCATGAAATTGAGATCAAGACAGGGAGCGAAATTGGACTTCATGGGTCACATTCCTGAATCCTGAATCCTGATGCTTGCGAAATCCGGGGATTTATGGAGAATCGGACCTTCGCCACGCCAATTGTTGTGCTCTAAAGTAGGATGGAAAATTTGGGTAGAGCGCATCGAAAGACTTCAAATGACAGGGGCCCCTGGAAGCCACTTTCCATGGGCACCTGAACTACGTGGCTACCACAAAATGTCCAGACTGGCCAGGGTGATACACCACATCCGGTGGTATGTCGCATGATGCATCCTGCACAGGGACTTCTGACAAACTTTCAACCAAGCGCGTTGTCATGGCCAATAACGCGATTCTAGTCCATTGCCCGCCTAACCACACGAGACCCACGCTCGAATGTTGAGGTCCCCCCGCTAAGGGAGGGGGCAAACCCTCCGCCAATTGGCGATGCTGAAACGCTACAGGCGCTCTTCGAGACCGGCCCCCGATGGGCTCATTGCGCCTATTGCTGGGCTGGCGGCTTTCCCCCGCACACCAAAGGAGGTCCGTTCGTTTCCGGTTAGGATACAGAAGTCTATTTGCAAAAGCCGCAGTCATCGACCGGGGACCCTTCTTCCACGGTAGGTATGATGAGGGGGGAAAGGAAGCACCCAGCTCCTTGAAGCATCAGTGTGGTTCCATACCAACCCCCGGAGTACAAGGTCGAGCAAGACAAGGAAAACCCGTCCACCCCCCGCTCGAATATCCATGTCACACATCATTCATCATTCATCTTCATTTCATTTCCTTGTCCTGCCATCAAGAATCGGGAACCATCGAAGAAGATCGAGAAAGTCGGGTCATCAGTCTTTCTACGACTTGGAGGCGGTCTGAGAAGGATTCAGAGAGTCAGCCCCGAACTCCACATGCTGATTCGTTGGCTTTTTCATCACGTCGCACAAGGCGCTCTTTCATCCCCGTCAGTTGCAACTTTATACCCTTGGTGAGGCGTGGAAATCTTTCCCCTCGTGGTGGAGGTGGCGTGTTCTGGCCCTTGTTGTCATGTGTGAAGACAACACCAGCTTCGTCTTCAACTCGATAACATCATACTTCTACAGCCTGCTCGTCCATCGTCAAGTCTCTCGAGTCACGCTCCGGAGCATGTCTCTTCTTCCGCCATGGCTTCAGTAACCTCCAGCCAAGCTCCTCAATCCGAACCTGCAGTCGCTGGCTATTCCAAAACCGCTCGCCGACAATACCAGAGCTGTGATCAGTGTCGCAAAAGCAGAAGGGCTTGCGATGCCGGCACGTTGAGAGTTACCAGCTTTCCTCTTCCCCATGACGAGGAACCGAACGCGCCCGCCCCCACGCGCGAAGCATGCTCCAACTGTGCAAGAAGCAGCAAGAAATGTACATTTGATTGGCTTCGTTCTCTTCCTTTGCATGGTCTGCCCAAGGGCGTCAAACGAAAGCTCGAATTGACGGGCCTTCCAGAGCCTCATGTCGCTCCATCAGACTCCTACGGGTTCCCGTCTTCCTATACGGAATTGGCATCGCTGCCGAACGCCCAAGTCGCTGAAAACTTCACCCACAACCAACAAGTCGGACATAATAATCACACATGGTATCCAAAAATTGCGCCAAGCACAAAAGGTCTCCCTGCTCTTCCAGACCTGCTCCATTCCCAGACCGGATTAAGCACCAATACCATTGCACCATCCCTCCAGCCGCTAGGAGCGCCAGGCAACCCGACCACCATTCTTCCTGGAGAAGAGGGGTCACAGAGCAATCCGCGGAATCTCCTCTTCAATCATTACGACAAGTCGATTTCCCCATCGAGCTCCAATTCGACTGATTCTCGAAAAGGAAACTGTAGATCGGATTCGGTGGGAGGCTTAACGTCAACACACTCGGATTCCAGCCGCGAAAATGACGATGCAAGTGTTCCAGCCGACAAGCAGACCAAATCTTGGGCCGGTCCTACGGACCTTTCCGATACCGCCTTTGTGGATCAGTTCTCATCCATAGGCTCCTCTTCACGAGGCCCTTCAATCGGCTCAACCCAGTGCTGCAATAGCGCCGGACAAAGCTCACTACCGCTGTCTTCTGGCCAGGTGCGGTTGGCGGACAAAGCGATGAAAGCAATGGTAGCCAATGGACTGCTTCGAATCTACCATGACAGCTTTGAAAATTCCTTGTCATGCTGGGTCACGGAAAGAAATTGCCCTTACGAGGTTGAACTGAGTGATCTTATGGCTTCGTCAAATTTCAGGTCCACGGCAGAAGAAACGGCCTACAAACTCAGTGATAACCGAATATTCTCACGCGTTTCGAGATTGGATTCCGCCTTTGCCCCCCTCCGAGGCCGTGCTTTGACTGCATCGGAGAACGGGGCAGCCCAAAAGGCGCTCAATGCCGCTGTCATGGCGTTTGCGAGCCAATGGTCCCATGGCTCGCACAATGCGTTCTGGCGAAGTAAAGAAGACAAATCGACGACGAAAACCTGGCAGGACCGGGGCCGGAATGGCCCACCTAACGACCCGGCGTTGTCCGCCGAATGTGAACGCATGATCCAAAAGACACTTTGGCACAAGGCCCGGAGCGCAATCCAGGCGACCGCCGAAATTGACTCGTTCAAAGTCATTCTGGCTTATATGCTCTTTGCTTTAACGCAGAGGCCCATCGATGAAAAGAGCAAATCGACACAGGGATCACCACTCCAGCCCCATGGTGACGCAGCAAACGCCCGTCACAGTTCAGGGGATAACCTTTCCGGGGATGGAACCCCGGCCCAATTCACCGATCCGGCTATGGATGCCATGGTGAGTGAAGAGTGGAATCCATTTTACGCCAGTGACCTGGAGGCGCTAGTGTCTCCTCCCATCTACCTCGAGACGGCCGTACGGAATTTATTCTCATGGAGGCGCCGAGTGGAACGGTATCGACGAATGCGCTCCCAAATTTCGGTGGACGGGTCCATAGGCACCGTGGCCCTGAAGGACCAGCAGACGTTCAACATTCTCTTCTGGCTCGGCGTCATGTGCGACACGACCTCTTCGGCAATCAGCAAACGGCCCTTGGTCATCCCCGACGAGGATTGCGCCATGATTCGAGAGAAGTTGGACTCATTCCGCCCCAATGCTAACTCAGACCTCCACTGGCCTGGACCAGGTGCAGACCAGGCGTCTGGACCGCCAGAACCGGACGGCCAAACAGGCGCACTGTGGGGAAATTATTTACTGACCTTCAAGTGGGCAGGACCCCGAAAAACTCCGCCTCGATGGCCATGTTGCTTCGACGAAGCAGCCTTGGTTCTGCAGGAAGCCATCCCGGTGAAGGTGTTGATGTTCCGGAAAGTCGGACAATTGCAAACCCTCGCGTATCGAAGAAGCGCACCACGCACGCTGGAAACCTGCATCGAAGAAGCCCTCACCGTCTATCAACACTGGAACGCGACATACGGACAGTTCATGATTGATTGCGTCAACGAGCACAACAACCTGCCTCCACACGTTCAGTCGTGGTATGTCATCCTCGACGGCCACTGGCATTACGGATGCTTGCTTCTCGCCGACACGATCGCACAAATCGACCGGGAAGAGAAGACCATGACCCCGCAGCGAAATCTCCGTGTCATCTGTGGCCTGATCACTGAACTGAGGAGGATGAACTCGCAGGCCATTGCGAAGATCGCACAGGCGTCTCTGTCCGAACACACGCCCTCGTACCCCAACAACCCGGAATTCCACTTCGCGTGCAACGGCAGTGCCATCCTCACGGAGCCGTGGACCGACGTTCTCGTCCGTGCGATGGGCAGCGCTTGTAAAGTCTTTATAAACTGGCTGTCCATCTGGGATAAGCCGGCCGATCCTTTGCATAACTGGGTGGTGACAAACACTACCTACGATGACTTGTATGCACAGGCCGAGGCCTGTATTCAGGGCATGACTCTCCTGGGTCGCAAGTCCGACGCGGCCAACTACACGGCTAAAGTGTTTTGGACCCGGCTGAGTGAATTGTCCCATCATCGCCGTTCTTCGGACTCAACTGAGGATGAGAAGTCACTTGCTGAAGAACTGGTTTCGGAATTGTCCGAGCTGAATCGGGTTTCGAGGCACGAATCTCTTCTCATGGCTATTTAGAAGCGGATCTTTTGGATTTTGTTGATATTTATAAGCTTTAATGTCGGGCTGGGGTTGGGGAAATTCAGATCCTCGAGCATTTTTGTGTTCGCTTGCATGACGAATCGAAATTTTGTCCGGTACTGATTTATGGATTTGAGTCGAGAAGAAAAATCATTTTCTGTAGGCGTGGAACTTACGATGGGAACTTTGGGGAGTGGACTTCTCACCTAGAGAGCTATCTCTTTGACGGCCTTACCTTGCATCTTGGTATCACGGACGAGAGTCTGGACACTCATTACTAGCTTGGGGAAGGGACAAAAAAAAAAGCATGGAAAGGAAATCAGGGCTGACATTCATTCAAAGGGTGAGTGAGGGCAAAAAGGGAAGGAGGAGAATTAAGGGCTTTGGGAAAAATTAGAAATAATGCCTGGGAATATGGGAACATGGGCAGAAATCGAGGTATCTGGAGGGGGGAATCCTAAATTTTCACAAATGCGACTGGCAGCCGAAGCGTCAAGAGAATGAAACAACGGGGTCGAAATTTAAGAGGCTTTCCTTCCAGTGCACGGTTGAGATGGACTTCTTTTCTCTTTACTTTATCGCAACCACTTCGCATAAGCCCATTCTATGCGCCGCAGAACACTGATTTGCCTGTGCACCCCAGCCTTGACATCCAACAAATCATCTAGATCTTCGAGGAACTCTCGCTGTACGTTCCTCGGCAGGACGAGTCCGGCTCGTTGGCGCAGAAGATGTGCTTCACACAGTAAAAGTCCATGGTTTTCCTCTGAGATGATCCCGTACTCGTCAAGATCGGAGTTGGTTAATGTGCGGTCGATGTTTCTGTTGGAAGGCGACCAAAGTTAGCAGCCCATTTTCGGCCTTTTCCCGCTCGTCTTACGGATGTGTTGTAATAAAGGTCTGCCATACCTGATTAGTCTAATTGCTTCGCCCTTTCTCTTTCCCTGACGAAGGCCCTTGCGACCCCCGAAGACACCTCTGAGCCACTGAACGAGGGCGAAGGAGATGAGTACACCTGGTGCAATGCCGACGAAACCGAAGAGCAGCTCTTGACTCTTGAGGAGAGAATCAATGCCACCTATCGCGATTTCAACGTCGACTTTGGTCTTTTGTATCTGAATGAGCAACGTCCGAACTAGGTCGCCCATTAAAGCGTTCTTGATGGGGCTTTGCATCTCTCGCTCGTACGCCTTCAAAACCGGAGTGAGGTCCCCTTCTTTCACCTTGGCTCTGATTTCCGCGACCTGGTGTTCGGTGAAGTGGATCCCGTTTTCAGGATGCTGCACGGCAAAGTCAACGACCATGCGTTCAAGACTCTCTCGGTCAACCTTCAGGCTGTCACGGCTTTGTATGGCGATTTCACTCTGCTCGTCGTGTCGAATGGTGCCGATCAACTTCCGCGTGGGCTCCAGCACCCAGTTGGCCCCAAAATCGATAACCGTCTGGCCTAATTCCTGAAACCACTGAACGATTTCGGCCCTCCGACTTACAAATATCCTCAGCAATGTGCTTCCCGACAACAGGAGACCCAGAGCGGGGATCCAGTACCGTACGAGCCTAGAAGGTTTGCCATATTTCAATCTCATGGACTCGGCCTCCCGTTCCTGCCGTGGAAGATTCTCGTCGAGAATTTTGATCAGCATCGCGGCCATTTCTGCTGAGGAGGCTGTCGTTGGATCGGGCATTTCGACATCATCGTCATTTTGCCCTCTCATGGCGTCGTCCAGCACGCAAATAGTTCTAGCAATGGTCGTTTGCCAGTCTTCCTCTTGTTCTTGCATCAATTGAGGCAGGGCTCCATGTTTTCGGTCTTCCGGAGCAACATCAAAGGCGAGGCATTCACGAACTAGCCGTCCAATTGATCCAGCGCTAGACTTTCGCAAATCTTTGATGTGGTCCAGATTTCGGCGAACATGCATCCGAGCTATTGAGAACGGCGATAGTATCTTTGTCTGTGCTTGGGCCAGAGACCGTTCTCGGATACTGCTTCGGACCAAGCCATAAAACTCGCGCCAACTGTTCGTCAGGGTGTCAGTGGCTTGCCTAGCGGAAGTTCTCAGATCCGATCCATGATAAAATTTTTCGCGGGCATCGGCATAAACCTCTTTCGCCTGATCCCAGAATCTCATGGGTGAGGTCTGAACGGTGTAAAGAGCAATATTTGCGTGTGATTCCAGTAGATCGTCCCAGTACCAAATGGATTCACTCAGTGGAATGGTCCGATCGAGTAGAGAATTAAGTATTATTCCGTAGACCTGCGTTGTTGCCTTGCCTGTTGCGACCCATTCTAAATCGGATACATCGGATGAAGCTACATCGGTCGTTGCTTCGGTCGTTGTTTCGGCCTCCTCTTTCTTTACGATTTGAGACAGAAGGTAGCGGACTCTGGATCGCCGTAACAATGGCTTCGAACTGGTGGTGGTAGACAAGGCTCTGACAACGGCTTTAAGCTGGTGACTTCGCGGGTCGTCCTCCGGTTTCCTGAGAGCTGTTTGTGCAACATCCGGAGCGGCTGCAGCTCTCTCCTCAGCCTCTCTCAGCTGGAATCTATCCAAAACTGCGTCGATCCTTCGGAGGTCACTAAGGCAAAGTCAGAAGGGCTGGAAGAAGAAGTATATGGGTTGGAAAACGGTACTCGTCAACGAAGGACATCTTTGAACGGGGGCGGTAGAGCAGCTTGGACCGAGGGCTGGGCCTTGAAGAAAAGTTGGTCACAGCCACATGATTCGGTTCAGCTCTGGTGTGTTCTTTGGATGGGATCACAGGAAGGTCTTCATGGTGGATCACAAAGCAAGGAAGCTGCTCCGGAAGTCATGGTATCATAAATTGTTCAAGGACGAATCTCACGGTCCGAACAGACGAATGTAGAAGCGCACACTTCGAATTACGAAAACTCCAATGACGTCATGTCAAAAAACATTTTCTTCCATCTCGATTTTTCAATACCGTATCCAGAGCCACGGAATTACAATGAGACTTCACGACTATGCCTTTCAAAAGAGCAGAGGCGATGGAGAGAGGGCCTTGAAGAATCTGGTCAAATCAGAGAAATGGCCTCGATTCCCGTCCGAAAGGGAAGGGTCTGGGTTGACTGATACCAGCCTCATCAACGTATTTGACGTATACTCTGTTATGCCCGATCCCCTTTACGCCAGCAGGAAAAGCTGTGAGTCTGCATGAGATAGTGACAGATCTCATAACGAAATCTCCCACTCCGATAACGGCGTTTGAACGTGAAGCAGTATGGCTGTTTGATATTGCCGATCCTGTTACTTGTCTCTGTACTCGGTAGTGACTTATAACTGGGCCTTTGCTGAGTGAAGTTCGGTAACTGTTCGTACCTGGGTTTGCCAGGCAAACAGGCGGCGCAAGGGGCGGACGGGCGCATGCGGGCCCAAAGCAGGGGCGCAGGCAAAATCCATGCCATCAACTTTGTGCCCTCTACTGCAGGCTCGCCTACCACCAACCCCCCAACATCTGATCTCGACGCCCATGGCCATCACCCACTCCGGCCGAAAGTCTCGGCCTGCGCCCTCCAGCTCCAACCTCCCACCACTCTATCCAGAGTCTATCCAGCATTTGTCGCATCAATCATTTTCCACTGTCACCGAAACTCTCCCTTTGTCACAGGCCAGCTCTTTACCTACGGTCGCCGCTTCGCAAATTCAAGTTCTTTTGTTTACAACCTTGGTGCCTTCGACTTTACCGCCGTCAACTTTCCCCTTGACCGCCCCCCCTTCTCGGAGTTACAGTACGACCAGATTCCACTCCCCCTTCGAGGGACAACCGTCCAACCGGCTCGCCACAAACAGGGAAGAAATCGACGACAAATCTCGGGATTCCCCGTTTCCTACCTCACCGTCCTAGAGCCTCACAATGTCAGGACAACGGAATTACGATTTCCTAGTATGATCCTCCGCCCTGACTCTGAATCTCACAGTTCCTGCTGCAAATCCTGACATGCTACTTTGATAGATAAAACTTCTCTTGATCGGAGACTCAGGGGTCGGAAAATCATGCTGTCTGTTGCGCTTTAGTGAAGATAGCTTCACCCCCAGTTTCATCACCACGATCGGTATAGATTTCAAGATCCGGACAATCGACCTAGACGGCAAACGGGTGAAGTTACAAATATGGGATACCGCAGGTCAAGAACGTTTCCGCACGATCACCACTGCATACTACCGAGGCGCTATGGGTATTCTGCTAGTATATGATGTAACGGATGAGAAGAGCTTTAACAGTACGAGAAAAACCCCAAGTTTGACTTTCTGGAGACAAACAAAGACAATCCAACGAGGAAAGCTAACAATGTGAAATCATAGACATAAGAACTTGGTTCTCCAACGTCGAACAACACGCTAGCGAAGGCGTCAACAAGATTCTCATCGGCAACAAATGCGACTGGGAAGAGAAACGAGCGGTTTCAACGGAGCAAGGCCAAGCGCTCGCCGACGAGCTGGGCATTCCCTTCCTCGAGGTCTCTGCCAAATCCAACGTCAACATCGAAAAAGCCTTCTACTCATTAGCCTCGGATATCAAGAAACGATTGATTGACAGTTCGAAGGAGACAGAGGCAGGTACTGGGGCTCAATCGGGTGGAGGGGGCATCAATGTCTCGCAGAACCAGGGAGCTGGAGGGACGGGTGGGAAGTGCTGCTAGATGTGTAGCTGGAACAGGATGCCGTGAAGAGGAAGGAGTCGTTGAGGTCAAGGTGGACTGGCCCTAGCGAAGAAGGCGACGGAAGAAGACGAATAGGGTGAAACAGGACATAAACAATCGAGCCGCGATGGTCTGATCTGGTTTGATCTGGTCTGGTCCGGTATCTTCGATATCTGGCCTGGCACTACTTCTATTTTACATTACCTACCCTACACTACCCGGAGGAATCTTGGTCTTTCGGACTTCCACCTTGGAATTGCAGACTTTTTCTCAAAGGGAGTTTGAATATGAAAACGTCAAGACCGAACATCCAGAACTTCTCAGTTTCAAAAAATTCAATGCAGGCTCGCAGACAGATCAGCGGGCTAACAATGACAAGAAAGAGGAAGAGAAGAAAGAGAAAGACATTCCCCCCAAATAACAAGCAATCTAAAAAGAACATGTTGATTCTGGAATCCTGCTCCTGTCATTCGTCTGGCATATATTAGACGACTCTGCACAAGGAGCAGAAATCAACAGCCTGCTCAATCTGGGAGCTTGAACGCGATTGGCTTTGCTGGATTTCCCACACGGCAAAAATACAGAATTCGGCCACCGGAGTTGAATAAATGGGGTTGTTTGGACGGGAAATGCTTTGTAACGGATGCTGTACTCATTCACGAAGGATCTTCATTGTAATCGAGGGTTAAAGACGCAAGTTCATCAGCTCTTTGAATATCGATGTCTCTTGTTTAGATTTTTCTCGCTGTGATCATGGTGGCCTTGTTGCTCTCGCCTGGGACGGGTAGACCGTGGTGCGTGCAGTCTTGCTGGCCGGGTCGAACGACGAGAACTGTATGCTTCAAGTCGGGTAGGAAAAGTGGGACATACAGCTTTCGGGCACAAAGAGAGATATGATAGGGAGCGAAATGTCAATATTTGACGAACAGAAAGGGTTCAAGAAGCGAACGGAGCCAATAATATTCAGCATGTACTCAGGAAAAGAATGATAACATGCAATAAAACTTTTTTGGGGTCAAAGAGGACAAGGTCAAGTGCTCGTATCAATTGAGGTGCAATGCATTGGGACAAGTAGCGTTGCCAACCAAAGCGAATTTCATCTCCAAAAAAAAAAAAAAAAAAAAGCTCCATAAAATGCCCGTGGTTGTGGTTGTGCCCCTTGCTTCTCGTCATCCAAGTGTGATCGGATCAACTCGTGTCTTTATCGTTTATTCATTGCTATCGTGTCACTCGGCCGTAGTCATCTGCTCCGTGATTCCTCTTGGGTTGGAATTTCACCAGGCGGGCGAATGCAACGGCAAGACCACTTTTTTTTCCGGTTGTCTATTTAATAGCCCACACCAACGAGGTAGGCACCGAGTTTCTCGACCGTATTTGCAGCCGTGCCGGGTTGTATTGTCTCTGGGTAGTGTGTGATGAGGAGAGCTTGTTTCGTCTTGACGATGACAACCCCTTCCCGACCCTGTACAGAGTATCGATGTGTTAGCACGCTTCCTGTGCCACAGGTATCGGTCGCCATCCTGGACGGTGTTTGGTGAAACCAACCTTCTTTCCATACAAACTGGTCTCATCGGCCTTGATGACGATGTATTTCTGGCCGGCGATATGCAATCCCGTAGACTGGACTTTCTTTGGTTGTGAAGTGTCTTTGTACGCGCCGACAACTTCTTGCATCTCCGCAGGCGTCACGTTGAAGCCTGGAGAAGTGGCCCACACCGAGTTTCCTTCGGCATTGAAGATGGCTGCTTTATCAACGTGGCCAGTGCCGACAAGGCTAGGTTGGGGTGTTAGTTAGGTGGGCTGATCGGGCCACGGAAGAGGTTTGGGAGGGGGAGGATGCACCTTTGGTCGACGTATGCTAGACAATTGAAAACTCCATTAGCGTGTGGTCTATCTCGAGAAAATCCATCACTGATGCTTCATCCAGGCCTACCTTGCCAAGACATAGTTATTGAGATGTTGTTGTCTGCCGCAGCCGGGAAATTCAGGTGACGAGAAAGCAAAGGGAATTGTTCGGGGAGAATTGGGAGGCTCTGGCGCTGGTACCGAGCGAGTGATATCGATTAGGAGATGGATGCAGAGACGCAAGAGTGATAGGTAGAGAGAACGCGAAGAGTGAAAGTTGAGATGAATTGATGGGGTCAGTGTCAGGAAATCAAGGCCGCAGTTCCATGCCAAGTTCACAGTTAACAGTGGCGGAGATGGTGTCAGTGTTTTCTGTCGGCCTTTTGGTGGGGGGTTTGGATTCAGGTTTTCATATTGGATTCGGGAATTTCAAATGACATCAATCCCGCTGCCTGACCGTTTCAGATTTCCCTTGGCCCGCCATGTCCTTGGCATATCTATATGTAAGAATTTGGGTCTTGGATATTTCATGGTCAGGGTATCGAATCCCTATCTTATACATCTATAAAATTCCCAACCAGAAAGCTCAAATAAATCCATCAGAGGCCCATAGAAAACAACACCAGCTCCCAGAGACCCTAGTGTCTATCAGCAAGTGAAGAATCAAGTCGTGTTGGTCCCAAGTCAACCAAGCTTCTCTCTAGATGGACAAGACTGCCGTAAACGGTGCGCTGAACTCTCACGATACCAAGGGCCGATGACCAAATCAAAATCTGCATTCAAGATTGCCCTTTTGTCCCTGATGAGATGGGATTTTTCCCGCCCGGACAAACTACCTCTGTCCTCATCGCTTTCCTTCCATTCGAAATTTTGTTTTAAGCAGTCTGGGGATGGAAGGTAATGTTTTCCATGGAAACATCCTCGGAAGTTTTGCTTCGCATGGTGGCATATTCCGGTTTCCAGAGGGAAGAAAGGCGAGGGAAGCAGTAACCAGGATGGAAGATGGTCTGGACGAAGACAGCAATCACAATCATCCTATATCTTTATCAGTCTCAAATTGGTACGAGTTGCCATGAACAAGTACTTACACTCCTTCGAGAACAATGAAGCCGACTTCGTCACGCATGATGTCATTGCCCCAACCACCTGCCATCTCGATGATACGATACACGCATCGGATGAAGATCGTCAACCATGCAGTAACAACGCCAAAAGCGAACAGTCGGAACTTGGTGTTTTGGATTGTAGCGGCGGCCTCAGCCGACAGAGGATGTGACCGGAGCGCCGTCCATCTTTTGTAGATGTACCAGCTCACCGTGAGAGCAAAGAAGAACAGTGAGACGACCTGCCAGGAGATACCCGCCATCATCAAGTTGTCACCGAGCTCTTGAGAGTCTTCGTCGTCTGCGCTGGCCGCCATCCCTCCACCAATCCCCTGCAGGAGAAGTGAAATAAAGTCTGCCAGGATGAAAATGTAGGTGTAAAATCGAGGTTTGATCATCGAAAATTCTGGTCCAAAGCAGAGGGTGATGTGTTTGAGGGTGAGATAAATGGCGGCGGAGTTGAAGGCAGGCGCAATAATTAAACAGCAAATTTGGGACATGAAGCCCGGGTCGGCAAAGGGGTTGTCGTGCATCAAAATTCGGCCGACATAACCGATTGTTTCGGTCAAACATGCTAGACATAAAGCGATCATGTAGGTCCAGGTCTTGTATCGGATGCCCAGTCCCAGATTCACGATGCAACAGATACCGAAGAAGCCGGCAAAGAATGCATTTGCAGGTATGCTAGGGCGGTACCCGTACACTGAGAGCTCGACCGGGCACTCGGGGGTGACGTCTGTGCAGTTGTCCCCGGAAGACATGGTATGCTTCCTGGCAAAGAGAGAATGGAAAGGGTTCAGACAAGGTGGATTATTTGTCGAAACGTTTGCTGGGAAGGGAGTGAATGATGCAGACAAAATGAAGAGATATCGCTACCATTTAATAGCCTCAGGCGCCTGGTGGTTGGTATAGACAGGAATTAGCTTCGCCTGTGTCCATTATGATAACATCTTGAAACAAGAGCTCCTGGTTGCTGCTGCGCCCACCCACACGTAGTCGCAAGCCAGTACCTCTGTCGAGAGGTGCTTTGTCCACGGTGATACTGGCCAAGCTTTCGTGGACATAGAATAGTAGAGAGTCAAATCGCAAGGCATGGCTTGATTGGGGAGTCAGCTCAGGCATCAGGCTTTCCATGGTGTCTTGGGAGGGGCTGTGGGTGCAATATGCCAACCGGGATGTGTCGGGCTTAGCGATGGGGATTGTAACTTTGCCAAAAGTTTGACACACGCGGGTAGGTGGTTTTCGAATAATTGATACCCATGGAACCTGACCTGAGTTCTACGTAATTCGGATGCAGGTACCGCGGCCCGGCATCGAGAAGGAGAGAAAAGGGGGTTTAATCGTCAATGAGGCTTGGGGGCGAGAAGAGGCTATACTTAGCATTACTAAGGTTTGCCCGCTATACCGTGTTGGAGCTAGCTTTCCACAATAGAGCATCAAGAACCGTTGTTCGGATTATTGTTGTTGCGTTCCGGTAGCTAAGCCGCCTGGCGATGAACATCAAAATTCTTGTTGCCTTTGGTCAATATACAGAAATAGGGTCTTGCATCGCCCATTGAAGATCTCCTGAACTTCCCTGTCATATCATGAACCCTGAGAGACGTTTAATCTCTCCAGGATGGTAAGGGTCGTGCACATGGCAACCGGGTTCACAAACGCTCCGTCAAAATTCGCTAGGCCCATTTGCCAATAAGACTAACTACAAAGAGCCGCGACTTGCGATCCATCCACCACAATTGAGTGGAGCTTACTTGACTTCGTGCGTATCTCGTGTTTTCACAGACGGCCGGTCCATGGCAGCCTGCAGAGACGAACAAATGCTTTGACTTCATCCCTTGGGGTCAGCCTTCGGCCTTAATCACACAGAGGGCTCTACATGCGTGTTATTGATTGGCGTCTTTCTCAATTGGTTCTGGAGCATCTTCCCCTGGAAAGCCGCGACGACATCATTGTGGCTGGGGTTCCAGAATTGTGTTGCCTGTTCGGTGCCATGTTGTGTATATATCAAGAAGCTAATAGGGCAACCTTGCGATAGGTGCAGCTGGACCGCCCATCTTGCCCATCCCAGCCATCGTTTATCCCTTTAAGGGGAAGGGGTTGATTCTCGACTAAAATGGTCTACTACGGTCCTAGCGCTGGCTGCAAGGCTTGTCGAACTCGCCGAGTAAAAGTATTTGCCTCCCAAGTTCCTGCCTCAAGTCTTCTCGACCTGGCCCTTCGTGCCATACTAATTGCGTGGCAGTGTGACCAAACAAAACCGCACTGCAACAATTGCACACGGCGGCGACAGGTTTGTCCCGGCTACGCTGATGTCTTCGACGGTGCTCATAGAAATCAAAACAAAGTCGTTATCCGACGGTTCGAGAAAGAAAATGCGGCGAAGGAAGCGAGATCAACCAGCAGTTCTCCCAGCAGTGAACCTTCATCGGATGTGACCTCCACGACATCCAAATCATCCGCTCCCACTTCGACAATGAACCCCAACGTTCCCCTTCAGTGGATTATCTATTCGGCTCCGAGAGAAGAACCTGGATCCGAGAACAGCGATTCTCGACCCACGGAAGAAGCGTCCTCGACCGTGGCCACAGATGTGCCGTTCAATAATTCGATGAGCATGATTCCTGGCACGGTCAAACAGGATCCCCAAGAAGCATCCATCTGTTTCTTTTTCCGACATTACACGGGAACGATCTACGACCAGCAAACCCACAACGGCTTCACGAATATGTGGCAGCCATTATATCTGCGATCATCTGCATTCTCTCCATTACGAACCGCCACCGCGGCAGTCGCCGTCAACGTGTCGATGATGTGGTGTTTTCGGGGCTGTGATACACGCCCGGCACGAAGCCTGTTCACCAAAGCCATCGCCGCGACGCGGGAAGCAATAAATAACCCTTCGCAAAGTGACATGGACGAGCTTCTTATGACCATTTTGGTCTTTGACCTGTACGATTCTCTCGTTCTCCATTACGTGCCTGATGCATCACCTTACGGAAAACATAAGGAAGGAGCGCTGGCCTTGGTGAAGCATCGGGGCATTTCGAACTATGCGACGGATATGAGCCGTGCGCTTGCAAACTCGACCCGCCATGCTCTCTTGGATTATTCCCTTTCAACGCGGGTCCCAATCCCCTCTGGCGTAGAGAAGTACTTTGACCATCCATCCCTGACATTCAGCAAGGCAACCCATCTCGACATGCTTTCCATTTCCATCACCAACGCACAAACCCGTCTCTGGAATTTGCGTCGTGAGAGTCCGTTGTTAAAATCATTCAGCGAGCGTCGGAAAGAGTACGAAGAAATCATTGCCGAGGCAATGAGGTTGGACGAACTCATCATGACATGGAAACGAGGCATCACCGATCAGTATTGGATACCTCAATATGTCGACCGAGAAGAAGTGGCGCCCACAATCAGAGAAGCCGGATTCTATGGCAACAGGTGCCCTGTTTGGGTCGACCTATCCTTCTCCGAGTCCTGGAACATTTATTACAAACGCCGCATCTTCATACTCCAGATGATCCGACAGGCGTTTGCAGACATGCCATGCTTGCTGAACGATGCAAAAAGTCAGTCTGTTTTAGCAAAGGCAAATTCAACGTTACAACTTCTCGTCGACTCCTTGTGCGAAAGCGTGCCATTTTACATCGGCGATATCATGTCACCTACCAATCCCATGTACAGCCATGGGATTAACTTCCCCTACAAAATCATCACGAATTCGCAAACGGGCGTCACCACCAGTATCCCAGACTCGAAGTCTTCCTACAGGATCCGCGCAGCCGCGTCCGGGGGATGGATGATCTTTCCGTATCTGGTGACAATTTGGCGGCTGGCAGAACCCGAAGATGATGCTGTACCCTTCGTACTTCGCGAAGGTCAGCTGGATTGGGTCAAGGGCCAAGTCAAGAGGTTACAGACGATTTTCCTGTTCTGTGACCCGGTTTGGTGAGTTTTCACGGTCCTGTCTCCTCAGATCCCGAAATGGGATCGATGATTCGAATTCTAACATGTCTCCTATTGAATAGGTTCAAGCGATGAGAAGAAAGACCCTGAACTTTTTTTTTCTCCCCAACAGTCGATACCCCTACAATTTTTATGCATCCTCAAAATTATGATGGCATCGAAATGGCATGTGTCTCCGTTCATAAATCCGAGTGTACTATGTGGATGCTCAAATCAAAATGAAGTCATTATCGCCTTGTGTACCGCATCACAGAAATGCATACTCGGAGGATCCAGCTGGTGAAGAATATCAAAGAAGTCTGCCTGTCTCTGTGAGACTGCATCAGCGCCACGCCCACCACAATGAAGCGACCCAGAGACCTTGTTGAGCACTATAACTTTCTTATCTTCACTTAGAACAGCGGCCCAAGGAATCAGGCAGAAATCAAACGGCAACAGGCAAGAAAGCCTATGAGGGGGAAGAACCTGCTATGTTAGTTTTGTCCTATCTCGCTTGGCAAATTGGGGAATTCCGAGATAAGTTATGTCTTAACTGGACATGGTAGAGAGATCGCCAGGATCATAGGGTCAACGTTTCCATGCCCCATAATTGCCGCCACGGAACCATGATCTCATCCAAGCTGGTGAGGCAATCGATATTCCGAGGACTAGATAGTGGATTAGGGGATGCCTCTTCTGATCTTGATAGGGGTTTTCCAGAGGACGCTTGCTCTGGCCCCATGCGGTCTTATGCATCGTTAATTTTCCCTGTCGTCACGAATGTATCGAGATGTATCTCAATGATAATGTAAAGCCGGGGCAGAATAAGCCAGCCTACAATAGTCCAATACCGAGAGAAGGTGGAACCGGGAGCGACCCATACCGTCGGTGAAAAGAACCACGTTTCACTTCCCGCGTTACGACGACGTGCCCAAGTAGACAGAACACGAAGCCGATAGCGTAGAGGCAAGATCCTCTCCAGGGCACCCCCTCGACGGAAAGTGGGAAAGACCGAACTTCACGGCGCAAAGATAGACTCTCCATACAACCCATTAAGAAAACTTGGAAGCGAGTCCTGCCAATGAGATGAAAGGAGCAAGTCTTCTATGAACATCATTGTAGAAAAATATGTCGATAAATGATGATCATGCTTCGCGATGTTCAACCCTCGGTATCAAGCCACACCATCGATGGGAGGAAAAGAGGCATCAGCACTTGGTACCGAAGTTCAGTGTCGGCCAGTTTTGATGGCTAAAAACAGCTTGACACCCCTTCAGCGTGAAAGGAGTTTCAAAATAGTGAAACTCTTTGTTGGTTTCGGATGCGTCTTCAAGTTTTACCCAGGAGATCACTGCCTCTGGTGATAGTGGGAAACTCCCTGGCACAGAGTAGTTGTAGAGTGGGCTTAGCATGATCCTGCTGCCTGCGTAAAGTCTCTAGGTCTGTTGGTGGCTCTCAAACGTGCAACTTTGCATTGGAGATATCAAGAGTTGAAATTTGTGATTTGTGGTCGGTGACTTCAACGCCGTATAGTCATATTTCGAACGAAGTGTGAAAGCTGCCACAGCATACCTCAGGTTCTCAGGAACAGCAATCAATCAGAGTTGGTTTGCTGACATTTAAAGGTTTCTGGAACTGGCAGAGATGCCTGAGAGCCGCACAGATGGCGTGAACAAGCACGTGGAGTTCAAGCAACGTCAAATGCTGTCCATTCAAACTTGCGACCAATACATTGGACAAGTATCCACGAAACCTGGAAGATGACAAGAAGTTGGCCAGGTTGTTTGCTCTGCTCTCATCTTGTATGGTCGCCTGATCTATCCGACAAGAGAATCTTTTTTGGGGGGGAGGATGAATGTCATATTGGGAAGATCTTGTGGCGACCGGGAGGGTTGCGGTTTCATCATTTGCTAGCTCTTATTTCAACTTGGAAAGTCTTTTACTGAGTTTTGAAGCCGTCCTGACAACTGGAACCGAGCGAAAAAGACAAACCAGAGAACAAACATCCCAGCAAAGGCCCATTTTGCTTGCCTCGATATTGCCATCGCGGCTTCTCACCAGGTGAAGGTATGTCTAGGTGCATAGCTGTGTAAACGCACAAGGAGATAGTTGCAATGCAGTTATACAGATCGTGGGATGTACCCCGTGCCGATAGAGGATTCATCCAGCCTTAGTATATCTCATCATTCAAAGTGGTAGAACCGTGTAGGGATGTCACCTCTTGCACAAATGCCCGAAATATTTGAAGGGCATTCAATCTCACAGTATTGGGTCGGGTTGTTTTTGTCACCGATTCGAGGCCGACCAAGTTTTCTGCGTTTCTCTGGGAAGACGTGTTGCTAGATACAAGAGTAGAAATAATATAAAAGAGTGGCTGTAGATGTAGACCCCGTGGTTGGATGCGAACATATTTCTGTTGAAGTCACCCGAACAAACATGAAAAGTACTATCGGGAACAAGCATTCATAAAGGACAACGTCTGAACTAGGTCGCGCTTGCAGTTCACTGTTGACGGGAGAAGTACCGCCTTGTAGAGCGCTTTGGCTCTCTCGACGAAGTTGTAGTGCCATGAAGAATAGTTGATTAGTTCAGAAAGCTTGGACAGGGATCAGCGATGTCGCTTTCATCTTCAGCCCGAAACATATAAGCTGTTTTGGGCCAGTCAAACTGCGAGATCTCTCTCTCCCCCAAGAAGCCGATGCATTCCGGTGACACTTGAATTGGTTTCGGACTCTACCGAGAGCTCCTTAAGAACTCCAGAACTCCCCTGGTATATCCTACCAACTGACTCAGTCTCTTTTCTTCATCCTCCATGGCCGTCCGCCAAGCCAGCACAGCCTCGTTGAGTTCCTTGACTTCATTGACAAAATCACCGTGGAGTTTTAGAAATTCACTCATCCAAGTGTTGACCAGTTCAAAGGACCTCTTTCGTCTAAGCTGCTCCGTCAATGCGCGAACAAAAGTTGGCATCTCCTTCAAGGCTAGGGAACGAATTTCAAGATCGGCGGCCGAGGGGGGCAACAATGATAAATGACCAGAGAGCGCGGATGGGTCTCGTTCAGCATCCGACTGAAAATTCTCTAGAATGACGGACAGCTGCGATTGGGAACCTGCCTCGTCGCTCAGAACCAATCGAGAGATCCGAGAACGCTCAACATCATCGATCATCTGCTCCTTCTTGCTCACTAGGGTTTGATCACTAGTCTTGCTACCGTTTGTGAGGCTTGATCCAAGGAAAAACGGCGCGGTCTTTGGCTTTTCAGGCGGTTGGATTGGTTTGTTCCGCTGGCGAATACTATCAAGGTTAAGCAAGGTTTGCCAGCGTGATCGAGGCACAATGGAAAGCGTCAAGAGGCTTTGATCCAGCTGTTCCAATGGGGAAGAGCTGTCTAGTCCGTTTGACAGTTCATCCTCGTCTGTCTGATCCGCCTCCATGGCAAGCTGACTGGCTGCATGGAAAGTGGCGCTCTCGCTCAGATCGATAATACCATCGAAGTCATCGACGTGCCTAGTCGGTATATGACTGAATAACGCCTTGTTCGTCCAAATATTGATCCCAGGGGTCCCGGCATGCGTAGTTGCAAGGAATTCGCCAGTGCTTGAGAAAGCAATATTTGTGCACGTAGCTGCCTTGAATGCATCAATCAGATGTCCGGTAGCGAGATCAAATACTCGGACAACGGAGTCCATGGAACATGCCACGATCCATCGACCATCGTGTGAGAAGCAGAAATCGTAAATCTGACCGACACAGCCCCAAAGCTCACGCACCGTCTTTCGAGTCTCAATGTCAACGATGCGAAGGCAGAGGTCGTCGCAAGACAATGCCAGAAGTCCCGACACAGGATTGTACTGAATTGCCATTGGCACGGCAGATTCCACATACTTTTTTTCCAGGATTTTACCCGTTGAAAAGTCCCAGAAGATGATCGAACCATCCAAGCTGGCAGAGACCATAGTGCGATTGAGATGGTCCACAATGATACCTGTTATCGAGTCTCGGTGGCCATGAGGCATACCCGACGTCTGTTCCGCCTGGACTGGCTGTGATTTGCGTTGTTTAGCCTGAACTGGTGTAAGTCGAGGGGGGTATTTTTGGCGATGAGCGCCAGATTGCAAATTGAACATATCAAGACTGCCGCCTGCAGAGCCGACCACGGCAAACGTTCCGCACGTAGTAATAGCCACGCTTGTGACGGATTGGCGGTCGCTTGTTTCCAGTGCCCATCTTCCAGCCTTCTTTCTGCCCCAAGACCAGGTCCTCGCAAACCGATCGTCGGCATGAGCCGTCACGACACTTTCCCATCCGGTCATACTTGCTTCCTCTGCGTTGACGTTCTTCGCATTCGCCCATGTAGGGCCGCTGACGCCGCCCATGCCACCATCTCGATTCAGGGAACATGCCATGTCGATGATGGGTGGAGCCTTGAACTCCTCTACCCCCGGTGCATCATCAGTGAGGAGACCAGCTTTTGTGGCTTTGTGCTTTACCGCCCCCTGGCTTAATTCTGTACTTTGACCATCTTTTCGCAGGCTAAATCCCCACAAGCTTCGGTCTTGAGCAGCAGACAAGAGCCATTTCCCGGCTGCATCGGATCCATCCGACGCCGCGGGAAGAAATCTGAGCTTGGTGACGGAGGCAGCGTGCCCACTTCTTGAATGCAACAGCCGTGGAGTGGGAGAAAACGGATTCTCATCGAAAACCCACGATTTCAAAGCATTGTCTAGTCCTGAAGAAATCAAGACCGGTTGTCCGGGTAGAAATTCTACCTTGTTGATACCAGTTCCTTGGGCCAGGTTGGAAGTCTCATGAGCCCCTCGGACCACCCCGACCACTTTGCCACCGCGGTTGAGATCCCAGATGGTAATGTCCCCGCCTTCGATGCTGGATGTGGCCATGATACCATCCTTGCGACCATCCTCACCAGCTCCCATGCCGTCAGTGCGAAATGTGATCGATGTGACGGGTTTCAACGAATTTCTCTGGTGTAATTCGAGGACCGGCTCATCGGCTTCAATGTCGGTGATGATCAGAGTGCCATCGGCATAAGCTACCGCCAATAGGCAGAGGGCTGGGGTCGGAGCAAGAGCCGTGATAGACCCAGAGCTTGCAGAAGGAGCAAGAATTGTATGGACCAATCTCCCGGTACTGACATTGTATATTTCAACCAGGCCATCTTTTCGCCCGACGAATATCTTGTTCAACAGCGTGGGAAGAGTACAGACATGACCAGAAAAGATCGACTGTGAACGGCCGTCCGTAGAGGGTGAGGAAGGGATAATCGTGGTATAGTGTTCGTAAGAATCAGTTTTCCAGATTTCGATCGCTTCCGTCCCGCAGCCCACGATCCAAGAGCCAAATATGATTATTTGCGCAATCTCCTGAGGGTATACGTCCTCCGTGCTCAACTCTCCGACCAATCTCCCTCGCTTAAATATCCACACGCCTCGAGGCTGATTCGGTTGGGAGCCACCCCAAGCAACGAAGACTCGATCGCGGTACGCGTAGGTAGCAGTGATAGGACTTAGGCATCGGGGCCGGCTAAGGAAAACAAGATTAAGTCCTCGTCGCAGATCGTAAGTTTGCAAAGTATTACCGACGGAGGTAGTAATTTGAAAAGTCGTTTTCCCCAATGGAACGGAAGTGAAGGGTACCTTAGTAGGGGAGACGAGCCCGAGAGTCTATACCCGAGCAAGCAGTTAGTTCAGTCCATCCGAGGCAAGCACTCCTCGCTCAAAGAAACACATACCCTGAAGGGAGCAAATAGCCGGGAACTTGTACGCCTTTTTCCCCAAGCAGAATTGGTCTCCCGTCGCTGTTTCTTTGCAACTGGGAATTCTAGACCATCGTCCATGATATCAAGGCAGCCTACTGCGTGCCTGGAAGGAGGGTAGTTTAGGCGGCTATTATCTTGTGCATTGTCCACAGGTTGGTATTTTGAGTTTCGAGGCAAACGACGGTTTTTTTTTTTTAAGCTGCCGACCCACCCCGGTCATCGAGTACGTCGAAGCACTGACGCAGAAGAGCATTAACTTTTCTGAACGTATAAATTGATGACCTCGTCAAGTCATCGGTCGGGAAATTGGCGGATTTCTTTATGCAATAGAGCTTTCTCATTCATATAGATGGTATCAATACTGATATAATACAGGTTGGGCCACGTTTCTCTGGCTGGGGAGTGAAGCCACGAATCTGGTTGAATACTCCCCCCTACGCGAGCCCTTCCCCGCCAATCAGACGTCTCCGTCGCCTTCGCCTGCCCCTCTATCGCCTCGTCTCGCCTTTTGTAAAACCCTCTTTTTTTTTTCCCTCTTCTTCTCGAAAACGAGACCCCCATATTCATCAACGGCGACATGTGAATCGGAGTTCTTATTAATCATCCTTTCCAAATCTTATTCTTTCTTTTCTTCTTTTATTTTTTTCCTCGCTTGTTTTCCCCCTCAGGGCATCAGCACACTTTCCTCCAGTCGTTCCTTCCTCGACACCAAATGCTGCTGAGCACGGCTGATTCAACCTTTGATTCTTCTCAACCTGCGCCACCCTCTACTGTCCTTCGCCAAGGGTGCGCACATATCACCAGCTCTTTAGTAAGACTATGTTGCCCACTCTCCTGCTGCTGCAATCGTTATCATCGTCATAATCATCATGGAATCCCATTCTCCTCTCCGTCGAACTCCTACCAGTACCTCCGATAATGACCTCGACGACGCTGCCTCTCTTACCGCGGTCTATTCGGCCAGCTCCTCGACGGCTTCCTCTCGCCCCCCTCACCGTTTGACTGGCCGTACTCCCTCCACGCATTCTCTGTTGGCTATTCACAAAAACGCCGATGTCCGCAAGGCTGCGCATGCCGAGACCACCAGGGCTTCGGCCGATCGTTCTAGCATAAGTATGCCACCTCCAATCACCAAACCCAGCATAGACAAGAGGCTTTCCACGTCGTTCTCTTCAGTCCGGTCCCTAAGAAGATCCGAGGAAGTCCCAAGGAGTCCCCCCACTTCCGTCAAGAGCCTCGAAAGAGACAGGAAGCCCGTTTTGGCTGACTCGACCACCACTCTGACTTCAACCATTGCTTACGACCCTACCATGGTTACCACTGCGTCCACTCCATATACCCCTGGTTTGCCTGTCCTTTCGCCTCCTGCCTTTAATCCAAGCATTCCTAATCAGAGGGATCTAGTGTCAACCCTGTCGTCTCCGGTCAATTCCCCGCCATCTGCCTCCAAGCGCGACCCCTCCCTTCCTGCTGGCCAATCCCTGGGAGCTGCCGTCAAATCCGATGGTTCCGAAGCCGCCTTGCCTACTAGAGCCCCTCGATCGACCCAACCGCGTTCCGTGTCCTCCAATCGGCGCCTAAGCACTACTGGATCTTCCAAGAACGAGAGTATTAATTCCGAGAGTAAGGCGGCTGTGGGTCGCATTGGTGTCTGTGCTCTTGATGTCAAGGCCAGGAGTCGTCCCAGTCGCCAAATTTTGACCCGTCTTCAGGGTGACGGGGAATTTGAAGTCATTGTCTTTGGTGATAAAGCAATTCTCGACGAAGGTAAGCCCCCTGTGTCCTCGGCCCCACCCAAGGATTGCTAATTTTTTTCCTTTTCTTTTTTTTTTTTTTTTTTCAAGATGTCGAAAACTGGCCGATATGGTAAGTTGGATTCTAGAAAGAGCCTGGTGGAGGTTTAGAAGAAAGATTGCCCTCTACTAACAGACATGCAAGTGAATTTCTCATATCTTTCTTCTCCGACGGCTTCCCTCTCGACAAGGCTATTGCTTATGCCAAACTACGAAAGCCATTCGTAGTCAACGATTTGGCGATGCAAAAGGTGCTCTGGGACAGACGGCTGTGTCTCAAGATTTTGGACCAGATGCACATTCCGACTCCCAAACGTATCGAGGTGAATCGGGATGGCGGGCCCAGACTCGAATCTCCCGAGCTCGCGCAACACGTCAAGAATATGACCGGAGTGGTTCTCGAGGGCCCTGAAGACGGTACCGGCGGTGGCACTCCGGTCACTCAAAAGGTCGAGTTGATCGATGAGGGCGACACATTAGTGGTGGACGGTAAGCCTTTCAAGAAGCCTTTCGTGGAGAAGCCTGTGAGTGGGGAAGATCACAATGTCATTATCTATTTCCCCAAAGGTCAAGATGGTGGTGCACGGCGTCTCTTCCGGAAAATTGGGAACAAGTCTTCGGAGTTCGACCCAAACCTGACCGTGCCCAGGTGTATTACGGAACCGAGCAGCAGTTACGTCTACGAGCAATTTCTAAAGACGGAGAATGCCGAAGACGTCAAAGCCTACACGGTTGGTTCGAATTACTGTCACGCTGAGACGAGAAAGTCCCCGGTTGTGGATGGTCTCGTCCGCCGGAACACACGTGGAAAAGAGCTCAGATATGTCACCAAACTCAGCGACGCCGAAAGGGAGATGGCCTCCAAGGTCGCCCGAGCTTTTGGGCAGCGCATTTGCGGTTTCGATTTATTACGAACGGGCACCTCTAGTTACATCATCGACGTGAATGGCTGGAGTTTCGTGAAAGACAATGAAGACTATTACAACGATTGCGCAAAGATCTTGCGAGGAATATTTCTCGCTGAACGCCTCAAACAAGATCATAGTAGCCTTGGTGATGATCAGTCCATCGAGAACACGAGCGACAACCTGCAACATCGTCAGGCGACTAGTCATTCGCATCGGTCAGCCTTGAAGACGATACTCAAATCTCCAAGTATGACGAAACTATCACAACACTTACCTTATTCTTCCCGACATCATCCGTCAGGAGTGACGGGATCTCCCAAGACGTCATCTCTGACCACACCTCTGAGTTCACCGCCCAGTATTGAGAGGCCCCCTCCGGGGGTCGACAATACAGACACGCTGCCGCCACCCATTCTTTCAACGGCGAATGAAATCGGAACAGCAGAACCCTCGCCGGCTATCAGGGAGCAGGAACACCCCGTCCCGATGCCGAACTCGAAGCACTCTTGGAGGCTGAAGGGAGTGGTCACGGTCATCCGGCATGCTGACAGAACTCCGAAGCAGAAGATCAAGTTTACGGCTCATTCACAAGTATTTGCCGACCTCCTCAAAGGCCATGACGAGGAGGTACTCCTCAAAGGGGAGGCGGCTTTGGCAAGTGTCGAAGCAGCGGTAAAGACTGCACAGAGAGAAAAGCTCGAAGACCCAGTCAAGCTACGGAATTTACGAAATGCCCTTGCTAAGAAAGGCAACCAGCCGGGGACCAAAGTTCAAATCAAGCCTATGTTCCGAAAGAGAAGTCCCGGGGAAATGTCCGCCACCGCTCCCGAGGTTTTACGAACCACGACCGAACCCGACGGAACCGAAATGGTAGAGACGCCCTGTCATGGCCGGATCGGTTCGGTTTCAGACTCCAAGGAAGTGCATCGTGTTCAGACCAGAAGTGATTCCATATCTGGCGCCACTTTCTCGCGGTTTTCAGCCGCCGAAAATGATCTCGTTCTTGACAAATTGCAGCTGGTCATGAAATGGGGAGGAGAACCAACACATTCTGCTCGATATCAATCGCAGGACTTGGGCGCGAACATGCGAGATGACTTTAAATTACTCAATCGAGAAGTGCTAGACGATGTCCGAATTTTCACGAGCTCCGAAAAGCGAGTCAAGACCAGCGCGCAGATATGGGCTGCTGCCTTTGTCGGTCGCCAAGATATTCCTGAAGACTTTATAACTGTCAGAAAAGATCTTCTGGACGATTCAAACGCAGCGAAGGACGTCATGGACAAAGTCAAAAAGAAGCTTAAGCACCTTCTTCGAGAAGGAAGCGTCCCGGAAGAATTTGCCTGGCCGAAAGACGCGCCAGAGCCGTACGTGGTGATGCAGACTGTCATTGATCTGCTCAAATTCCATCGGAGAGTGATGAGGTACAATTTCAAAAAGCTTACCTCTGGAGCCGCTGCCTCTCTTGCCGCTCTAAATGGTTCGGCAGATTCGACGAACAATCCGAACCGAGAGACCGTCACTGTCGCATCAATCCAATCCAGATGGTGTACCGGTGAAGACGCCGAACTCTTCAAGGAACGATGGGAGAAGCTATTTTCCGAGTTTTGTGATACCGAAAAGGCCGATCCTAGCAAGATATCTGAGCTGTATGACACGATGAAGTACGATGCTCTTCACAACAAGCAATTTCTGGAATGGGTTTTCAGGCCTAGCCAATCACTTCTCGAAGAAATGGCCAAGGAGGAAAACCTTTCGTCGTCGAATACTCCTCCTGAAGCTGAGAGAGTCGATGAAACACCGGGTCCGGTTAGCAGCACTCGTCACGAGAGTATCATTTCGTTCACCAACAGCCTCCCGGACAGGTATACTTTTGCTCAGAAAATTCGTCTGAGAAAACAATCGGTCCTGAAACCGCCTGCGCCCACTCCGCGATTGATGTCCTGGGAACAAGGTGCGTCCTATTTCAAGCTCTTCGGTGGATCTGGGGATAGCCCGTCGAAGCAAGATCGCAGACTTGGCCGTTTGAGAGAACTATATCGATATAGCAAGATTTTGTTCGATTACATTGGACCTCAAGAATACGGCATCAGCGACCACGAAAAACTGGAGATTGGTCTTCTGACATCCCTCCCATTGTTACGAGAAATAGTCGACGATCTTGAAGAATTGCAGGCTTCTGGCGACGCCAAGTCTTTCGTCTACTTTACCAAGGAGTCTCACATTTATACACTCCTCAACTGCATCATGGAGGGCGGCATCCACACGAAAATCAAACGATCCACTATTCCGGAACTCGACTATCTCTCACAAATCTGCTTCGAGCTCTACGAAGCAAAAGACGCCGATACTACAGAGTCAGCGTACTCGATTCGTATCTCCATCTCTCCTGGTTGCCACACCATCGACCCTCTCGATGTGTCCCTTGACTCCAAGCACGCCATTGGAAGCGCGCCTCGACGGTCGCTGACCAATCACCAGGATTGGAAGGAGGTTATTTCGACACTCAAGGCCAAGTTCAACACGGTGCAGTTGCCCAAGAGTTTCCTTGCGGTGAACGTGAGTGAGAAGCACGAAGAAGATGCCGAACGGAGGGCGAGTTTGTTGCAGAGCGAGGCTGCGAAGCAGAGATACGCAGCAGGGGAAGGTATAGAGAGTCAAGACGTATTGGAGAACGAAAAGGATGACGGCGAAGGTGTGGCTGGGGATACAGTACCAGCACAACTGTCGTCATCAGACTCCACAACAGATGCAGAGACTGTTCCCGCGCTAGAATAAAAGTCTCCACCATACTGGAACGGCCGAAATGACTTTTAGGAAAACGTGGAATCCAAATTTCCAACTTGGAGTGGACAACAGCTGAGAATATTCGGGTGGAACCGTCATTTTGCTTGGAGCACGGGACTGTAAAGACTGAATATCATGTGAATGGGCGGAAGGTTTGATCTCTTTGAGTTGTACTGTTCGACTATTATGTTTTGAGACACGCCCTGCCATGACCTGTGGGTGGTTACGTGTTTTTGGGTTGGGGGTTGGGGGAACTTTGCATCAAGGGTATGTAGATTACATTCTTGAATGTGAGTTGCGTAGAGGAATGAAAGATCGCTGCCTTTTGAAGTCTACCTAACTCCATTAACCTATTCTAATATCCTGTATCTCAGGGTTCTACTCTCTAGATCTAGTCTGTCTAGATTCTATACTGCATCTATTTTCTCTTCTTGCAGGGTCTATGCCGTCTCTTCTGGTCTATATTTCCACCACGCTGATTCTGAGGACAGTTTGTCTACTGAATCGTTCGAGGTATCTTGAGCCTCGAACATCTACTCCTTTGGCTGGGCGCGTACAGCGAACTCGGCAATATGGTACATGTAGTCGAATCTCAGTATCGGTTGCTCAAATTATTGGTGTGGAGTCTTTCGACATAGTGTGCTTCGTGTTTGGTTGACAATATCGGGATTAATGGGACGTCTGGAAATGTTGCTGAGAGATCTGTGAGATTGTCATTGCTCGGAAGAAGTATTTGGGAAAATGGAAATAGCTTGATGTGCGTGCAATAGCGGTTTTGCATGAGCAGACCTCCTTTTTAAGATGCCGTGCCAAAGGTGCTGCGAATGGGTGAGATCATCCGTGTGATGCGAAAACTTGGAAGAACCCTCGAAATGGGGTATGGGAGACGGAACGTGAGCACTTTGTCGAGATTGGTGTGAAAGAGAGCATAAATTCGCCTGGTGATTGTTGCTCTCGGGGGCCGGGAGCAAGTCCCCTTTGTATCTTGGTGTCGAAGGAAGAACGGCGGCGGTAGAGTTGGCATTCATGATGGCAATGCTTCCAGGTGGATATTTCAAGTCGTTTACACCCAAAGTGTGATAGTATGAGTGATTCAGAAGCCAGTGTCGGCTGCGGTGTCCGGCCATGTGGAGAACTAGAATGGTTCGCATGCGGAGTCCATGAAACCTGAAAAAGGTCGTCCCTCATTTCAATCAAGGTTCCAGGAGAAGGTGATGTTGTTGATTTGAAGTTGGGAAGTGACGAAACGCTGTCTCTGTTGCTGAAAGCTGGAAGCGTGGATATCTTTGCGCAGCAGTTGTAGTGTGGTTTCTTCTGACGAGGCATTCATCTCGTTGGCTGCGAAGGTGTCGTGTTGGCTTTTCTTCTTCCAGACCGGAATAATGTTTTCGAATCCTCGCAGCCCTAATCTTTCTTTTCCCCATTTTTCTTTCAGTTCGCCCGTAGTCTACGCAGCCCTTCTCTGATTTCTTTCAATTCCAAAAGGTGTCCTCTCTCAATCTCTTGCATCAATTTCAAGTTTTCCTGTTTGAGCTCTTTAAAATCCTCATCCAATTTGTTGTGCCATGGATAGAGGACGAAGACCTGGAATCCGAGTGCGGAAGTCGCGATCATGAAGTTGGTGATGGAGAATCGTCGGGCGATAAGCATGCTGAAGGCCAGAGGGAAGGGCTGGATGGGATTATGGGTTGGTCACAGGAAGAATGATTTCGACCCTTGGGAGATTGAGAGAGAGATTGAGGCTTCGACACCGAGAAAAATCTAAAGCACACCAGATAACGCTCAATCTCGCGAAGATAAAGAAAGAACACCAGATAGCGGTACAGGCTCGCTTATGAGGAACTCACCGTCGACCCGATACCGGGCCCCTTTGTAGATGGTACCGTGTTCCCGGCTGAGGTTCGTGGGCCAAAGTGGAGCATTTGGAGCATTTGGATCATTTGGAGCATTTTCGAGGCCCAGTGGATGTGAAAATTTTTAGTAGAGACTGGCTCTAGAGTTTGGGCAGAAGAACGACTTATACCTGATTTGACCTTTTGGGAAACAACGCCTGAGAAGAGGACCTGATGTCGGGTACAATCGGGACCAATGCAACAGTCAAGGCGCCGAAGCCAGCTGGGTCTCGGGGTGGGTCCTTGAGTAAGGCTTGGGAATCACTAGTGCGAGGCCTCGAGTCAGTATAAAGAAAGGCTCTCGGTAGTATGAAGAGTCGAATCATACGTGGGACAAGGTCTCGCAACTTTTTTTTTCCAGGGCTTTTGGCAGCCGCTACTCAGACACAGTACAACTTTTTTGCTTTCGCGAGTTACAGAGTCATTCAATTAGCCGGTGACGGTCTTTTCGGCGTCCAACTACGCTCGCAGGGTGAAGTTAGTGCTATATCGGCGTAGTGATCTACCCTTGCGAGATATTACGTCGCAACCTTTAGCGCACGAAGCGTAACTTTTGGAAATCTCTCTTTACTCGACAGGGATGATAAAGAATCCCGACATTTTTTAAATAAATCGGTGTCGGAAACTATAATATAACCACAGGGAAATTTGGAGTATCTTCAGAGCTCTCATTGTTGAGATTTGGGCGATTCAAAGTTGCGAGTAACTTTGCCACCTGAGAAACTATGCTGCTTTGCACGTGACTAGAGTGCAGTCACATGATTTGGGAAACCAAAGCGAGGCCGAATCTCAGCCTCGTTCGTGTTTCTTCGGACTTCTCTCTCCCATGAATCACCCTTTAGCGAATCCTGGCCCTGGTCGGTAATCGGATGTTCGTCGTAAGGACCCGGAACAAAGGTTCTCACTCGCCCTTTCGGAGATCGACTGGATCAATGCCTAACGTGGCAACAAATCTTAGCTGCCGGGCTGAGCGTATCACGGCGACAGCAGCTTTGCTCCCATCCGGCCATTCCCCCTATTTGATCGATTTGAAATGTTGCACCAGAATTTCCTCAGCCCCCGGCAAGTTGGCCTGCGTGCGTCTCCCTTCAGACCGGGTTCCCCTATTTGAGTATTCCCAGCTCCTTGCCAAGTGAGAGATCCCCGACTGACTGTGACTTCTGGTGTTTCAGGATCTCTCCACAGACGCTTTTCCAATTCCAGCTTCATCGACAAATATTTCCCTCTCCCCGCTGTTTCAATGTCGCTTGAGCGTTTATCGATAGAACGGATCTCTCTTCTTTGAAACTCCGCCTGTCTGGTCCACCTAACACCAAAACTCCTCCCCCTCTCTCCTGCTTACAGGCTGCTTTGCGACCGTGTGCCTAGTCTGCGTCGTTGGACGTCTGAGAGTGGAAAAGGTAAGAATCCACCAAGGAACTCATAGACATCTGGGCATCTCTGGTCCATCTAGATTTCTTCCCTTCGTGTGTGCTGGTCAACTCATCGTTGACACTCTTGTCCTTCCTATTTGGTGTTTTGGAGTCCGAGGCTGGTCCTCTATAGTTTTCAATTCATGGTTTTTCATTTTTTTTTACGCAGCCTTTGACTGTTTTCTCCCCTCCCTCTCTACCTCAAGGCCCATCCAAAGGGACATCCGACGATCAACTGCCAGCCGACAAATCTCTCATCTCCTTTGACCGGTCCCAAGTCGCCCCGCTCAGATCAGGACCGAAGGAAAGACCATATCTCTTGCAAAGATTGAGATTCACCCGCCGGCAAATTGGAGGAAGTCTGATACCACCAGCTCCGTTTTCTCTTTCCCCGCCTGTTCCCGGTCCATCTCCTGACCATTCTCTCCAACTTCCCCTTCTCCTCCAGCAATGTCGATGGATGATTCGAAGCTGCCCCCAACGGTGCCGGACGACCTTTTTGGTCGGGACGACATGGCCCCAGATGATTCCAGTCAAATGGATGACGAGAGTGATTCCGAAGAAGAAGATGAATCGGAAGACGAAGAAATGGGCGACGACGAAAATCCATTCCTTCCGCGTACGAGTTCTATGATTGAATCAGCATTTCCGGCCACAATCTCCCAACCAGCAACGTCTCCAGCGACCATATCTGAAACGACAATGCCTACTACAACATCATCATACATCTTGAGCTCATTGACCGACAATCCATTCATTCCCATTTCGACCGTGACTAGTTCAGCGACTCCAACCTATCCGGTAACTTCAACTGTCGCAGCAGAGCTGACTTCGGCAGCTATTCTCTCTACCACATTTGCAGTAGGGACCAATGCCGCGGCGACAACAAGTGCAAGCACTCCCAACGCCTCTGCTGAGGCCTCCACGTCTCAACGGACCTCTTCCCACACCACCACGGCTATTGCGGTAGGAACCACTGTTGGGGTACTGTCCATTGTCGCCATGGCCTTTCTCCTTTTACGGTACTGCACGCCTGTCAAGGCTCGAGTGGCAGCATACCGAGGACGAAGGGGACAGAGGCTTCCTGGAGACGAAGAAAGGGCAGGGAGTCCGCGGAGGATGGCTCTAGGGATGTCACAGGCTTACTCTCCGAACCCGATGGGAGTATCACAATTCTCGGTCAATGCGTCTTCGGCCGTCGGCACTCCTGCATCGACCTTTACCGGCGCTACGGCTGTGGGCCTTCCCGTTACTACGACCCGAGTTCCCCCACCGGTCTTGGTTCGGAACACTAGTCGACGGGTGAACGACGTTGAAAACCCATTCAGCGACCCAGCGCCCCTTGCTCGGAAGGGAAGTAGTGGTGGAAGCACGACCTCTAGCACGCGGCGGAGTCTTAGCACTCATATGGCAAATGAAGACGATACCGGCGGACCGCCCACACGCCTATCCAACGTGAATGGAAACGGAACCTATGCATTCAACTTCAGTTTCGACGAATACGCCGCATCGCACGTCACCGGTGAGCCGGACCGCCATCCATCGGGCCTGGGCATCACAATGGACACTTCGTCGCCCCGAACACCGTCCCCCGCGACATTCACGCCCCCCACTCCTCCAGAATCCGTCATCGACTCTCCAAGAAGCCAATACCAGCCTCAAATTCGGAAATCGATTACGCCTTCCGAAAGCGTGTCCAACGCCCCGTCCTCGCCGCTCCCGTTCCCAGCTGAACTAGTCCCTCCGATGCCCAATTCGCGGTGGAGCCGCAACTCGTCGAGTGTCAACGGTCGTGGCGCCACCGAGGAGAAGACAGACATGCCCAGCGCAGGCGGGGATGGAATTGACACGGACCCTTCGCTACTTAGTATGAACAGGGGAAGTTCAGCCTCGTCTGTCCCGTCGAAGCTCAGTTCCGGGAGCATTCCTACACTACGGCCGGGGTTACCCAACGGAGTCCGCCCCCCGTCCGGCTCTGAGAGTCGACAACGGAATGGAAGTGGAAGTGGAACCGAAAGCGCTATCAGGTTGCCTGCTATGACGTATCGACCTTGAACTCACTAGGTCCACTAAACGACCGCTAGCTATTGCTTTGTCATCGTACCTAAGCGGTAGAGAAGGTGCTCGCATAGTATATGGGGAGGGAGAAAGAGAGGAATAGTGACGCCTTTTCTGCCGCGAGGAAATACCATACCCAGGAAGATGATATGATCCGATAGACATACGTATGTACACTGTATACTAGACTGTACTACTCTAGACGTAGCTGGAATAAGTGAATGCAACAAGTTAAACTACCCCAAATAGCTCACCACAAAAGGGCGATTCGAGTCGAGCTCTATTCGTCGCAAATAGAAACAAGAGTTCCAGGTAGTTATAATTGATATTGGCATTGGAATCGTATTTGCTTTTTTGGGGGGGGGGTTGGATGTGCTCTTCTCGTCCTTCGATGTCATATAGCATCATAACCGAACGCGACGAGCACTTAATCAATCCTGATGAATGAGTCTTGGAAATCCCCATCTTCTGTGAAAGGAAAGGAAGTTGAACCGACACACGAAGCAAAGCCGACTTCCCAACCTGCATCCTGAGGCCGAGTGTCAGATGTCGTCATAACTTATACAATGTCTTCCGATCCTTCCCTTCACGGTCGGCAATAGGGCTCGACGGTAATCTTCATTTCAGATCGTTCTTGGCCTTGAACGCAGCGAGCAATCCGGCAGTCGAGGAATCGTGATCAGCTCCTGCACCCGCCGTCTCAAGTTCCTTCTGGATCTTCTTGGCCAAGACCTTGCCCAACTCGACACCCCACTGGTCGAAACTGTTGATGTTCCAGATGGCGCCTTCGGTGAAGACCATGTGCTCATAGTAGGCGATCAACGCACCGAGAGCTCCTGGTGTGATCATCTCCGCCAAGATGTTGGTGGTAGGCCGATTTCCGAGGAAAGTCTTGTGGGAGATCAATTCATCAGGGGCACCTTCAGCTTTGACTTGTTCGGGTGTCTTGCCAACCATCAAAGCTTCTGCTTGGGCAAGAAAGTTGGATGCCAGCATGATTTGGTGCTTGCCTCCTTCAACCGGGTTGTGAGATCGAGCGGCCATGATGAAGTCGGTGGGAATGAGCTTGGTACCCTGGTGCAAGAGCTGGAAGAAAGAGTGTTGTGCGTTGGTGGCCGGCTCACCGAAGAAGATGGATCCGGTGGTGTACTTCACATACTCGCCTGTTCGGGTGACTGCCTTGCCGTTGGATTCCATGGTCAATTGTTGCAGGTAGGCTGGAAAACGGTGCATGTATTGGTCAAATGGAGCCACGAGATGGGTCTGAGCGCCGAAGAAATCGGAGTACCACACACTGAGAAGGCCGGCAATGACAGGGATGTTCTCGTGCAAAGGAGCGGTCTTGAAATGTTGATCCATGGCGTGGCCACCGGCCAGGAATTGACGGAAGTTATCGTAGCCAATGTACAGGCAGACAGACAACCCGATTGCAGACCACACAGAGTATCTGCCACCAACCCAGCTTTCGAAGCCAAACATGTTCTTGGTATCAATCCCAAATTTGCCGACTTCTTCGGCGTTCGTGGAGAGAGCAACGAAGTGTTTGGCAATATCTGATTCCGTGGCCGACTGCAAGAACCATTTCTTCGCTGTGTTGGCATTGGTCGTGGTCTCTGCGGTAGTGAAGGTCTTGGAAGCAATGAGGAAGAGGGTGGTCTCGGGATTGGCATCCCTGAGGGCTTCAGCGATGTGAGTACCGTCAATGTTGGAGACGAAGTGGAGGGTCATGTTTCTGTCGCCATATGGCTTCAAAGCTTCGGAGACCATGACCGGACCGCTGGGAAAAGGTCAATTGAGTGCCTCCGTCACACCAACGAAACTCCAACTTACAGGTCAGAGCCTCCAATCCCGATGTTGATGATGGTGGTCAACTTCTTGCCCGTGTATCCCGTCCACGAACCACGTCGGATTGCTTCCGAGAATTCCTTCATGTGTTCCAGGACCGAGTCGGTCTCCTCGACGACACTCTTGCCATCGACAGCCATGGGCTGGTTTGTAACATTTCGGAGGGCCACATGGTAGACAGCTCTCTTCTCGGTGAAGTTGATCTGGTCACCGGCAAACATCTCATCCCGCAGTTGTTCCAGATTGGCTTCTTTGGCCAGGTTAATGAGGAGGTCGAGGGTCTCTTCGGTGATGAAGTTCTTGGAGAAGTCGAACAGGATCTCAGAGTCGTCGGCCGAGTTCTTGAAGATCCTCTTGAACTTCTCGAACCGCTGAGGATCATCCTGGAAACATTCCTTTAGGATAATGTTGCGGCCCACCTTGTTGTGGTGGTCGACGAGAGCTTGCCATGCTTTGAGATCGGTGGCCTGTGAGAAGCCGGGCATATTGAAGGACGGTTATCGAGCTCGAGAGTCTGGTCCTGGAGTCCCAGAAAAGGTCAGTGAGTTGAAGCTTGACGAGGACTTTTAGCAAAGCTCAGCTGAAACACGGAGAGTTGCGGATGGCGTGAAACAGGTCGGTCGCCGGTGTTTTGAAAGGACTCACAGACGCGATAGCTAGGAGAGAACGCCGGGAATGGGTAGAGACAGATCAATGGATCCGTTCAGGGTGGACAGTGATGTTGTGAAGCGGACCTGTGTTGGGCAAGCGCAGTCTCTTTTTAAAAAATAAAAAAGATGGATTGCGCGTTGGCAGATGGAGGGGCAGGTCAGGTATGATGCAAGTGTGCGCCAACAACTGGACGAGCTGCGCTTCTGCCCCGCCATCGCCCTTTTTCCCTCAGTCCCTTTCATACCAATCATTCCGTCAGCACTGCACAGATGATTCAGCGTCCAACAAACTCACACCCAAATCGAGAAATGCGCCAGGACGCAGGACTCGCAATACCAACTGACCCATTCCTCAAAGGCGCATCCGCTTTCAAGTCACATCGGCTGTCGGGCTCGCGCGGTGATTTTCGTTTTGGATGACACATGGAGCCTTGTTAATTATTGGAACTTGTTCTAGAGGACTGATCTCTCGTGTCGTCAACATGCCGATCACACCATCTCTAAATCCTTCCTCCCTCTATCTATATCAACAGAGCAGATATGAACAGCACACATCCAAGGGCAAATAGCGATGCGGAAGTTTGACCCTGAAGCCCAGAGGCAGCTCCCTTGTAAACGCTGATGGGAGGACTGACGCTGGCAGCAGGCGTTGTGGTGTTCGGGGGAGTGGAATTGATAGGATGAACGGTGGAAACATTGGCTACCGACAAGGTGGAAGTGGTTGTGTTTAGGGCCACAGCGGTGGGATTTCCCAAGAGTACCACGGAAGTCGTAATGGTGATGCCAGTGGTGGAACCGCTCAGAGCGCGAGATGAAGCCGTCGCTGACACAATCACCGTGTTCGTAGTCGTCGAAGTGATAGATGCGGTGTAAGTTGTCGTGTCCGAGCTAGGGCTAGAAGTAGAGCAGGAGGTCGTAACCGTAATGGGTGGGCGTGTCGTAGTGGATGCAATAGGGCTCGATGGAGTCAAGGCCGCAGAGGTTGAAGAAGTCGAGGCGATACCTCCTCCACAGCGCTCACCGGGAGAAGAACAAATGAAATTGGCTAGGCAGGCATCTTCAAGTTTGTTAGCAGCGCCCTGGACATTGTGATGTTCACGGGTAACTTACATTTATCTTGACCGCAAGTTTCACCAGCTTTGGAGTCATAGCAAGTATCAGCGCCACATTGGGCGTAGTCGGTACCACAGCCAGCACAGCTGCCGGTCATTGGGTACGGGTACGTCTCGTAAAGAGGGATGATAGCGTGGCCTTGCTGGGGGGCGGCCAAACATTGAACTGCAATGGCCCCAAAGGCCGCAATGACGAGGATAGGAATTGAGCGCATGATGGGAGTAGCAATATTAGCAAATATTAAAGTCCAGGCGAGACCAGGGGAGAACGAATGTCTCGGGCTGCAGCTCGATGGAGGAAAAGACAACAAGAGTGATCTGGGCCATCAAGTCCACTATTAATATTGAGAGAGTGTGTTTCTTTGTACCGAATTGGAAGAGGCAACAAAGAATATTGCATGCTGGGCAGTGAGGGCCCGTTTCTGGGTAAAGAATGTGGCACAAACAAAGAAGCAGACCGACCAGAAAGTCGTGGAACGAATCAATCTCCGATGCATAGGCTAGTTCGGAAAGAAGAGATTTGAAGGCAAGAGATATGCCAATGAAGGGTGCGTTATATGTCTGATACAAGTATGCGCTTGGAGAAAGGATATAGTGTGGGTGTAGGTGAGCTATGTAGAAGGCTGTAAAGTCGGTAGCCCATGCCTTTGTGACAATCGACGCCGCAGTTCAGAGTAGAAGAGATCTTGAGGCCAAGCGGAACAAAGGAAATAGGCCATCCGATCCCAAATTGGGGACAGGCTTGCAGTGGTAGTGTGAGAAGGGAAGTCGGGATGGTTCGCAGGCGACCAAATAGTTGGAAGCGTCGGGCATACTGCAAAGCAGACAAACATGCCAAGCAATTATCCTCCGAGCGGAAGTCACGTGCGGTCATACATATTTTCCCACCGGCCAATGACGTGCTTCCGGCGAATCGATCGCCTTGCCAGTGACAATAAAGACAAAGATAGTGGAATGGTGCAATGCTAGCGAGGCATAAGGCGTCCCTCGAACAACTTTTCCCCCTTGTGACAGCGGAGCGGAATCTCTTATATCAACCTCGCCCATCCCATGTTCCAACATTCAACACCGCACCCACATTTCCATAGGGCGAACGGGCTCTCGACTTGCCGGCACTTCTCTGTCCAAGACCAATTTGACTTCCTCCGTTGCCGAGTCCAGACTCCACTACTGCACCACCACCGGATAAGCGTGGAATCCTTACCACCAAAACCCCCCCCCCCCAAGACCAAACCCTGCGCTTTTTTTAGTCTACTTACCCTCACCATCTCATTTAGCTGCGTTCTGATTGTTCCTGGGTATGCGACCGTTGGTGTCCCACCAGCTCCTTGACCCCACTACCTCTCTTCTAGACCAGTCATAACAGAGATTACTCAGGTGTCTATCTTCAGAAGTTCGCCCTTCTAGGCGCGGCATTCCTCCTTTTCACACCAATGCCCCCCCCAAAATGTGCCGATTTCACGCCTTCACAGCCGCCCTTTGGGTCAATTCTAGACGACTTTCTTGTGCCTGGCTAAATTGTCTTGGTCTTTCTCCGTCATGAATTTCCATCTCTACTACACTTGGATCCTGTGTCCAAGTGCCATATTTTCCTCAACTATGACCTTTGCTGCCACTGTGTAGTCCAATCAATTTCGACCTTACCCTGTCACCCTCACCGAAGACAAAATGAGGTAACAAAGTCAACGATTCCTCTCGCATCCAAACCCAGGTGTCACTGGACCCTGTTTTCCGGGTGTTCCAACCTAGAAAAGCGACAGAATTCGCGGAGACAGCAAAAGCTATGGCTGGTCCACTCCTTCATTCTGACAGCAAAAGTTCGCGTCGTCGCTGGCTCATCGGCATCGTTGTTTTCACCATCATCGCCATTTTGATCACCACCAGCGCTCATTTCAGAGGAAATTCCTATGGCGATCTGAGCTTCCCGGCTCCCGGATCAGAAACCGGTTCACCAAGGACTTTACGTCTGAAGGAATTCATCAAGCCAGAGGGCATTAAGATCATCGGACTTGTCTTTTTTGGTAGAAAAAATCGAGTTGAGATTCTACGATGTTTCCTCGAGGTGCGCTCCCCCGTTAGAAGTTCCTATCCCTCTCATTTGTAATTCTCCTGACTCCAGTTTTAGCGCAATCTCGTCGATAATGGCGGCTGGCTCGACGAAATCCACTGGGTGAAGAACACTGATAAGAAAATTGACCTGGTATATCTGGATGAGATCCTGGCCTCGTCTCCGCGGTACAAGAAAATCGAGCTCGAGGGTGTCGGCTTCGTCGGCTACGGGTACGCCTGGTCGCGCCTGGAGCGAGGGCATTTGTATGTCAAAATAGACGATGACGTGGTATGGTTTGCCGACGACACTATTCCACGCATCGTGACAATGAAGCTCGCGAATCCCAACTACCTGCTCGTGAGTGCGAACATCGTCAACTCCCCGCTCATGGGCTGGGTGCACTACCACATGGGTGCTATGCACCCTTACCTGCCGGAATTCGACGTCTATGAGCCTCCGCTGCTGGAATTCCCACACCCGTCACGCAAACCCTGGCAGTATTCCGCATACCCCTACTGGACTGGGCCCGACGACTACTTCTTCGACATGTTTCAAGACCCACCGTATGACGGGCATCGATGGCTACGGATGGTCAACGACTCAGCGATCCACCGCACTCCCATCACCGAGATCGAGTACAAGACTTGGGGCAATGGATTGAAGTCCTGGGCCATCGCGGCACAGGAACACTACTCATTCCTGGAAAACCTTGCGGACGGCCGACTGGATCGCTACAAGACAGGCGGCAAGGCCTGGCTCACCGACTACAAACGGCTGAGCATCAATTTTGTCGCACTCTGGGCCGATGACGTCCTAGACAATTTGCCGATGGACACTGTTGACGAGGAGTGGTTGACCATCAACCTGCCCAAGAGACTGGGTCGGAGCGTGGCGGTTGAAACGGACGCTTTGGCAGTGCATTTCACCTTTGGTACTCAGGGCAAGGTCGAGAAGACAGACCTCCTGCCTAGGTACCATGACTATGCGCTGGAGAATGCATGTGCCAGAAAAGTCTGATGGAGTTCCCAAAAATGGTCGGAGAATTTCGGTCGAGCAGATCTCACGACGTGCCTGGTCTTCGGAGACGTCTCTGTCCACAACTGGATACGACATGCGAACGCACTCACCAAGGCAAAGCTCGGAACAAATCTCAAGTTGACGAATTCTCTGCGATTCTCTGACGCGATCTTAGGACGACCTGTGGATAAACCTCTTGTCCGCCACGCATGATCTGGATACGCGCAATAGAGGCGCAATCGGAAAACGTACCAGTTTCCACGCACGAATTATCGGCGCTTCAACGCGATTTGGTCCAGTCCGATAGTCTCCATTACTATCACTATTTGCGCCGACCGGCCTTGGACCGGACGATATCACCTGATCAAATCTCGTCATATCTGATCTGATCATGCTGTGCACCTGGCTTTGTCGCTCACATTATCCCGCCGATATCTCTATCCACTCATCCCCACGGGCCGGGCAAATCCCTATACCCGCGTCCGCATCCGCCTGGGGAATATTTTCAGCGGCTCAGAACGAAAGCCACATGACATATCATATCAGGCATAAAGAAGGTGAAAGCGAAAACGGAAAGGATCCTAGTTTAAATCTCATTCGGCCTACCAAAATATACGCATGCAACAAATAGCACACCCGAAAAAGAGAAAAGAAAATCATTCCCGAATATCAAAGGATACCTATGGGAAATGTACAATACGAGACAGTATGGGAATGGTTGCGCTTGGTTTACATTTCTGTGCGTTGTTTCTAGCCTGGCGTTGGAAGGACATGGCAATGTCTTTGTTTTATGATAACTGTTTTACTATTAATGTGGGGATTGGCATGAAACTTCGTCTTCTTGATCGTGTAATGCTGTGTCAATAGCGAAATTTCTTGGAACTTCTTGTTCTCCTTGATTGGCCATCACTGCCCTAGCTCCTTGCTTCTAGCTCCATCCCCAGTCCCTCGGGTCGAAGTCAAGTCACAATGAGTTCCCTCCGCTTTCTCTGCAACCATATACACGCTGCTGACAATGTTGCCACTGACACTGTTAGGGAAAATGCTAGCATCAGCGACTCTGAGATTCTGCAAACCGTAGACTTTCAAGCGGGAGTCGACCGTCGAACCCATCGCGCAGGTGCCACAGCTGTGGTATTCGCCCAGACAGTACTCGCGGCACGCTTCGCGACGCTGCTCGATCGTGTCGAGGGGAAACTGGTCGGGCTCAGGATAGACGCATTTCGTGAGTTTGTCCTTTAGAGCTGGTGCTTGAGCGACTTTTTCGAGGAATTTCAACCCGGCGGCCAGGACGGTGACGTCGGCCGCGTGGTGCAGGTAGTTGGGATTGACTTCGGGGCAGGCCGTTGGGTCGGAGGAGGTGATGTGCACATGACCTCGAGAGACGGGGTATGGGAGACACATGTCCAGCGTGATGGCGTAAGGTCCATTGACGTCGGCAGGAGGGGGGATCAGTTTGGTCTGGTCTGCAGCGCCGTTCTTGACGTCTGAGCCTGCGGCAGCGAGGACTAAGTTGCAGGTTCGCGGACAAGGGATTCTTGATTCCACTGTTTCTTCTGGAAAGGCGTCACTGGCGTGGTAGATTCGATTGACTTGATGATTTCATCCATTTCGCCGTCTTCAGGGGCAATGGAGACAGGTAAGAAGCCTTGGATGGGTTGGATGCATGTGAGAGGACCTCCTTGTTCCTCGACTAACGCCTTTTGCGCCGCGGCCATAACTTCAGGTTTGTGGATAGCATCTGCAGATATTTGGCCGTCGGCGAGGAGGTAGACGGTACCAATCAACACGCGGTCCTGGTAATTGGTTCCGACAGTAGGCAATTCGACGAGGCACTCGACGCCTGCTCGGTTGAGAACCTCAGGGTCGCCAATTCCCGATAACTCGAGGATTTGTGGAGATTGAATAGCGCCGCCGGCAACAATAACTTCACGGTTTGCTTTGACGGTATGTTTCTGTCCGTTGTTCACGAATTCGACACCTGTGGCGGCTTTGTTCTCCAGGAGCACTCTAATGACAAGTGATTCGGTGATGACTTTGAGATTCGGGCGATGTTGATTAGCCTGGAAATACCCACGAGCTGCGTAGCTTCGTTGGCCCTTGTTTGGTCCAGTTCGTGCCACTGTCCCCAGGGTGGTGAAGAAACCGATGTGGTCGCCGCTCCAGGAGTCGGTTGGTTTCTTGGTGAAGCCGGAAGTCAGCTCAGCCGCTTTCATAACATCATCTTCAATGGGCATTCTATAGTCATTGAAACTGGTGCGGATGGGACCGCTGGTGCCATGGTATTCCTGAACAATCGGCATGGTTGTTCGATCAGTAATTCGATCATCGAATGGCTCCAGTGTTTGGTGCTTTCGCATGTATTGCTTGGTTTCGGCTGCAGACCAGGAAGGATCATTTGCCAATTCTGCCCAGTCACCGTAGTCTTCGTGTGATCCCCGAGCATACCTTTTAGGAGAAAGTCAGCATCGGTACCCCTAACAAGTAGTTGATACCGCTTGAGCCGCCCAGAAGTTTGCCTCGAGGCACGTAATGGATCTTATTTTTGTTTCCTACCTAGAGACGCACCGTGTTGGGCAGTGAGGCTTTGGATATGTGATCTTCTCACCTGAGGACTGGTGTGGAATGCCCAGTCGTAGTCCTGGTTTCCCAACGTCTGGAGATGAAAAGCAAGAACATCGACAAAAGGATCTCCAAGTTTGTTCTTCCCAGCCTCAATGACACCAACGGTGACGTTAGGATTCTCAGCCAAGCGAGCAGCAATTGTCAACCCGGCTGTACCACCACCGCGGATGAGATAATCATAGGATGGTTGAAGAAACTCTTCGACGGTCACATGCGCCGACTCCTGAGCCCCATTGACGCTATTGGTGGAGGCCATGTTGTCGAGGTTGGATGGCACCGATTTCAAGTCCTGAAGGAGATGTGGTGTTGCGAAGCGAGAGTAATGAACCTGGTGGAAGCAACTATACGATATTATATACTCGGACTCCCTCGTAATGGAGAGTCTAACCTCGTGCGAGTCCATCCAAGTTCATCGGCAACCCACCATTAATGGGAAGTACCGGCCAATGTAGGGCAAGAATAGGCCAACATACAAGACTTGGTCCCTGCAACAGTATGAGTACGGGGAAAGCGCCGGAGGAACATCCCATAATAAGCGGGGATGTAAAAGACTGAGATGATTGCGCAGGCTGGGATCCAAATAAGTAAGCTGCGTGTGGTTTTGAGTCTCAACCTGCATCCATGATCAATGAATAATGCTCCAGCCTAGTGATCGCAGCAATTGAATATGGTAGAGTTCGAGGTAAATGCTGGACATCCTAGTCTCGACGCTCCCTTTCAGCCGGGGACAGGTATAGAAACACAAACCAAGGGGTAAGTCGGTAAGACAGTCAGCTTCTGTAGCCTCATAAAACTATTAGATACACCACACGCGACCAACAACCCCACATCAGATGGGTGTCGGCCGGGAAAGGGGAAAAGTTGGACCCGATCTAAGATCCATGAGTGTGAGCTTCGGTGGCCTCGTGAGAGGAGGCTGGGAGAAGTGATATGAGAGCCGAGCCGATGACCACACACCCTCCTCTCATCACAAGTACTTCCGATTGAGAGGCAGCAGGGTTCAGGTCTGAGCTGTTTTAAGTTCGGCGAGTGGCCGTTATTGTGGTCAACGAGAATGGGGGGAAACGTACCAAGGTAACTACATTGACGGTAAAGCACCGAGTGGAGCGGGAGGAGATGAAGGTTCCAGATTATCCACTCAGTACATGAATACCTGGATCTCAAAGAATATTGTATGCATGGTCAAGGACCAGATACTTCATAGTGATGGCGGAAAACTTCAATCTTCATCCCCCAGGATACACAGCAGCGGCGTGCAAATTCGCATCACTTTCCCAATTCGACAGTATAGAATTTAACCCCGATCAAGGCTCCGTCATACAACCAAATCATCGTGCTCACAACTGCTGAGTATTTTTACCTACATTATGTTTTTTTCTACGACCAGCAGGGTCCACATAGACCTGGTATTCCTGTTCGACACCTCATCCGGCATACCATCCACCTTGGCAGGACTCTCGAGCCACGTCCTCGCCCCCTTGAAAGCTGAATACAGTTTGAAGCCACCGATGGCGATCAACTCTTGAAGGGATTATCGACGCTCCTTTCGACACTCTCCGTGTTCGGCCGAGAGCAAGCATTTGCGACCATTTGTGCGCCTCTGTCCGCTCTTCTGGCCGTCGGTAAAGAACTGTTCTGAACTACGAATCGACTTCTCTTTACAGACCCGATAAAATAAGCCGAATGGCCGCCGAGCTGACGACAACATCCCTTCCTCCATATCTTCTTCCCGACCGAGAAATCCATGTTATCATCTCAGTGCTCTCTGGCCGCCACCTAGCACCCGGATACTACCATGAAACGCTTAAGCCACTGCTCGACAGTCACGATATCAAATACACGACGCATATAACGGAGTCTGCCAAGACCATCATTAACCTAACTCAGAAACTGTTTGTCGTCAATGCCACACAAGGAGTCAAGCAAACAATCATTCTGCTCTCCGGGGATGGCGGAATTGTTGATATTGTAAATACTATGACAGGGGTCTTGAACCGACGAAATGATGACGTGCGGCCGCCTTCCATATTTTTGAAGCCTGTCGTCGTTCTTATCCCTATGGGAACCGCGAATGCGCTGGCCTGGAGTTCCAAAGTGGCTCATGATCCCCTTGGAGTTTTGATGAGAGGATCGCCAAAGTCTTTGCCATCGTTTCAAACCCGCTTGAGCCCCGGGGCCTCGCTGGTGATCAATGAAGGACGGGGTCGGGAGCCTCTGACGGATTCATCCGACGAGGAGAGCACAATGTATGGCGCGGTAGTCTTCAGCTGGGGATTACACGCAAGTCTGGTGGCCATGAGCGATACTACCGAGTATCGCAAGCATGGGCTAGACCGATTCAAGATGGCTGCTCAACAATTGTTGACAGACGCTCATCAATACCGAGGTAACGTCAAATGGCGGAAAGGAGGCGGCGACTGGACAAGCATTCCTGGAACGGAGCATTCTTACGTTCTCGCCACTCTGGTGTCCAATCTGGAGGAACATTTCCAGATCTCTCCTGCTCAACAACCTCTCGACGGTACCCTGCGACTTGTTGCCATCGGTCCTGAACCTGCGCAAGATATCATGCGCATCCTTGGACTCGCCTATCAGTCAGGCCAACACGTCACAGATCCCAAGGTCACATATGAAGAGATTGATAGCCTCAGGATTGAGTTTGAAGAAGAGGAAGAAGCGTGGAGGATGTTATGTATTGATGGAAAGATTGTCACCATCGCACGAGGAGGGTGGGTTGAAGTGACGAGGATTCCTGGCGTCGGTATAGATGGCAGAAGGGTCATTGAGCTGGTTTGCTAGAAGGATTGCATTGCTCTGTTCCATGACCAGTACCCAATAATCGAACGGTGATCTTCTAGCCAGGGCTTTGAGGTACACAACCTGCGGACAAACAGACCTATCATGCCATCACGTGACATGCTGAGGTCAGGTGACCCGTTTCCTTTTGAGATCCGTTACTCCTCATTTGCCTAGCACGACCGCTGCCGGCTGCCGGCTGACGTCTCCCATTTGAACACCTCTGACGACAGCCCAGTCGCAAACACAAACTTGGATAATATTCTACACACTTCCTGTGTACCGACATCTGAAATTCTGTTTCTCCAAACTGCGCAGCCATCGTAAGAGTTGAGCGAAGAAGCAGCAATGACAGCATAGTGCTTCGCTGAAACCATTTTATAAAGAGCAGCATTGCCGTCATCAGCACTGCGCTGTCTCTTCCCCAGAGGCTCATTCCACTGCCGCAACAATTCTCACATCGAACCACATATCATAAGATTAAATAACACGCCATTTTCGCAATCATGCACGGTTGGGGTAGGGTTGAGCGTTTCATCTTCAGCTATACAATTGACTATGTCGTGAAAACTGACAGCGTCCCTTAGGTCTTTTCTTCTTCCTCCTATTCCTCCTTCTCATCTTTGCCATCGTCGGTTGGGTCGTCTACACACAAGTCACTGCACGAAAACGAGGTCTACCCCCTCCGTCGCTGAAATCATGGAAAACTTATGTTCCATTCCTCCGGTCACAAGGTTCCTCGAATTACCCGGCCCCACGCCATGCCTCACCTCTCGAATGGATTCGCGACCAATTCTCCAAGCTCGGCAATAAGCGCATGGCCCGGGGAGCCTACGAAGAGGCAGGCGGAGAATCCGGGTATGTCGGCGGAAGGGGCGGCGGGAGGAGAGGCAGAGGTGTCGAAGACGATGCTTGGGACACCAGAGTTGGAAACGAGGATGCCTATGGCTCTGGACCAGGCTATTCCGGATATGAAGAACAGGAGCTCGGATTGGCACCGACACCAGGATTGCATGCCGAGCCTTATAGTGGTGGGAGCGGCGGTGATTACCTCGGCGCCGGCAGGGGCTACTCAGATGCTGATGGACGGGGACGACCATCGAGTTCGAGAGGCCTGGGCTCAGAGAATCCCTTCGGTGACCAGAACGAGGCGCCAAGTTTGAGGAGCGTCAGCCCACGACCAGAAGCGGATATCCGGGTGCATACGAAGGGGAACGACAGTCTCGATACACAGGGAAGCGGGGATGGGAATTCCAGTCCAATCAGCACGAGAAAGAGTGTGTTCAGAGAAGAGATGAGATGAGATGAATGTACGAAAAGAGAGAAATGACTTGGCCATGACCTCGGATGAGGTACCTTGGTATGCATGCTCGGAGCGAACGGTCACCACCACTGACTTTCGAGGAAGAATCGTCCAGGAAGTCAACACACGCTATTGAAACAACGCGTCACTGTCCACTTGACTTCGGAACAAACTCAAGAACTAATGCCAGAACGACTTTATCCAGGTTGTCTCAGCCTGGTGGTCCCTTTCCCTTTCCCTTTCCCTCCCCTTGTCCGAACAGCATTGTCTTGCACCGACATCGCCGTGTGCTGCACAACCCCTCGTCTACATACTAAACACAAATATACACAAAACATATTCAGAGATCGCTAATTCAAACTCCTTCATTTGATCTAATTCAATCCACCGACCAGACCCAACGGGCAAAGGGACGATTCACTGGCCTGATCCGCACGCTACGCCTACAATGGAATGAACGAAACTTTAAGAAGCTGAATTTCGTACCGGGAGTACAAAATTGAGGGTTTCCAGGGGGAGACAGAGGAGGGCTGTTTTGGGTCAATCGAATTTGGCTTTCTTGTTTGTTTGCTCCTCCTTTCTTGGAGCTCTTGATGTATGAACCGGAACACTGAACAGAGAAAATACAAGATGGAGATTCATCAATCCTCGATCATATTTCTTTCTCCACACACTTCTTATTTGATCTATGTACTGAGTGAAAGGAAAGGATATCAATCAAGTATTATGATGTTTCTACTCTCTGCTGCGTAATACTTTTCGGCAGAAGAATTCTCTGTACATCCACCGTCATCCGTCGATGGTACGAATTCTGTTTCGGATATGTGGCTGATTCTCTTTCATCTTCCCAAATCATTCCCTGTTGAGAGGCATTCACAATTCTACTACGCGAGGCTTATTCAGTAGCTTGTTGGTCGTCTGATAGGTTAGGGCGCCGTTGACCATGTATCCTCCCTGTCGGGCACCACCCCAGAGCCTCGTCCACAGAAGACCTCGCACATCTGCAATCAGCGACTTAAAGCCCCTCACCCATAACGGGACATCCATTAGCTCTGTCAACGGCAGGCGATGGCTGGCGGGCGTTTCGGCAGGTTTGTTGTAAGCCGCTTCGAGAAATTCTTCAAATGACCTCTGGCTGTCGTCCCACCAGACAACATCGGTGCCGTAGCCCGTGTGGACGTGTCCGAAAGCATGTAACGTAGGTCTAACGCGCCAGACTTCCCGCAACTCATACTCGTCACCCATGCCTCCGCTCTGAGGGACATCCAAGTGCCATTTTGGTGGGTTGTGTGTGACTAGCACATCAACATCCTCTGGTATGGTACCGCTCCATGCATCTTGTCCTCGGTTATACTGGAAAGCGAAATCTTTGCCGCCGCACTTAGGAATTTGTGGAGCTCCATAGACTCGCAATTGACGGTCGTCGGGGAATGGAAGGGTTATGGACGAGTGTTGCAGGTAGTGGACTTTGCCCCAATCGAGGGTGCGGTGGGAGTTCTTTCGATCGTGGACACTTCGGCTGCGCTCATCGAAGTAGCTGTCGTGGTTCCCTGCCACGACCACAATATGGCGGAAGCCATCGGAAGAGCCATGCCAGGGCTTCTGTAGAGTCTTTAACCAGTCTATGGCTTGTTGAATGGAGGAAAGGCTGCCGGTGTTCGTTAGATCGCCAGAGTGGATGAGGAGGTCGCCTTTAGGTATAGCCGTGGGAGGGATTTGAGAGTGCGTGTCAGAGATACAAACTACTCGAATGGGGATCTTATTTTTGGGTGGGAGGTACGGCGGTCCTCGAAGGTAAACAAGAAGCTGGTGCAAGAACGTGAAGCAGGTAGTCAATGGGTGGTAAATGATCTGGTAAAGGAATGACGGAGGCGCAAACGGCGAATCTGGAGGGGATAAAATTCCCATCTTCCGAAGCTGGATGCCAGGATATGTCAATCCGGATTGCTCCTTCCACACTCTCTATTGTTTCGTTTCCATTGAAATTTGTAGTTTCACCGAGCTGGATAAGCCAGAGGAAGCTAGACGGACAGCTCAAGATCGCCAATGTCCCGAGAGATAGGGATCATGAGATTGGGAGGGGACAGAAGGGAAGCCTCGAGAACTTGAAGAGTTCCGGCAGTCAGGGACTAGAAGCACAAACTTGAATAGTGTCCTGTGTTGACAGCGGAAAGTCAGTATGGTGATGTTTCTTGGGCAAAAGCTGTTCGTGATAGCGCAAGTGGCGCTTTGACGCAGAAACCAACAGCCAGATGACCTTGTTCAATGTCCCCTCAAATCGTGGTTTGGGCGGCTCGCGATGGCTATAGATGAAGGAGGAGGAGGATTCCGTAGAAGATGATAATGCAGAGTCAACTCATCCTCTCAGTACACCGTGACCTGTCGTCGCCAGGCATAAACGCAGCCAACCCATCGTCACCATCACCGTCATCACCACCAGCTGCAAAAACTCCACTATTTGTTGATTACCACATACTTTCTCACTAGGTCCTGTGTCAAGTCACAAGCCCTACCCAACCCGATACAGCGCAATCAAGCCATTCCACATCTGTTACGAAGATACAGGGCCCTTTACTCTGGCAGTGTTGATATCACCATCGATCTCTGCCAATCGCCGAAGCCGCGTCCAAAGTCTGATCCGTGCTCTACCATCTTTTCCTATTCCCAAACTACATCTCTCCCAGCCAGCCTTGACATCGATTTCATCCTTTCTAGAGTCCTCAACCGAACCTGACATACCTCTCGTTGACCTAGCTCGTCGAAGACCAATCTCCTTATCCCTCTCGCGTTCTTCATGCTCAGGATCTAGTAACCGCCGCCCCCGTGGTTGGGTGCCCTGCTTCGTCCCACGAATCACATCCTTCAATCTGCTGCACGCAGCGCACATTTGTTCCACTGTTTCCTGATTCCCGCAGTCGCCGAGAACGCAGCCGCTCTCTGCCTTTCAAGTTGCTTCGTGAGCAATTGATTGATGGGAAGGAAACGGATCCCAGTTGGAGACAGGAGAAGAATAACATTAGACAAAGACACGAGAACACACTCCTCCTTGTCAAGCATTGACAAGTGATCCGACATCCGAAGCGACCAAATCTCCAATCCTAAACGGTCCTGCCGGCGCCTGAGCCTGAACGCCTGGCGTGGTAGTAGTTACGCTGCAGAATCAGACCAGCCACGGTCTAACTGCGCCGCCCAAAGTCATCCCCTTCCCACCCTACTCCAACCTCGAACAATCTTCACAATTCCTCCCAGATCGGAAACTGGCCCTGCAAAGGGACCAGTCTCAGTCAATACCGACACCTTGTTGGCCGCAAACGCCGCTGCCCTCGCCATGATGAACGGCACTGATCTGAAAAAAGCCGCCATCAGTCAGGCCAAGAAGGTTGCGACCACCGCCGCGCTCGCAGCAAACGGCAACGGTCAGAAGAAACGGCGGAAAGGCGATAATCTCAAGCCCATCATCACTTCGGAGAACGCGTCCTCAAGTCTTCACGATAACCCCACGCAAGCTGAACCAGAGTAAGTCAAAAACCTCATCGTTCTCACTTTTTAATCATCATTCTCTTCGCCACTCGTGATCGCAAACGCGTCTCTCTCCATTCTCACTCAGCCTCCAAACTGATCGACATCCCTCAGAAGCATGGATTCTCCTCTGCCTCATGGCAAAGTCCCTTCGCATAACTCACGTCTTGATAGATCTCCCTCATCCTCCACCTCGGAAGACGATCCCGCCGAAACCACGGCCGACGAAGAAGATTCCGAAGATTACTGCAAAGGCGGATATCATCCGGTACATGTGGGCGAGACATACAATAATGGCAAATATGTCGTGGTGCGCAAACTCGGATGGGGCCACTTTTCCACCGTGTGGCTCTCAAGGGATACCACCACCGGCAAACACGTGGCGCTGAAGGTCGTCAGATCGGCGGCGCATTACACGGAGACGGCTATAGATGAGATCAAACTATTGAACAAAGTTGTCCAAGCGAATCCAAACCATCCCGGCCGAAAATACGTCGTCAGCCTCCTTGATTCCTTCGAGCACAAGGGCCCCAACGGTGTACATGTTTGTATGGTTTTTGAAGTGTTGGGAGAAAATTTACTGGGTTTGATCAAAAGATGGAATCACCGAGGCATCCCTATGCCCTTGGTCAAGCAAATCACCAAGCAAGTTCTTCTCGGATTAGACTATCTGCATCGCGAATGCGGCATCATCCACACGGATCTCAAGCCGGAAAATGTTCTGATCGAAATTGGCGACGTTGAACAAATTGTCAAGGCGTTTGTAAAGGATGAAAAAGAATCCACCAAAGATGACAACAGAAATGGCCGGAGGCGAAGAAGAACTTTAATCACCGGCAGCCAACCTCTCCCCAGTCCTCTCAACGCCAGCTTCACGAATTTAGATAAAGTCGTCAATCCCCACCACCATCAGCCAAGCAGTCTCAATCAAGTCATCAACGACTCGGTTTCCAACAAGTCGATGGAAGGTCTGTCCATGATCGAACAGCTGAAGCTGAAATCCAAAGAAGCCAAGCAAAATGAGGAACACGCAACCGGCGACAAGACGAGGGAGACGACCACAGATCCTCTTGAAAAGGATTTGGCGGGAGTGTCCCTTGACAGCAAGAAGAGCACGGATGCGGAAAAAGTGTTGAAGGCGGCCCAAAATGAAGACGAACCATCGAGTGAGATCATCTCTGTCAAAATCGCCGATCTTGGAAACGCCTGCTGGGTGGGCCATCATTTTACGAACGACATTCAAACTCGGCAATATCGATCGCCGGAAGTCATTCTTGGCGCAAAATGGGGTGCAAGCACAGACGTGTGGAGTATGGCATGCATGGTATGCTCCCGGGCTACGGTCTACACTTGGAAAAGGTACTGACGTTTTAATGAAGGTGTTTGAACTGATTACGGGCGATTATCTTTTCGATCCTCAGTCAGGAACTAAATATGGCAAAGACGACGATCACATCGCACAAATCATCGAACTACTCGGGCCTTTCCCGAAATCTCTGTGCTTATCCGGTAAATGGTCACAGGAGATTTTCAACCGAAAAGGCGAACTCCGCAATATCCATCGCCTCCGACACTGGGCGCTACCGGACGTGCTTCGAGAAAAATACCATTTCTCCGTCGAGGATGCACATAAAATTAGTGCATTCTTGATTCCAATGTTGGAATTACCTCCTGAAGCGCGGGCCAACGCCGGTGGTATGTCCAATTCAGAATTCTTGAAAGGCACCAAGGGTATGGACAACATCAATGTGGACATTCCTGTGGGAAGTAAAGGCGAAGGAATTGAAGGTTGGGCGACGGAAGTGAAAAAACGATGATCTATGACCTCAGGTTGGTTTCGGATGAGATCAGCTCCCGCGGTGTTGACGATTTCACCCTGGGTCTGGTTTTTGTGAATGAAGAAAGCAAGTACGTTGTCACATACAGAATAAATGACCTTGATGGGCCGGTTGTGATCCTGCGATGGATTGATGACCTTCCGCTACATTGGTGGACCTTTTCTTCCCTTCTTTCCCTCCTCGAAGAGCCGCATGAAAGTTGGAGTTTTGGCTGTGTGGGTACATGGGAGAGCGAGGATTTGAACAAGGCTATGGAGTCATGCACAAGCCAGACTTCCAAGGAGACGAACTGATGACTGTTTAAAGGTGTTTTATCTACTTGGCTCTGCCATTGACGAATTTGCTTCGAGTTTGATCTGGCCTTTTGTTGTTCAACCATCTTGCAATCATTCTCAGGCAAAGGTATACAGGACCATTGTCGATCCAATGATGACACATAGAGAAAGACATTCCGACATGGGGATGGAAAATGTTGATATCTTGGGATCCTGAAAACCTCTATCTGCGAGAACCGCTATTTGAATGTGATCATTGATCATTACTGGGGGACGGAGACGAGGCTGAACACGTGATCCCCACACCAGGGGCGTATTTCGTCTACTATTCATGTCACTTCAGCCTTCCCGCCTCGTGGACAGCGTTGGATACAAATGACTCACTATCCAGGACAATATTTCTCGTACGTTGCATAAGCTACATGTCAACCACGCAATTATGGTATAGCGGCGTTGATCAAACTTCATCTTCAACTCTTATCACAGTCAGTGTCTGCCCTGATAATGACATCTGCTAAAGGCTATACTGAAATCCGAACGGAAGACGGTGACTGATTTTGGATCCTCGGCTCACTGGTGGGGTGATGTATGAAAGTCTTTCCAGACGTGGCGTGACATTGCTTACCAGGACCAGCCAACACATCATTGTCCACACTCTTTTAGACAACCATACGACCCATTTTCCTCGGGGCTGTGTGGTACAAGCAAATTAAAATGTATAATAGCACCAGTACGACAGATATGTTTGCTCACTTACCCCACATTATGCGACCAAAGATCGGTTGAAGGGGACACCATTCGTCTGTCGATATATGGCCTCGAGGCGCCTTCTCACCTTTTTTATATTTCCCCTCATTGCTGTTCTTCTTTCCATGCTGGCTAGCCGGTTTCTACTACGGACCATGTCATCAATCTCGCAGAATCCAGTATCTAGCTCTCACGCCGTCATTGTGGTCGGCTCAGGTCTTGCCGGCCTCTCTGCGGCCTCGGAGCTAATATCACGAAATGTCCCAGTCCATATCCTCGAGCGTCAGCAAAAGCCTGGGGGGAATTCGATGAAGGCTTCAAGTGGCATCAACGGCACTCCAACTCGATTTCAACCTCCAGGGTCGGACTCTGTCGCAGCTTTCTATGACGACACGGTGAAGTCTGTCAGCCCCGGTATCATGTCCGGCACGACAAAATTAAGGGCGGCCTTGATCTCAATGTTGACGAATTCCTCTGCCGACGCTATCAATTGGCTGGTTGACGAGAAAGGCATCGATTTATCCCGAGTGGCGCAATTGGGCGGCCACAGTCATGCGAGGACTCACCGAGGAGCTGGTTCCACACCGCCGGGAGCCAGTATTGTCTCGACGCTGTTGAATCAACTCAAGGCTAGCCCCCTTGCCACTCTGGAGATAGGTTCGACCGTGACGGAGATCCTGAAGTCTCAAGGCGAGGTTGTTGGCGTCCAAGTCTCGCGTAATGGGGGGACAGAGACATTGGATGGACCGGTGATTTTTGCTTCTGGCGGGTTCGCCGGCGATTCCACTGGTCTTCTTGCGCGATATCGCCCTGATCTGGCGGGACTTCCTTCAACAAACGACGCATTGCCCGGTAGTCAACACATTCTCGTCGATGCCGGGGCACAATTACTTGACATGGAGCAAGTGCAAGTCCATCCAACTGGATTCGTGGATCCAAAGGAGCCATTCAAAGGCACCAAATTCTTAGCTGCCGAGATCTTGCGAGGTGAAGGGGGCCTTCTTTTGATGCACGGACAAAGGTTTATTGATGAAATGCAGACGAGGAAGGTGATTACAGGGGCGATAATGGCAAGTCCGGTGAAGGATATCGAGCCGATGAAACAATGGGAGGTCTTGCTGGTGATGGATGAGGGAACTTATGCAGCAGCAAAGAATCACGTCGACTTCTACCTATGGAAAGGATTGATGCGGAAGACGACCATTTCGGAACTCGAAAATACAGATTCGGTATTGGAGACGCTCAGGCAATATTCCAACAGTGTGCGAGGAAACAGCCCCGACCCCTTTGGAAGGACTTCATTCGGCAATTGGAGCCTTCTGAGTCCGACCCTGGAATCCACAATCTATGTTGGCACCGTCACTCCCGTCGTTCACTATACAATGGGAGGAGTGGTGATTACGCCGGAAGCGCAGGTTCTGGACTCAAGCGGCAATCCTATCAAAGGGCTTTGGGCTGCAGGAGAAGCCACTGGAGGGGTTCATGGGGCCAATCGACTTGGGGGTAGCAGCTTGCTGGAGTGTGTGGTTTTCGGCCGGATCGCTGGGAAGAATGCTGCTGCGTATGTGGAATCAAAGTCTGAATAAATGCTTTGAACGGTGCTAGGCCACGAGAGAGATGGAGTCGGATGGTGACAGGAGGAAAGGTTGCAATGCATGATGCGTGATTCAGCTGGTTGGCCACACATATCTGGGAAATTTTTCATGGCATGTGGTGGATTGGAAATAGACCCAAACTACGGACGCAATGGAAGAGACGAAAAATTCAGTCTTCTGTCATCAAGACCACAGGTCGCAGGTCGCAGGTCACGTACAGACTTTGACGTTGATACCATGATCCCCTTCAGCACACCTATCACCTTCTCTCGTAGTTCTCAATTCGCTTGTGGAAGTTCTTCTCTCTCTCTCCCCCTCTGCCTCCCTCTCTTCTCTTCCTTTTCATTTTTTCCGCCCTTGCACGTTTCCTCTAACCAGAACCAAAGTGAAAAGTCCATAGCATCGTTGAGTGGCTTCAGGCTCCCCCTACCTCTCTACTGTCATGAGACTCTCGTTCCTCATTTAGTCCTCCTCGAACTAGGTTCACCCACCATGGATAAATCCAAACAACTGCTCTCACCTCCCAAGGAGGCCACCAAAACCGTCACCTGGTCTACCATTGTCGAGTCACCGGCGAACTTAGACTTCGTTTCCTGTGCTATAATGCAGAAACCTTGAGGGCGGGACAATACGTGCTCGAACCACTTTCTGCGGAACAGATCGAGAAGAAATTGAGGTTACCAAGTGCACTGATACGAGATGGACATATAAGGACCCTGAATGGACGTTCAATTGACTCACCCAGAACGCATAAATGTGAAAATAACCCTGAAGAAGAACGATCCGCCAATTTCTAAGGATCTCAAGTCGGAACCAAGGGTAAAAACTCAACCTCAACTTGTCTATAGATTCCCTACCAGCAATGTGGTGGACAAGGTATGAAGACTGGAAGTACACCGGAAATTTTGACAGAGACTCACCTTCGTTTAGATCTTTTCAAAGCCTGGACGTACATACGCCTCCGAACACACACCTCTTTCACCTGATGACCAGCAAAAGTACTGGCAATCCCATCACACTCCTATCCATGACTCTCGAAGTGGAAATGGCAGGATCAAGCAGCATTCAAAGCACAATCCTCAAGCACCTTGTCAAACAATGAGCGCTATTACACCACTAGGTATTCTGATGTCACAACAAGCCAATATGCGCAAGGCGGGTAAGAGTCGCGCGGGGTTCTTTGGTCGCGACCGCGCTAGAGTGTGCTTATGAGAAACTCATTGGGTCTGATACTATCATCGCAATGTATGGTAGGCAGAATGACTTGACAGCGGTAAAGATGGGTTCATTCCCACGTTGTGGATACTTACATCCTGATTCAGCAAAAGAGACATGTGATTGGCACTGGCGATGGAATCGAACATGACAGTCTGGAGGATGCATTGTCGTGTCGCGAGTTGGCTCTGCTTCGGACTGAATGTGATCTGATGGGCTCCTGGATCGATTGTGTTTCTTCGACCGCGGCGATAGTCACGTGCTTCTTGGCAGGAAAACCCTTTCTATGTCTACTTGGCCATTTCTCTTCTCTTTTTCTCTCTTAGATGGACGAATTCATTGCATCAGTCCTCTCCTTTATTGGCGTCGTTTCCATCAAATGTGTTAAATGTTAAAGACAAAGACAAGGTAAAAGTAATGTCAACTATCATTTTTGGTCACGTTTGGTATGCATCCCTACCCTAGGCACAAAGCACTGCACCCGATCACCATGTATCTATCCGCGCCACCATCTATGCCAATGGCAATGGTCAAGGGAAAAAATTCGTGAAAGTCGATTCTTCTTCAATCAAGCCTTGATAGCTCCACCGAGTGCACCACCACTGAATTGTTGGCCTCCAGGTCTTCTCTGACCTGTCTGTCCGCGCTGTAAACCCTGGAGATTCGTGCGACCGCTACGACCTCCCCGACCGGTACGCTGGCCCTGATCACGCTGGAATGCGTTGACCATCCCTGCGGTCCTGGTCTCGAGGACCTTCTCATTCGACTCAAGAATACCCATGGCCTTCTCAGAGAGAGTAATGATTTGACTCTGCAAGCGTGAAAGCTCGACGCCCTTACGGAACACGATTGCGTCGTTGACTTGGTCCAGAGCCGCGGCCAGCTCCTCGTGTGAGATCATCTTGGAAACCACAGCCGCGATCTTCTTGGTATCCAAGTCGAACATGCCGGACAGCGTGGTGATGGACAGAGTATCGTAGTACGGCGCGTAGGTGAACAAGTATGTCCGTAGGCCTTCTTCTTGGATCTGTTCCGCGAGCATCGCCTTGATCTTGTCCTTGTCACTGCCTAGCAGATCCCAGATGCCAATCTTGCTGATGAGTTCCTGGCACTTCTTCCAGTCTCCCTGAGCGAGAGCCTTGGCGGCTTGCATCACATGATCGCGAGTATTTTCAGGAGGGCCTTGGAAGACTTGTCGTTCGGTGTATTCAAGCATGCGGCGGAAAGTCTTGGAGATGACCCTTTTGCGGACGTCGGGAGAGGAACCTGTTTGGGCCAATAGAGGGATTTCGAGCAACATGCTGCAAGTGAGATAGACACACTCCAACAGTTCGAGATTGATGTGCATGTGGAATGGCAGTTGACGTTGCCGTTCAAGTCGTTCTTGCTCCGGTGTGACGGTAGAATACCTTTGCATGATCACGCCCTGAGCGAGAAGTTCTTTCTGTCGGCCTGAGCCGCAAATCTCCTGTAATACACCTTGGGCCTCATAGCAAAGTCCAGCCCGGAATGCACAAAGGCCAATTTGGACGAGGGTGCGGTTGAAGAGGATTTGAGTGCTGACGTCAAAGGATGAGATGTTCTCGGTGAGATGGCTCATGAGGGCGAGATCTCTGGCTCGATAGTAATCATCTTGCAATGCCAGGAAGTAGATCTCGCAGAGCATGGCGCGTGCTCTGATGATGCCTTCACTGTACTCGAACAAATGGTTGCAAAGGGTCCGTACCAGAGGTGCTACTTCGGCGTATTTGCCTCGTGGAGTAAGGTCGGAGTTCAGTGTTGGGGGGATAGCATTCCATGTCTTCTCTTCAAGTATTTTCACCACTTGAATAGGCTTGAAGTAGATGTGTTCCAGCCGTCGGATCGTGGTTCTGTTCATGTTGTCTTGCCCGCTTTCCGTCTTCTCCAGTTTCTTGTTAATGGTCTCAATATAGATGAGGGTTCGCACGATGTCAGTGTACAAAAGCTGTTCGTCTCCCAGTCTATCGATGTATTCGGCGGTGTGAGGGTCGGTCTGTTGCAAAGAACGGGTCAATTCGTCATCCAGTCTCTCCACAAGGGACACAATGCTGCCGGGGACTTTGAAAGTCTCGCCCGCGGCAGGGTTAGGTGCTTTCTCATCATCCTCCCATTCTTCGGCTCCCTCAGTTACGATGTAGGTGGGCTCGTCCTCCAACGTCTGTAGCAGAGACGCAAATTCTCGCTCCGCAGCTCTCCAAGATTCCTGTGACATGTGGTTCTGAATAGAGGAAGTGGTGACGTCGAATCTCGCGGAAATCAATGTCAGGAGAACTCGAATTCGTTGGTATGGAGTGTTGGCAACTTCCAGGAGCTTCTCCATGATACGGATTTGTTCGGTTCGATCGGTGTTCTTCTTCCCTCGAGATTCAATGATGGTCCGCAGGTGTTTGAGAATGGATTCTGGTGTGTATACAAGGGCCTTTCCACCTCTGCCGACGGTTGCAAAGCCTTCTTCATCAATGGCTGCTTCAAGGGCGTCTAATTTTTGAACTTTGCTCTTACGAGTCTTCTGTTCCGCCTCCAAAGGTTCTTCCTCGTCGGATTCCATGTACTCGTCCTTGTTCTCGCGATATTTCTCCACCTCGGTCACATATTCCTTGTTGTTCTTCCGGATCTTCTGCTTCATGGCGTTGAAACCTTTGGCATTGATCGGATTCATCTTCTTGGCTCCAGACTTCTGCTTGTCATTGGTTTCATTGATCATATCTTCGAGGTCGGCAACCATCTTGATGTAGATTTTGGGAGTGACACCTTGCTGGGTGACCTTGACAACCTGGCGGTTCATTTTATCAAATTCTGCGCCTCGTCAGTAGGGGGGCCCGGAACCACAAAACTTGTCCAGCATACCAGTCGAAATAACTGCCCAGTCGTTGATCTTTTCGGCATTTTCAATCAACTTGATTGTGCCTTCCAGTTCCTCGAATCGCTTGTCCTTTGCACTCTTGACCACTCTTTCGCGATCTTCATCCTCGCTCTCATCGCTCTCGTCGCCACCTGGTCCTGAAGGCTTCAAGAATCGGCTAGCACCCATTCCACGACCTTCATCTTCGGAGGACTCTTCGGAGGACTCCTCCTCTTCTTCATCTTCCTCTTCGGATTCTTCTTCATTTTCTTCGCGATCACTGTAGAGTTCTTCCTCCTCAGAGGAGCTGCTCTCGCTGTCGGAGTCTCCGCCGTGAAAGAATCGCGAAGACATTTTGACCGGCTCAGAGGAGTGCGAAGATTGAATTTCTGTTCTAAGAGGGGTAGGCCGGTTGACGTTGGGTAGAATGTCAAACTTGAAAAATGTGCGGTTCGCGCGCAGTTGTCAAAGTCGCCAAGACTTTTGCCAATCACGTGACACAATTGTTCGACTCGAGATGATATGTCGCTCTTCGCAGCAAGATACCTCACATCTTGGGGGAGTTCTAGAATAGACCAAGGACATGAGGCCTAAATTTTCTCAGATGCTACTCTACCCTGCCTTAGTCCTCACATCCTCCAATCATTGACGACGGCGTTCTTTGTACATTCAATCTCTCCCATATCACATGCCATTGACCATACCTCATTCATCAGTCCCAACCAGAAAAATTCATTCTGACATTCTTTGAGAGAGTCCATGCTTGAACCCCAACCTCGATTCAGGGCTGACCTTTCCAGATCATCAGCCTTCGTCGCGTGATGCTCAACCTTAGATCCCGATCGGAAGATGTCATGAGATCAACATCAAAGCCTACCGTCCAGTCGGAGCTTCACCTGTGGGAAAGATGTCCATCTGCGAAAGAAACTCGTCTAGGGTCAGAGATGTATGTAGCCTCTCTCTCTTTTTTTTCCTTACCACTGTCCGGATGGAATGGCGCTCATCAGCGGATATTGTATTCCAAGCACTTCGCCGGACCCTGAATTCCCGGAAGTGGTAGGTTTGCAGTCGCATTCTCTTAGCAACAACGAACGATCAGAGCTTCACCATAGTGCAGTTCCGCCAATTTCAATGCCATTGTGCTTTGCTCATGAAGGTATCCCCCATTGCACCATCTTCCAGAGTCCGGATGAAATCACGATTCCTTTGATTGCGACTGCCTCGTCTCCGGGCCGTCGAGGGCGAGTCGACATATCCATCCGCCGGAGGTGGATAGTAAGCGGGGCTGGGTTGGAGTCTGATCGGCGCATTTGGGTCAAGATGACTGGCAACGCGCTGTATCGCAGCAGGAATTCCAGCCTGTTGTTGGTCCAAGGTGGACGCACGTTGACGACCTGCCCTTTGCGTAGCCTGCGCATACAAGCTCTGTTGATGACTGTAATGACTAGGGTTCATCTGAGGGTTTTGCTGCGACATCATGCCCATCTGAGGGGCATAGTTACCCGAATGGGTAGGATATGGTGGAGGAGCGCCTTGTTGATGACCGGGATACATAGTGCTGTACATTGGCGGCGGCTGGGATTGTGGGTAGGGGCTCATTTGCATGGCGTACGCATTTTGAGCCACTGTTTGAGCTTGGGCTTGGGCTTGTGCTGCTTGGGCTTGAGCATGGGCGGCTTGAGCGGCTCTCTGTTTGCTTAGAGCTTCGGCTTGTTGTTGCTGCTGTACACCTGGGGCAGGGGTTTTGCTCGACGACGGGGACTTCAGATTCATCGGGGGGACGAAAGGCTGAGTAAACTTTTGTTGAGTGATAAACGGATGCAGTTTCGCTTGCTGAGGGGACCAACGTTCCAGAGGGTTGATAGTCAGTAAGCCACGAACAAAATCGATAAAAGCAACGCGATTGTTCATTTCTGCAATCGGTCAGCAACCACTCCCAAAGTCCGATTTCCTATCATACCTCTTTCCACTTCAGCTTGTTTCATATTCTTCCTAGGCATAGAATAGCTGCGAATGATTTCGGGGAGAGTGGTCGCTTGAAAGTATTTCTTGCTCGGTTGCTCCTTGACATTGTGTTCACGAGAATATTGTTCCATGCTCTTGAGCCGATATGTACGGCGACCAAACTCGTCCGTCGTCTTTTCGAAGAACTCTCCCGATTGCTTGCCCATTTCCAACATCCACGTCGGAGGCATACCTAGCATTTCAACAATTCGAGAAACTTGATTGTACTCAGAAGACCCCGGAAAAAGCGGTAGTCCCAGAAAGAGCTCCACAACAATGCACCCAAGAGACCACATGTCGATGGCAGAAGAATAAGGTAACCCTAATAGCACCTCGGGGGATCGGTAGAATCGAGATTGAATATAAGTGTAGACTGTCTGTCTTTCGTCACAAGCAGACCCAAAGTCAATGATCTTGATAATTGGACTTTCCAGGTTCTTCAACAGGATATTTTCCGGTTTCAGATCACAATGGATGAGTCGGGCCTTGTTTAACAAGGTGAGACCGTTCAATAACTGTTGGGCAAAAACTCGGACAAGGGTGGTGCTGAGACCTCGGAATTGATTCTGTTTAATTAGTTCGTATAAATTGACGCTCAAGAGCTCAAAAACTAGGCATAGATGCTGTCGATGGATGAATGTGTCTTTCAAGCGCAGGAGATGGTGATCATCATTCTTGTCGAGCTTCTGGTTTAAAAGATCGAGGACCGACACTTCCATCATACTTTGGTTGAAGTACGCCGTCCGGTTTTTGATGACCTTCACAGCAACGACTTCCTGGGTCCTTAAATTCTGGCATTTCACCACTTGACCAAAAGTGCCCTGGCCTAGAACGTCCAGGATCAGGTATCGATTTTTGTGGCCCGCCTCTTCGCTGCCCAGGATATCATTCACGTAGAGAATGTAGTCGCTATCGTCATTATCGTAGCCATCATTCTTGGTCCCCTTGCTCGGCTTTGTCAAGACTCGCCTGGGATTCCTTGATGACTCGTATTTGAAACTGGGGTTACAGATCCGATATGTGGCGGGAAGGTACGTGGTTAGGGCCTGCAGCGGACTTATGAATCCGCCTTCGGGGTTTGCTCTGCGATATGGTGGCTGAGCATTGACCTTTGGAGTGAGATCCTGCACAGTTTTGACCTTCCTAAACCTCGGAACAGGTCCTGCACCCTGTGACTGTTGTCTCGACAGCGGGACGGGACGTCCATTGCCGGCGGAGGCAGGATAATACGACTCCGGGCTCAATTCGGAATTCTGCATGGCGGAGGAATAGCCCGAATGGTATCTGGTCGGCGTTGGTGGCTCAGTATATCGATCTGAGGTATAGTTCCCTTGCCGGGTGGGAGATTCTCGCGATGATGGGGGCTGGTTCAGGTATGGGAAACTGTTTTGATTTTGCGTTTTCGGGCTCGACGCGTATGCAGCACCTATCGGTTGAGCATTCATAGGAGAGTAGCGTTGTGCGGCGGTTGAGGCCTCGGGGATGTATTGGGTGGACAGTCGGTGCTGGTGTGCAGGACGGGGAGGGTATTTAGTTCGGTTGTAAGGATCTGCGTCTTCCATCGGGACGTCAATTTCACCATTGTGCTCATATGCATGCGATTGTGTGGCAGGCGTCGTATTCATCGACATGGCTTGCTAGAGGCGCCTCTCGGTGTCGAACTGGGAATCAACACAATGAGGCCAGAATATCGAGTAGGTGCCCCGTTGGGTTAGAGCTGAGCCGCTGCGGTTGTTGCTTGTTCTGCCGCAGGTTCGGTGTCGATGCACATATAGATAGACCCGCACAACCAGTGTGAGTTGGTCAATCGAGGTGAAAATAGTTCGCGGTCGGATGGAACATGAGACCTGCACCGCAGTGCAGGGTCGCTGTCGGCTTTCAGAGGGGCAGGCAAAGTGGGTTGGCGGCTTTCGTAAGCGCAGTCGAGAAAGACTGGAGGATTGACGGTGAAAGTCGACACATGGTAGCAGAGACAAAGGCTCAGCATGAAGCCATGGCGTTTGAGATCAGAGACAATAGAGAAGTGTTGCTCTGTCGTCGGTTCGTGGACTTGGGCAGACGTCGAGGGTGTGGACACAAATGGGCTTTGTTGCACGTTCGGGCTGGGGTTTGGATTCGTGGCAGCCGTGGTTGGAGGTGAAGAGGCCGTGCAGACGGAGCGGAACCGGGCGACGCAACAATGAGGACTGGAACAAACCCGAGACAAGGACAGAGATAGACAAGTGAAGAAATGATCTCGAGGTCCTCGAGGTCCTCAAGGTCGTCGGGGAACAACAAGGCAGTTGTGAAGCAGTTGTCGAGGGAGCGTGAAAGAGTTTGAGTGAGGGAAAGGACTTCACTCGCAAACGCTGCCGGCCGTTACGCTGGACGCTGGGCAGGCTCAAAGGACGGCGCCTAAGGAGCAAAGGAATTGGGCTGCTGCCCTGCCATTCGCTCTCTTCTGTCGTCTACCGCAGCCACCAAACCCACCCTACATCGCGTCTACGGAGGAACATTCGACAGTCCCGACAGCAGCCTGGCCTTGGTTGTGACGATAAGATTTCCCCTGGCTTCGAGTTTGCTGTGAAGACGCTGACCTTGTTTGCCGGTAGGATTTCCAATCGAATCCTCCATAGAAGCAGGTCGAAGGCCTCTTCGTCCTGCCTACATTTATACAGCGTATTAACCGGTTTTTTTTAAAAAAAAAAAAAGTATATCGAATTGCCACTCTGATATCGCCGAGCGTCTTTCTTACCAAGCACCGCTGCTTCATCTCGACTTCACTTCAATTTTGCCTCTTCACTGTCAGGTCCAGTATCATATCTCTACACAACGTCGTCCGATGGTGGCGACAACACAGTCCAAACACCAAAGTTGAGGACAAGGTGTACGGCGTGGCATGGGGGAACCGCATCAGAGCCAACTGTCACTAGTCACCACTGCGGATATGGCTGACACCAATGTCAATAATGAGCGTTCGCTCCCTGATGAATCTGCTGAAACAATTCGACTGCGGAACCTTGACGCGCTCGTGCGCGATCAAGATGATCTGGAACGAAATGTAGGACGAGAGGCGGACAGGCTTCTTTTCGAGCAGGCCAACCATAGAGACCAACAGCGTCTCGACAAGGCCAAATCTCAGAAGGAAAAGCTGCGGAATCAGATTCGCAAAACTCGTGATGAAATCAGTCGCCCGATCGGGACCACTCAGCGAGCACGGCGACGCCTTGATATTGATCGAATGCAGGGCCAGATCCAGGATCTGGACAATGATATCACCGAGATCGAGGACAGAATGAATGAGCGCGAGATGAATGCTGGTCTGGCAGATCAACAAAACCCATCATCTACGGGACGCTTGCCCCACGAGTCACAGCGCGACTACCTGATCAGAACCGGGAAAATCACCCCCTTTTCCAAATTCGGCCTTTCCACTCACGGCGAGTCGTCTGCAACTCTGCAAGGAGCACTTCTGGATGCCGAAGAAGAGCCTGAATTGGAGGATATTGATCCCGACGTAGAATCCAGGAAGTTCATGTCCCACCGAAACCTGAGACAGCCAGGGTTTGCCTCCAGTTTTGCCGATTCAAGTGCCGAGGAAGAGCTAGAATCTGGTCAACCGCGCAAACGAAGACGAATTCTAGCCCATCGTTCCGCTTTCAAGGACGAAGACTCGTACGACGAAGGCTTGGTCGAGGACGATGTTATCTCAGATTCGGAGGAGCAAGATGAAGCGATGCCTAGCACTGCCGGCAGACAAAGCAGAGCATCTCAGAAGGCGGTAGCTCAGGCGAACGATGAAATTGAAGATTTCCGTGGTGTCGATGATGGCAACGATGCCGTCTATAAGTCGCGGGTGAGGAGATGGGCTATGGGAAGACGGCGAGCCCGAAGACGCGCAACTAATCGAGAATGCGGAGATGACCATCTGAATTCGGTGGTAGAAGAAGAGCCGTATCTATCCCATCCCGAGATTGCAGATGCCGTCTTCGATGATGACTACAAGCTTCCTGGAGATATCTATCCTAGCCTTTTCGATTACCAAAAGACCGGTGTGCACTGGCTTTATGAGCTGTACACGCAGCAAGTGGGAGGTATCATTGGTGATGAGATGGGTTTAGGCAAGACTATTCAAATCATTGCCTTTTTGGCCGGTCTCCATTACAGCAAAAAGCTGGAGAAACCCATCATTATCGTCTGTCCTGCCACGGTTATGAAACAATGGGCCAATGAGTTCCATCGATGGTGGCCGCCGTTTCGAGTGACCATCTTACACTCCTCCGGCAGTGGCATGGTCAACCTGCGAAGCGAGAGCAGCAAAGAAGATAGATTGCTTGATGTCGAGTGGGATCCGACTCGAGGAAACCAACCTCTGACCGCTGCGCAAAGGGCGGCCCGGAAAATTTTGAAGCCAATCTTGGGACAGGGAGGCGTGCTGGTCACAACCTATTCTGGCCTGCAGACATATGCTCCTCTTCTCATCCCGGTCGACTGGCATTATGCAATATTAGATGAAGGACACAAAATTCGAAATCCGAACACCGCAATCACCATCTACTGCAAAGAGCTTCGCACGCCTAATAGAATTATTTTGTCGGGCACCCCAATGCAGAACAACCTCATCGAACTATGGTCGCTTTTCGATTTTGTTTTCCCCATGCGCCTGGGCACCTTGGTCAACTTCAGAAACCAGTTTGAAATACCTATTCGTCAAGGTGGCTATGCGAATGCATCTAATCTTCAGGTTCAAACAGCCTTCAAGTGTGCAGAGACCCTCAAAGATGCCATCAGTCCGTATCTGCTGCAACGCTTCAAGATTGACGTCGCGGCGGACTTACCCAAGAAAAGTGAACAGGTATTATTTTGCAAATTGACACAGTTGCAACGGGCTGAGTACAAGCGATTTATTGAATCTGGTGAGATGGATGCAATTATGAATGGCAAAAGACAAATCTTGTACGGGGTCGACCTCCTGCGAAAGATCTGCAACCATCCAGATCTTACCAACCACAGACAACTGTCTACCAAGCCGGGTTACAATTATGGCGACCCGTCCAAATCCGGAAAGATGCAGGTCGTCGGTTCACTCTTGGAGCTATGGAAGGAGACCGGTCACAAGACGCTTCTGTTCGCCCAACACCGAATCATGCTCGATATCCTAGAGAAATACGTCCGGTCTCTCTCTGGCTTCAAGTATAGGCGTATGGACGGCAACACGCCGATTCAGATGCGCCAAGGCATGGTCGACGAGTTTAACACAGACCCGGACCTGCATGTGTTTCTGTTGACGACCAAGGTCGGCGGCCTTGGAATAAATCTGACGGGAGCGGACAGAGTCATCATCTTCGACCCGGACTGGAATCCCTCAACCGACGTGCAGGCCCGAGAAAGAGCCTGGCGCTTGGGTCAGAAGCGAGAAGTGACCATCTATCGCCTGATGACTGCCGGTACCATCGAGGAAAAGATTTATCACCGTCAAATCTTCAAGCAATTTCTGACGAATAAAATTCTGAAGGACCCTAAACAGCGGCAGACATTCCACCTCAATGACCTTCATGATCTCTTCACTTTGGGAAATGAAGGCGAACCCACTGAGACAAGTACACTCTTCCAAGATGCTCAAGTCAAATATTCGTCCAAAGCAGCCGAGGCCCCGGGAGCCACCGAAACAAAGGGGGTGAAGCCACCGGCACCTACCACCGGCGACACCGACATTAAGGCGTTGCCTGGCATATCGTCCATGGAGCAGTATGCGGGGGAAATGGAGGAAGAAGGACGCGCGAACAAGGACGGAGCAACCAATTCCGAAGACAGGATGATGGAAGGTATCTTTGCACGCTCGGGAATCCATTCGGCGGTTGAGCATGATGCGATCATCGACGGTCACAAAGTCGGAAAGAAGGTTGCTGCAGATCCGGTTTTGATAGAGCAAGAGGCTCGCAAGGTTGCAGCAGAGGCTGCCAGAGAGTTGCGGCGTGCCGGCGATGTCGCCCGGACAGTCCCGATCGGCACACCTACATGGACTGGACAATTTGGTGTCTCGGGCAGACCACAGGAGACTACAGCACAGAAGGCTTTCAGTTCGAATTCCCGCTCCAGAGGTGGTGGTGTGCAGTCATCAAGTCTGCTTGCAAATTTGCAGCAACGTCAGGCGAACATGGCGAACAGCCGTGATGTTACACCGAGGACGTCTAGCCCTGCAAGGTCGTCCGGTTCTGCGGCCTCAGCATCCAGATCTGGCACGCCAGCTTTGCCGCAAGGCAAGGACTTTGGTAAGCTTATCCGGGATTATCTCACAAGTCACGGCGGCAGTGTCTATACCCAGATGCTGATTGATCATTTCAATCGATTCTGTACGACTCCTCAGGCGACCATGGAATTCAAAGAGACGTTGAAGGTGATCGCCAGACTGGAGAAGGGAGGAAGAGGGAGAGGCCGCTGGGTGCTGAAGGATGAATACAAGAAGTAGATAGAACTTCTGTCGGTCACGCTCAACCGACCGCGCATCATCCCCATTACACCAACACCTCCCCGGGGCCCCGGGGCCCCCGGAGGAAGTACCTCCTCTCGGCATTGTATCTGTTGGGTGGGAGACACTCCTACTCTTCCTCGTCGATCAAACCCTGGGGTGACCAGTACTCAGGCTCACGGCATTGATAGTCCACCCAAACTAAGGAGTCAGCCAGTAAATCTTGGATGACGGTCTCGGCCCTGGCCCGCTCCCACCCTAGATTGAGTTGGAGGAGTGAAACGGTCACGTTACCAAGTAACTGCAACACTTCCAGGACTGTCGATTGGTCGTTGTTGAGTTCCTTGGGCACCGAGCGTACGAAACGTTTGTTGGCAATGGTGAGGATGACGAAACCCGATCCCAGAGGCTCAAGAGACTTGACGGCCTGCTCTATATCATCTTCGGAGACTTGCAGGCCTCCGCCAATGGCTTTGCCTTTGGCCACATTCTCACAACATTCTGTCAACCCAATAAGGCCTCCATTCTCGGCTCGTGTCGATTGGCATAGTTCAACCACGCGGACCGCCACAGAGAAATAAAAGTCGTTAACATCGTTGCCGAGCACCTTTGCCCACAAGGAATCTGCCTTTTTACCCTTGATGTTGCTGCCTGCAAGTGGGTCGACACCGATGGCATTGCACATTCGAGCGAATTCTGCTCGGAACGTCGGATTAGACTTGATAGTAGCTGCATGTTCCAGGGCAAAGTTGTGGAGAAGCGACTGGAAGACTTCTAGTTGTGCTTGAAGAGATGCCGCGTTGGCGGATTTGAGATTGGAGCCATGAGCAGCGTAGGACTGAGCCGTGGCATTGCGGTTGGTGAATGCTCCTAAACCGACACCTCTTCTCGTAGACATTTCAACAATGGCCACGAAAATGATGCCAACTCCTTTTAATGATATCGAGGAGTCTTGCCTTCAAAAACTGCCAAGACTCAACAGGGCGTCTAGCCGTTTTCGATCTAGCTCACCCACAGCCTATTTTCAATTTCTAACTGCGGTTTGGGTTCTCTGAATTTTGAACTTTCGCTAGCATCTCTCCGTCAATTTCCAACTTGTCGAGCGCCACTTGTCAACATGACGAAGCCAGTCATTAAGTCGTAAGTAGTCCCCCCCTCTATGCTGACAGTCGGAATCTTCAGATATGGTCTGCTCCTCTTCGCTGGTTACGCCCAAGTTGCGCCAGCTCGATCATCCCAAAAGGCTTTGCACCGAAGAACGCGAAAATCACACGTGCAAATGAAGCTGGGGCGTTGAGGCTAAAGGAGTCACTGTCCTCTTCCTTAAAATCAATTGAGCTCGTTCTACATGCTTCTCCCATCTCGAGGTTGGAGGACTTGTCGTGGAGTGCAAAAATGACCTGACCCTGTCGGGGTGTTGTCAGATGAGAGGGTAAATGGGTGCCAATAGACCAGCGTAGCTGTTTGCGTCTACCATCCTTCTCACTGATCAAATTTATTTCGTCGAGTTACGCCTATCACCAGTTTGAGAATGCCGCGCCATAGCTGCAGTTCCGACTTGGCGATCTCCTCCCTGCGGACTATACTGATACCTTCCGTCTACAGATCTGTCCCAACGCAGGATCAGATCCTCGTTCCTGAGACCTTGTTGAAGAAGAGAAAGAGTCAAGAGAAGGCCAGGGAACAACGCGCCGCCGAGCTTGAAAAGAGAAAGAAGGTCGGTCCACTCTCCTCAATGCACGAATGTCTTCTGGGTGATGATAAATATCATTACGCGACTAGACTCTCAGTCAATGCTGTCGCTTTTGTTAACCATCTTTCGGGGCTGAGCATGATTTTCTTCCCTGCCACCATTGATGAAATAGACTTAGAGCCAGTCGCTAACAATTTCGATGTCTAGGCCAACAAGGAGAGGCGTGGAGTCATCTTCAAGCGGGCCGAGACCTACGTCAAGGAATATCGCGATGCCGAGCGTGAAAAAATCCGTCTCCATCGCTTGAGCAAACAGCAAGGTACCTTCTTTGTTGACGACCAACCCAAATTGGCTTTTGTCGTCAGAATCAAGGGGTGAGCAACTTGCCATTCTCTTCCGAGATGCCGGCTAATTGAAACCAGTATCAACAAGATTGCCCCCAAGCCTCGCAAGATCCTTCAACTCCTGCGACTTTTGCAGATTAACAATGGTGTCTTCATCAAGTTGACCAAAGCCACCCAAGAGATGCTTACGATCGTCAACCCTTACATTGCCTATGGCTATCCCAACCTCAAAACGGTTCGAGAGCTTATCTACAAGCGTGGATACGGCAAAATCAACAAACAACGTATTGCTCTTACCGACAATCAACTCATCGAGGATAACCTTGGCAAGTACGGCATTGTCTGCATGGAAGACTTGATTCACGAGATCTTTACTGTCGGACCCAACTTCAAGCAGGCCAGCAACTTCTTGTGGCCATTCAAGCTGTCCAACCCCAATGGTGGTTTCCGTGCCAGGAAATTCAAGCACTACATCGAAGGTGGTGACCTTGGTAACCGAGAGGAGGCCATCAACGCTCTGATCAAGCAGATGAACTAGATTCGAAATGGTGGCGAGATCCGGCGAATGGTTCACCAAGACGTGTTTTACGTACACCAAAATGCAACTCGATTTCAAAAGTACAGGATGTCTACCGGGGTGTCAGGCAGCGGGATAGGCACTAGTCATGCCCTGAGAAGATGCCAATGAAATACATTTTCCACCAATATATCGTATCCACGCAGCAACCGCCTTTCCTGCTCAGTATTTCTTGTGGCTAGTTTCACTTGGTGCGACCATCCATGGGTGCCTAAGCGAGCGTAGGCCGAGTCCCGGGATTGGAGCATCGGTTATCATGAGTTTTGTCATGTCAAAATCGGTCATTGTCCTACCCACCACACGGCAGGAGAGCTTCTTTACCAGACAGGGCGTTCTACTCGGCAACCACCTTCCGGGACAGTCATCTTCCATAAGTTGGCCTCTGACCACAACGGCGATGTCTCTTGGTAAGTCTCATCAATCCTGCAAGGATTGTGGCAGCTTGAGAGCCCTTGAATTTCCAATTCCGGCAGATCTGGCGTTCGTTCAGTTCCTTTCACCGCATGTCAAGCCCAACTCACACGATACTTGTGCTTCATTTGTGATCCACGATTGTGATTTGATGGAGACCATCTCGCTGGGTATGTGTGATACATGGCTCAATCAAAGTGTCAGGGCCCCAGCGCTGTACAGTTCAGCTTCCTACAGCCGATTCGCACGCTTATGATTTCAGCCATGGCGTCAGATATTGAGGCCATCGGCCACAGAGAGACACTCGCCGCCGCATGAATCCCTTTGATGCATCACGGACGCTCGAGAGTTGCCTCGTGATGGTCACGAAGGTCCTCCCAGTGGACTCCCAAGCTGTACATGTCCCATGGCGCCAAGATTGACGACGGACTACACAACCCCTTGCCTTCCAAGGTAAGGGGGATCGGGATACGAGGTAGGCGAAAGCTGCTGTGGCCTTTGACTCGCCAATAAACACATGATTGCTGAAAAGATGATTACAGGCTTTCCTCTCCTGACACGATATTGAGAACGCCTGTTATTCCACACTGGCCGCAAACAACAGAGTCTCTTGTTGCTGAGAGACCGCCATGGAGCAGTCATCGTTACCACAACTCATACATTCCAACCAAATTTTCAGCGCCATCAGGCTCGGCCATGGAGAGCCCCCCATCCTGCGATATTGCGCGCTTTCCCGTACGCCTCGCGTTCGATGACTCTGAGTTCGACCAGTGATTGGAGTGAGCAGTGAGCAGATATGTGGAGCGACCTGGTGGACGCATGCTCACGTCCACCTCGACGTATCAAGCGCTTCACACGTCCGGTAAATGGTATCAGTGCGTCCCACAACTCCCATTTGTGAATATCGCAGCGGGTATATATGAAGGCAACGGTCGCCTCCCACATCCTGTGGTACGGCAACTGCTTCAATGGCGCTCCTCGAACATGTGCAAAGCTTCATCCAGAAATACTGGGCATGGATAGCCGTGGGAGTCTTCCTGGTCAAGCTCCTATACAACAAATATGGTCGGAAATTAAATTCAATCCCTGGACCTTTCCTCGCCGGATTTACTGACTTCTGGCGATTCTTCAACGCGTGTTTCTCAACTCCCCACGACACCCAAATCCGACTACACGGAGAAACGAATTCCCGTTTCGTGCGAATTGGCCCACGAACCATTTCAATCTCAGACCCGACACTGATACCAACAATTTATGGAATCAATTCAGGCTTCACCAAGACTCGGTTCTACACACTCTCAATGCTCCCATTTAAAGGCAAATTTACTCCTAGCCTGTTCACTGCTTTAGACGAGAACTATCATGCTCTATATAGGAAGCCTATCGCCAACGCCTACAGCATGTCGACAATAGTCGAATTCGAGCCGCTGGTAGACTCGACCTCCTCATTACTTATGTCCAGACTGGATCAATTTGCTGCCTCTGGAGCATCACTGGATTTTGGAGTTTGGCTTCAGCGATACGCTTTCGACGTTCTGTAAGTCTGTTTGTGGATCGACCTGTCTCATCTAACTAGTTGTAGGGGCGAAGTGCAGTTTAGTCAGAAGCTAGGCTTCCTTGAATCAGGCACAGATGTGCAGGGGATTATGGCAGACATTCGAGGCAAGATCGCGTATGCCGGCTGTGTAAGTATTTGGCTTCTCTATGATCCAATTTTGGTGGTATTACTGGCTTATTCCATCTCACGACCAGGTAGGACAAATACCCTGTCTCGACGAAATCCTGACGAAGAACCCCGTCTTTCTGAAAATCGTCCCTACCCACCCAATCGTCACATTCACATTGGACAGGATGAAAGAGAGGGCGGCTGTGAGCGCTTTTGGCGGCGTGCAAAAGCGCGACTTTCTCACCAGATCATTCGAAGCTCAAGAAAAATATCCTGATCTGGTGACGGACAGAATGATCCTCATGTACAACTGTGACAATGTTGGTGCTGGAAGTGACACCACCGCTATCACATTGCGAGCGGTAGGGTGTCCTCCCCTTCTTCAAATCACATAGATTGACTGCGCTCACATTGACCAGATCTTCTATTATCTGCTCAAGTCCCCACTGATCATGGCAAAAGTTGTCGACGAGATCGATGCTGCCGATAGAGCCTGCCAGTTGAGCGAGTTTGTGACTTGGCAAGAGTCGAATAGGCTGCCGTATCTGCAAGCGTGCATCAAAGAAGCAATTCGTAAGTCTTCGGATTCAACCTCCTTCATAGGATGCTGAGGCTGCATAGGCATGCACCCTGCGGTCGGCTTGATTCTGGAACGATATGTCCCAAAGGGAGGAATCGCTTTAGCAGGTCATTACTTCCCAGAAGGTACGATCGTTGGCATAAACCCATGGGTGACAGCGTAAGTTGGTCCGAGTGCATCATCCACGTTGGATATTCACATTGAACTATAGGCGAGACAAAGATGTACATGGGTTGGACGTCGACGTTTTTCGACCGGAGAGATGGCTTGAGGCATCGGAGGAACAACTCATGGCCATGGAAAGAGCCAACCTTGCAGTGAGATCCTTTTCCCTTCCTTCGATTGCCGACTCAACTGAACACTCTTACAGTTTGGCCATGGCAATCGAGCATGTGTCGGTAAGAACATTTCGCTTCTGGAAATAGGCAAACTGGTCCCACAGCTGCTGCGGCATTATAGGGTAAGGGTCGTTTCTGTCGCTGTTCCTGTCTGTTTAGGGTTCTGACCTGTAGATCAGATTTCCCTTACCAGGCCCGACCTAGAGTGGAAGGTTTCTGGCGGCTGGTTTGTGTGGCAGGATGGATTGGAGGTGGTCATTAGCAAAAGAACAGACAGACACGTCTCTTAGCTGTCATCTTTGGATGTGAAATGGAGATTTTCGGTTACACAAAGTTCACGCTTTCGAGATCTTGAGTATTCAAGGGGGACGTCTTCAATGGCAGTGGGATACAATAACCAAGGGCGACAGACATGGTATGACATTGACTCTCCTGCTCGGTATCCTCGGTGTTCTTTCAGATGAAATTCGTAGTGTCAGACATACGCCTTTGTCGGCCGTAAGCTGGGATATTGTGCGGTCAGACCAGTTTCGGAGATAAAGTGATGTGGAGCAGGTGGTTCACATTGTCGCGTCGCGTCACCGCGTTCTTCTGCCGCGTTGAGTGAACTTCGCTTTCACTCTCGACCACATCTTTCCTCACACATCTATTCGAGCCCCCATATTTCCACGTCTTGCTCTCACTTTGGCAAGATGGCACACCGCGCCGCAATTGCTCAGCTCCGGGCTCAACGTCTTTCCGGCAAGACACGCCTCGAATCTTACCAAATTGAGGACCAGGGTGCCATCTACGACGAAGTGGACGAGGAGGGCTACAAGAAGGTCGTGCGAAGTCGGCTCAACAAAGACGATTTCGTCGTCGACGACAACGGAGAAGGATACGCGGATGATGGTCGCGAAGAATGGCAAAACGAACGCCAGTACTACAGCAGCGATGACGCGGAGGATGTCCCGCTCAAAGGCAAAGCTGCGAAACGAAAACGTGAAGACGACCGCGAGAAGGATGATCGTACAAACCATAAGATCCTGAACTATTTCAACAACGGTCCTGTTGCTCCCCCCAAGCCACAGGTACGCGTGTGTTCGAATGTCTCCTGGTTGACGGACACTGACCCCGACAGGTGCAAACTACGGCTGAAGACGAAGCCTTTATGGCCGATCTGCTCGGTGAGGTAGACGCCAACGTCCTATCAGCGCGAGCATACACCCCAAAGCCTATCAAGTCTGAGAATCGCCGCAAAGTTATGGTGGTGTCCCCTCCATTGACTCAGGCACGACCCCGAGCAAAATACCAAGCTCCGGAGCCAGAATTAGAAGACACCCCTCCTCCACAGGCTGCCATGGATGAAGATGACAACGTACCAACCTTCGACAATGATAATGATATGAGTGATCCATTCCCCTCTTCTCCTGTGGTCCAAGCCGTTGAGCGGAAGGCGAAGGTTCAGATTAAAGAGGATGAAGACGATGATATGATGGATGTCGCTCAAGTCATTGGACATGAAGCCGCTCAATCCGCAAGTGTCAACATGACCGGCAGCCGACCTCCGCCAAAGATCAAGGCGGCACAGTTGCCGACGCCCCAAAACTCCTCTCCACCTGTCTCTGCCGTCAATGAAGTGGACGCGTCGTCATGGAATAAGATCACAAGCAAATTGAATGTCCAGAGCAGTCCGTCCTCGGAAAATTACATCTTTGGCAAGATGAAACCACAGGATGCTGTTGAGGAAGACGGCAGCTTGCGCATGTTCTGGCTCGACTACACCGAGGTCAACGGCAGCCTCTGTCTCTTCGGTAAAGTCAAGCACAAATTCACGGGACAATATCTCAGTGCCTTTGTCAAGGTGGACAATATTCTCCGCAAGCTATTCTTCCTCCCAAGGAAGTATAGAGTTTCCAATGGACGCGAAACGGATGAGGAAGTGGAAATGAGCGATGTATACGGAGAAGTCGATTCCTTGATGTCGAGAATGAAGGTCACCACTAGAAAGGTCAAGCCCTGCACAAGAAAGTACGCATTCGAAATTCGTGATGTTCCCAAAGAGGCGGAATATCTTAAACTCCTCTACCCCTACGACAAGAACGCCTTGCCCACGGACTTGCAGGGCGAGACATTTTCCAGAGTCTTTGGCACCAATACCGCTTTATTCGAACAATTCGTGCTCTGGAAAAACATCATGGGCCCATGCTGGCTACAAATCGAGGATGCCGACTTTGCGGCGGTCAATAACGCTTCCTGGTGCAAGCTTGAGTGTGCCGTCACCAAGCCGGCCAACATCACCGTCCTGAGTGATTCCGAGAATCTGGAAACCCCTCACCTCACGCTGATGTCTCTGTCCTTCCGCACTCAACTGAATGTCACGGAGAACAAACAGGAAATCCTAGTTGCAAGTGCTCGAGTCTACGAGAATGTCTCACTAACCGACTCCACTCCACCCGAAAAGATGCCTTCGAGAACCTTCACAGTGATGCGACCATCAGGGTCATCCTACCCCCTAGGCTTCGAGACGGAGACCAAACGGCAGAGTGGCACGTTTATGCTCGAAAAGAGCGAGCAGTTCCTCCTGAGCAAATTCCTCGCACTTTTTGAGAAGGTGGATCCCGATGTTTTGATGGGCCATCAACTTCAAGAGGTCGATTACAGCATTCTCCTTAGCCGTCTCAAGGAAAAGAAAACCCCTGGTTGGCACCGAATTGGTCGGATGAAGCGAGGAGAATGGCCCAAGACGTTTGGGAAAGGTGGATCTTCCTTCTTCGCCGAGAGACAGCTTCTGGCTGGACGACTCATGTGTGATCTGGCCAACGACATGGGCAAGTCGTTGATGAGCAAATGTCAGCAATGGGGCTTGACTGAGATGTGTGACCTCTATCTCGGTCCACAAAATCCTCGTCGCGATCTCGACAATGAGGCCGCGTTGAAGACGTGGGCGACTACGCGCGATGGCCTTCTCAATTACGTCAACCATTGCCATGCTGATACCTTTTTTATCGCGGCACTTGTCCTGAAGCTCCAAATGTTGCCATTGACCAAAGTCCTGACAGAACTTGCCGGCAACTCGTGGGCTCGTACCCTAAGCGGTACACGGGCAGAGCGGAACGAATACATTTTGCTTCATGAATTTTACCGCAACAAATATATTTGTCCTGACAAGGAATACGGCAAAGGTCGTGCCACTCAGGCGGAGGAGAACGAGGATGGCGAAGAGGGAGCTGACACCAAAAAGAAAGACAAGTACAAAGGCGGTCTCGTTTTCGAACCGGAGAAAGGGCTTTATGACAAGTTCATCCTGGTCATGGATTTCAACAGTTTGTACCCCAGCATCATCCAGGAGTACAATATCTGCTTCACCACTGTCGACCGATCGGCCACTTCAGAGAATGAGAACGAGGAGAAAGTGCCTGAGGTCCCTGTTGACCAACCACAGGGTATCTTACCCAGGCTCATTGCCACACTTGTCATGCGTCGACGTGAAGTCAAGAAGTTGATGAAAGACAAACGAGCATCACCCGAACAAATGGCGCTGTGGGACACCAAACAACTGGCGCTCAAACTGACGGCCAACTCTATGTATGGTTGTTTGGGCTACACCCAATCTCGTTTCTATGCACGGCCACTCGCCATGCTTACTACCTTCAAGGGCAGAGAAATTCTCAGGAGCACCAAAGAGCTTGCCGAAAGCAACCAACTCCAGGTCATCTATGGCGACACCGACTCCGTCATGATCAACACCAATGTCGACAACATGGCACAGGCATTGAGTGTGGGTGTCGAGTTCAAGCGCTCCGTCAATGAACGGTACAAGTTGTTGGAGATTGACATCGATAACATTTTCCGACGATTGCTGCTTCACGCAAAGAAAAAGTATGCGGCTATCAATATGGCCGAAGTGGAAGGCAAATATGTGGAGAAGCTGGAGGTCAAGGGTCTGGACATGAAGAGACGAGAATATTGTGCTCTCTCAAAAGAGGCTTCTCAGAAGCTTTTGAATGAGATTCTCTCCGGTGAGGACTCGGAAGTTGTCCTCGAGAAGATTCACGAATATCTGCACGACTTGGCCAACAAGATGAGGGAGAACGCTGTCCCTGTGCAGAAATATGTCATCTACACCGTAAGTACACGCTCGTCCGTTGGAGATTCGATGCTCACAACTTTAGAAACTCGGAAAGAATCCCACAGAATACCCGAATGCAGATTCAATGCCTCAAGTTCAAGTGGCTCTACGCGAAATATCTCGAGGCAGGACAGTTCGCGTAAACGATGTCATGTCGTACATCGTTACTATGGGTGATGAACACACCAAAGGCCTGGCCGCACCCAAACGATCATACACTCCTCAGGACGTTCTCAAGCCGAACTCCGGTCTCATCCCTGACGTTGAGTATTATCTCCATAAACAGATCTTCCCACCGATTGAACGACTGTGTGCTCCTATTCCGGGCACGGACTCGGTCAGGCTTGCAGAATGCTTAGGGCTTGATGTGCGCAAATACCAGATCAACATCGCCGGTGGAACAAATCAACAAAGCCCTGAGATATTCCCTCTTGAATCGCAAATTCCGGACAATGTCCGATTCCGAGATGCCGCTCGACTCAATCTTCGATGCCGAGAATGCCGGCAAGTGTCCATCTTTGAAGGTCTTTGTGATTCGATGTCCTCCTGCACACCTGAGGGTATTTTGTGCGGCAATAGCGACTGCCAGAAACCATTTACTCAAATGGCAATCATTGCCCAACTGGAATCCCAAATCCGAATGCAGACTTGTGCGTATTATGAAGGCTGGCTTGTGTGCGACGACCCATCCTGTGGCAACCGTACCCGACAAATGTCTGTATATGGCCATCGATGCTTGGGTCCCAATGGGCGAGCCGAAGGATGTCTTGGTCGCATGTCTTACGCGTATTCGGATAAGAAATTGTACAATCAGCTCCTGTACTTTGCAGTTCTATTTGACGTTGAGAAAGCGAAAAGCAAAGCCCGATCGGAGAAGGAATATGCAGAGAAGAAGGATCGGATCATTGTGCTGGCCGAGACGAACAGGGAACGATTTGGGGGCATCAAGGCTGTGGTGGATGGATATCTCAAAAAATGTGGACGACAATGGGTTGAGATGGATACCTTGTTTAGGTTTGCTTTGAAGTAACTGAATTGTTGACTGGTCCAGTTCACACATCGTTGGATAGGGGAGGCAGCCAACTGCTGCTGACATGAAAATGTAGCCAGAATCCTCCAAAACATGACATCTTCGGATGATGTTGTAGCCGAGACGGTGGGCTGCGGATATTCAGCGACGCTCATTGGCTGCGTGGCTACGACTCTTCATTTATGATGTATCCCTCGGTGATACTCTCACAGCCTCGACATTATGATGTCCCCAAGATAGCCTGGTCGCAATTTGCCCACGGTCTCTACCAAGATGGCAACCCCTCGCGTTCTGGTCATTGCCGGCTCTGATAGCTCGGGAGGAGCGTGCGTACCTCACCACCATATAAGAACATCGTTCTCCTGGTATGATCGAACTGACCGACCAAATCCAGCGGGCTCGAAGCCGATCAGAAAGTCCTTGCAGCTCATGGCTGCTATGCAATGACAGCCACCACGGCCCTGACCGCTCAAAACACCCGCGGAGTGGAAGACGTCCACATCACCCCCCCGGCCTTTGTTGGGAAGCAGATTGATGCTTGCCTGACAGATATCGAGTGCGATGTTGTTAAAATCGGTAAGTATTTGGACTGAACAGGTCATACCATGCGAAGCTCTTATTGAGATTTCAATGCCCAAGGTATGCTTGCGTCGGCGGAAACGATTAGAGTTGTTGTGGACGCCCTGCAAAAGCACAAGGTCGCTACCATAATCGTCGATCCGGTACGTGTCCCAACACTTCTGTCTGTTTCCACCTTCGAAACTCATCGCCATCTATCTAGGTCATGGTATCCACCAGCGGTGCACAACTCCTCCCGGGCGACGCCGTCCGAAATCTTCGTGATCTTCTTTTGCCCATGACCACGCTCCTAACGCCCAACATCCCCGAAACGGCCCTCCTGCTTCGTGACGCAGATATCCAATATAAATCCCCGTCTGGAATCGACGACTTAAAGGTGCTCACCAAGATGGTCTACGAATTAGGTCCGGGCGCTGTACTCCTGAAGGGAGGCCACATGCCCCTGACCGCAGAGTACGTCAAGGCCACCACGGACGAAGAAAGGTGCCTCACCGTCGACATCCTCTATGACGGCCAAGATTACAAAGTCATCGAATCGAAATACCTCCGGTCTAAAAATACCCACGGAACAGGCTGTTCGCTCGCAAGCGCAATCGCCTCGAACCTGGCGTCGCGAAAATCCAAATCCCAGACCGAATCCCTCTCCATTGCCACCGAGCTCGCGGTCCGCTACGTGTCCACGGGCATTCTCAGTTCAGATGGCACGCTCGGTCACGGCTCCGGGCCCATCAACCACTTCCACAACGTCCAAGTCCTGCCCTTCTCCCAAGGCCACTTCATATCATACTTGCTCTCTCACCCATTCGTCGCACCTGTCTGGGAGAAATACACCCACCACCCCTTCGCCGAGCAGATGGCGCGTGGCACCCTTCCCGAGCCGCTCTTCAAAAACTACCTGGTGCAGGACTACTTGTACCTGACGCACTTCGCACGTACACACGCACTGGCAGCGTATAAATCCCGCACGATGGCCGCGGTCTCGGCCTCGGCAAATATCATCCTGCACATCGAGCGCGAGATGGCCTTGCATCTATCCTATTGCGCCGACTTCGGCATTTCCAAAGCAGCCCTCGAGCATCCGTCCCGGAAAGAGTCGTTAGCTTGCGTTGCGTATTCCCGATACGTGCTCGACGTCGGACAGAGCGAGGACTGGCTTGCTATCCAAATGGCTCTTGCTCCGTGTTTGATCGGCTATGGCCAGACGGCTGCTCGGCTTTACAAGGATAAGGAGAGCAAAACTACAGCCCAAGGAAATCGGTATTGGCGCTGGGTCGAGAATTATGTTGCAGACGATTACCAGGAAGCTGTTCGGGTTGGACGTGGTGAGTTCTTGTCTTCCGCCTCGCTCTCACATCGGGGATTGCCATGTCTGACGGAAACCAAATCAATTCTCTTTGCAGATCTCATCGAATCCCACATAACGAAACAATCACCCTCACGCATCGATGAGTTGATGGCCATTTTCGTTCGCGCCGCCGAGATGGAAGTCCGATTCTGGGACTTTGACGCTCACCCGGATGAGTGAGCGGCTGTGTTGTTAATGGAGGCGAGATGTGAAAGTCGGTATACCTCTTGAGCAGGACATGGGTTATAAAGAAGAGGAGGGAAACATCAGGACTTTTTATCGTCATTGGATAGACGATTATGCAAAGGACAGCATTTCGATCTCGATTTCCTTGACTATAGAAATTGCACCGGATATGCTGGCATCAACTACTAGCCTTGCCATTTCTAACACCCACCTTGGCTGGGTGTACACGCGTTGTACACCTAATATTACAAGCGCTCTTTGCTTGAGCTTAATCGAGTAAGTGGGAGAGCACAACAATTTTCATTTCTAATTTTGACCTCCATTTTCTTCCACCGTACGGAATGTATCAACCAACAACACCACCGCCAAAGCCCACAGGTCTCCTCCTCCCACAATTCTCAGGCAGAATCGTCATCACCTTGTACGCTTTGCCCATGCCCTTCGGCCCGCCCTCGACGAGTCTCTTCCAACCCGTTTCTAATTCGCTCTGTTTCTTGTCCCAATCCCCAGTTACGCCGTCCTCTTTGGTGGAGCGTTGTTTCTTTTTCTTTTCAAATTCTTTCAAAAGCCGCTCTGCTCGCTCCTTGATCCCCAATTGACTCAGCCATATGCCCTGCTCGACCGGTCCGTGGACTTCCACGTCTGGATTTGCTTCGAGTGCCGCGTCTGCGAGGGCGCCGAAATCTACGTCGGCACTAATATCTGCGTCGCCGGCGTGCACGAAGGGGGAGATAATCTTGTGTTTTCGAATGGCTCGCAGCGAATTGATCGGTACGGTGTCAAGGGGCCCGTAGTCGATGATGAGCGCTGCGCCCGCAGGTCTAGGCTTCGACCCGGTCTCAGGACTGGGTTTGCTTCGTGAAGGCGTGTAGACGTTTCCGCCAATGCGTCGAGCGAAGTCCTGGACGTATCGGAAACTCTCCGGCGAAATTTCGACGCGGGATGAGACTTGATTCTTCAATGCGCGGTATCGACGCCGCTCGGGAATGACAAGGGAGCTGGGTGTGCTCGCCTTTGCCAGGGTAAGTTGGAAATCTGGCTCGGGATCCTTGAGGCTTGGTGACGTCCCGCTATCCGTGGATGCAGTTGTCAGGGTAGATTTGGGCGCTGTAGGGGCAACGAGGAGCTCCCTCCATTGTGGTAATTTGCTCGTTGTGGATGACTCCATTACTGGCTGGCCTGCTTCACGGGGTAGTTGAGCTTTTGCTTCGTCCTGGTCGGCTTCTTCCGGCTTTGGCGCGACGGACTCGAATGCGTGAATAGGAAGTGCGTCGAAGAACTCGTGTGCAATGATAAAGGGCATTTGTCCACCTCCACCGTCCCTTCCCCGGGGCAATAACGCGATATCCTCGACCCATCTCACGGGGATTCCTTGCCGGCACGTAGACTCCCACCAAACGTTCTTTCCCGTGTCATCTCTGACTTCTTTCATCTCCGTGCTCACCCCGCAGAGGACGTCCTTCTGTTTCATTCTCAGTCCTTCTCCCGCTTCGACAAGCCAGACCGCTTCAATCGCTTTCGCAAATGTGCTAAACTGGCCTATGGTCCGAAGCATGTCGCTCATCAAAGTTCCCCGCCCAGGGCCCATCTCGATGAGCTCCACGCCGCTCATTGGTCGACCTTGCGCCATCCATTCTGTCACGAACCATATGCCCACTAGTTCGCCGAATATCTGCGTTATTTCGGGAGAAGTGACGAAGTCACCAGCCGTGCCGAACTGGTCGGCATCTTGTGAGGAAGGCCTATTCGTAGTATAGTATCCCCCGTCTGGGTTTGTTAGGCATTGGCGCATGTAGGAGGCTATGGAGATGGGACCGGTGACCTATTTTTGGAGAGAAAGAGTTAGTAAACAAGCAACACCGAGCATGGTAGATAGTAATGTCCATGGTGCATGAACAATTACATACCTCAATCGCCTGAGCGATCGTTTTGGCTAAGGGTGTGGACCATTGTCGCGCTGAGAGCGTTGGTGCAGCCGAAGAAGTCGATGATTCCGGTCGCGGCTCAGGCAGAGAGCTCCCCTCAGGCGCTCTTGAAGCGTGGCTGGAACATCGTTTCCACGTATGCGCCGATTCGACGTGATTGAACCACCAAGAAGCAAGGCGAAAAGATGTGCTTTGCCAGGGAATGCCATGAGAGGTAGTTGCCCCGGTACTCAGCCGGAACAGTTGATGAACACAGGACCCTCCATATCTCATCGCGGGAGACTTGGAAAGTTTTGAAGCTGTGAACAGAGCATATTAGTTGTACAAAAGGCTTCTCGAAAATCAATCCCCAAAGGTTGGAGTCGTGTTTTCGGTACGGAATAAATATTTTCCTCTCCACATACCAATTTCTGTTCAGCCTTGCCAGCCCCTTTTACTTCTACTCCCACTGTCTGTTATCTAGCCGTCTTCATAAGATAACTTGGCGCCTTCTGAGGGGCGAGCGTTTGTCGTATCCAGTCTCTCATTGCCTCCAATGTTGGCTTCCTTTGACCAACTCTGAGCTGAACGAATGCGGCAACAGCCTCACCATACTTTTGGTCCTTCACACTAACAACGCTTGCTTGATTGATGGCCGGGTGCTGTAAAAGGCGTTCTTCAATCTCGGCTGGAAAGACGTTTTCTCCTGCCACGCCGTCAGCAGTAATTCTACAGTATCCATCCTCGTCAATTGACGCCTCGTCTTCTGTGTGCATCCAACGGACGCCGTTCTCGTCTTGGATCATGGCCTCGGCGGTTTTCGCTGGATTTTTATAATAGCCTTTTTGCAAGAGATAGCCAGATATGCAGATCTCGCCTTGCTGTCCCCGTGGAAGGATCCGATTGTTTTGATCAACTATTTTTGCCGCCGCATGGGGCAGGATTCTGCCTACTGTCTCTCGCTTCTTTTCTATACGATCGGATGATACCGTCATGAAGCTTGCTGGTGATGTTTCTGTCATTCCTGAGGACTGTCAGCTCTCAAAGGTGATTTAATGGGTGAATGCTTGACTGAAAACAAGCAGTTAGATTGAGGATTTCGTGACTGTCGGAGTTGGAATGTCTTACCATAGCATATATCGTGTCTCGAAAACCCATTTGATTTCTAAGTTCCGTGAGCAGAGCAGGCGGCACCTGCGACCCCGCGGCGATACCTAATCTGATAGTATTGATCTTTATCCTTTTATTCTGCATGGCGCCTAAGATTGCACTATGCACGGTCGGAACGCCATGCAATAGCGTACAATGTTCATCTGCAAGGGCATTGGCTATAGCTTCGGCTTCGAAATCTCGACTGGCAAACACAATCGCAGCTCCGTGTGTGAAGCAAGCAAGAAGACCGGCACAAAGGCCAAAACAATGAAATAACGGCGGTCCGCTACAACCAATATCAGTCATTTCGCTATATTTTTAAAATGGGGGCACGGCCTTGAAGGATGGTTTGGACCTACAAATGAGTCAGCATCGCAGCCTTTGGATCCCCCGTGGCACCACTGGTAAACTGCGAGTTCAGCAATGTCGTCGCAATGCACTGAACTTTCGGCCTCTTCAAGAACTAACGGGCTCAATTCATGGTTGTCGTTCATCACATCTTCCCACCGCTGAATCGAGAGATTCGTAATTGTGTCTCCACGGAGCAATATCAGGTATCTCAATCCCAGTGTCTCTGCCTTGCGTTGCGGGCGTCTTATCGTAGGGACGGCATCCTTGTGGTTGACTTTGTCCGAAATAAAGAGCGATCTGGGTTCTTCACCGAACTCACAGGTTAGAAGTTGCTGTTTGAATCGCTAAAGATGATTGTTGTCCAAGCTTAGAGAGTTTGTTTGAGATTCATACCTGCATATTGGATTGCTCGTTCACACTCAATTGCCGTATATGTCTGTTCAAGATGACGAAAACCGCTCCGATTCTTCCGCAAGCAAAGAATAGCTCGATAATCTCTCGTCATCTCCTGAAAACACCGCCACTCGGTCACCATTCTGAATACCCAAACGGAGGAGCCCTTTAGCGACATCCTCCGTCCGCCACTGAAGGGCGCGAAAAGTGAGACGAGCATCAGTCTAGGGAATGATAACTGCAGGTCGAGAATCATGGCTTTCAGCTTGTTTGTCCACCAATTGAGCGAACGTCCAATTTCGGAAGGGTGGTGTGGATGGTCCTTTAACCAAAGATAGTGACGCAGAGCCTTCCACCATTTTCCCACTCCCTCTAGCTGATTCCCCTATTCCGCTGGCGCCCATAGATAGATGCATACGAGCTCTCAACGCAAGGAGACCATGCGAGGGAAGGCTTTCTCAAAGCATAATTTTGGTGTACTATGACCTACGCCCATGTTAATTATACTTCTTGTATGAGAAACCTTAAATCCGTCCTTGCGTCCAAAAGTACGGAGTCTCTGCTGTCAGCTTTACTTCGGGGTATGCTCCGTGTGATTAGAGCCTTAGAATGACCCTGGACTGGCTAGGCGGGGGTTCCATGTCGATCCAGTGACTCGAGACATGACGACTCTCTTCGTTGCCCGTCGTTTCATTTACGACGAGGATCCCATACGATGGGAAACCTCACGCCGTTGATTATGTTGTGTGAGTGATCGAGAAAGGTTCCGAGGAAATGGAACGCAACCGAGTTGCCAATTCTGGCCATATCTTTATGTGATTTCAAGACCCATCATTTCAAACTATCAACAGCCGGCATGGTATCTGAAATGCCACAAAGGGAAAACATGAACCAGCTGTATAGTCAATGGAGTGCAAACGGTGATAAGATGTGTGTGGTAGATCTTTGCAAAGCCTTTAGAATCCAATGGTTTTCGTTCGCTCCACCATATGCCACGTGGAGTGCTTAAAGCAAGGATCGCATAAGATTATCGTTGCAGGTGTCTTATGCTAATAGCGAAACGTTGTAATGTGTGGAGTACAGTGTAAGCAAATGTCCTACCTGAAGAAATAATGGTACCTGGACCATTGCCCTTGCGTAAGATGCAACCACGTCGCTGGCGAAGCACAGTAACTTGTCGAAGGCGGACTGCGTTCAGCGCAGTCGATCTGGACAAAGTGGTGTAGTTGACGCATCTCTACTTGAGATCATGTCCCTGCTAGCTTGTCCGCAATGCCGGCCATTCGTCGCTTAGCCTACGATTCTGGCAAGGCTGTCGGGCTAGGGAGGCTCAAGGGCTTAAGTGACTAAGCAGGGGGCTACGGGCGTCACGCCTGTAAATCTTACCTTTTCATATTCTCACTTACGCTCTATGAAGGTTGAAAGTGACTTCACTAGCCTCCAACCATAATTCAGACGTCGAACGATGCTCTAGGGTTCAAAATGATATTCCTGGGCATTCAAAGAAAAGTCTCGAATGAGCAATTTCTTTGGGGTTGGCAGCTGCCATAGTTCGGACGTCGTGATATCAGTGGCCTGGGGAGAATTCGGTGGGGGAGTCCAACCTCAGGCCTTTTAAGTCAGCATCCTTTGCGCTAGATTGAATATCCCTTCGCGGAAAATGCCCACAGAAGGCACGGGTCTTTCTTTCCAGGTCATTTGCTTCTCCAAGGCCTCCTGATTGTTTGGACTCACGGCGTAACCCAATTCCCCGGGCCTGCCAGCACCGTGGGTCCGGATATCAGCGCCCTCTCAGCTTTTTCCAAGAGTCTAGATTATCTCTAGTCTGCTGATAAGGCTGGATCCATGACTTCTGGCCAAAGAGATGACAATCGACAAGAAGCTTTTCTTCGGGAATGCTGATCAACCCAAGAACATGTCGACAAAACGAAGAACGGACAAATCCCGTTAAAAGGGCCTAAAATGGCAGGCAAGCATCGGTAGTCTTCAGTGGTAGGTGGGGAGGCTCCAAGATGACGAAATAGGCATTTTGTCAGGGTGATACGCTCTCAGATTCTTGATATAAAGGGGTTGAGAGACCTTGGTGTAACCGGTGTAATAGATCTAGTCGCTCACGAATACACGTTCCAGGAAGATGGCCATGGCAACAATCCTGGCCCAACTGCGGCTTCTTCCAATCATGGTTCTGTTGACAGTGTTATTCTTTGCCGCCAGCCTCATATATCGATTGTTCTTCTCACCACTGTCGAAGATCCCGGGACCCAAGATTACCGCAGTGACAATGCTATGGCTCATGTATCACGAATTCAAGGGTGACCGAACCATTCAAATCGACAAGCTGCACGGCCAATATGGCCCTGTGGTCCGAATCTCACCGGAGGAGGTGTCCTTTAACAATGACGATGCTCTCAAGGAGATCTACGGCATCAAATCGACTTTCTCCAAGAGCGACTTCTACAACTTGTTCGTCTACTACAATGAGCGCAATACATTTACCAGCCTTGACAAACAGAATGTAGGCTCTTTCTCGCTGATGGGAAGGTCTCAAATTGTGAAGTCTGATAAGTCCGGAAACCTAGCATGCTGCCAAAAAGCGACTGGTAGCCGACCGATACACGAAGAGCTACGTGATGCAGCCGGCTGTGTCGGACAAGATCCGCGATCACGCGGCTGCCTTCATGAGGCAGGTTTCTCTGCAGCGGCTCGTTGTCGACGTCTATGCCTGGCTCCACTACTACGCACTCGAGTAAGCAAAATCCTCCCCATCATCGTTCGCCAGAATGTTGAAATTCCACTTCAGTGTCATCACCAATCATCTCTATGGCGCATACGGAACGCGCACGCTCTCCCAGCCTGATCATCGGGGCCTGGTGTATGACCTCTCCGGCCAAAAGCACCGCACACGTCTTTACATGCTACACTACTTTGGTGGGTTGATGGCATTGATCTCCACACTTCAGAACTTGGCCAGAGTCGTCGGTGGGAAAGCTTCGGACTTTCATGTCCGAGGAAGTCGACTCAACGCATACGGCAAGGACAGCGTGAGTGGATTCCGCCGTGACCAAGTGGACAAGGACACCGTCTCCACGTGCTCCAAGCTCCTCCGAGAGATTCCCGACAACGAGAACCAAGTCGCGGCCGAGTGTATGGACCACCTCGTTGCCGCTGTCGACACGACAGGGGATGCCATGTGCATCACCATGTGGCGGATCTCGACGCCGGAATATGCGCATGTGCAAGACCGGCTCTTCGAAGAGCTGAAGACCGTGGAAGCACACTTCGACCCGGTCACCCAGACGGCGCCGATCAGTGTGCTGGAGAAACTCCCATATCTCGATGCCGTGGTGCGCGAGGGCATGCGCTGGCGCCCGCCGGTGCCATTGACGCTGTTCCGCATCGTCCCACGCGGCGGACACAAGATCTGTGGCTATCAAGTCCCCGCCGGCACCGTGGTAGGTTGCCAGGCGTACAGCCTGCATCGGATCCCAGAGGTGTTTCCGGACCCGGACCGCTTTGCGCCAGAGAGGTGGATGACAGAGGACCAGGCGCAGCTGGCGAGTATGCGGGCACATTTCTGGCCGTTCAGCTCTGGCGGACGCGCATGTTTGGGCCAAAAGTAAGTTCCCGTCTTCATGTGACTGATAAACTAACTCTTGATCAACCCATATCAGCATCGCGATGGTCGAGATGAAAACGATCCTGGCCGCAGTATACATGCATTATCGGACGAAAGCGACGCCGGCGTGCACGGAAGAGAGTATGCGCATGGACGACCAGTTAACATCGGGTGTTCCGTACGCGTTAAGTTGTCCGTTGGAATTCATTCCGAGATAGACGCCAGAAGGCGAGAGTTGAATTGTGACCTTCGGAGGATGGCGTGTTCAGGGTACTTCCTGAGTATGAAGTAGAGGAATTGTATGCCTGAGTAGACAGTCCTGTCTATCACCGTGAGACGTGCAAGTATATTCATGGCTCTATTCTGGCCATCGCATTGTTACACAATTCATCCATCCTTTTCAAGAGACACACAGAACTTCGTTCCGGAGAAGCTGTAGATATATGACCTTTCGGACGCCGTTGTCATGCATAAGAATCCCATCAACCCGACGGCTCATAATGACGTTCTAGCCCAGCCCAAACCAATGCTATGCAAATGCGTATCGACCGCACGAAATATGACAACAGGAAAAGTTCAGTTCATCCTCAACGCCCCTTTGACTCTGCGTATTACGGGCCGATATGGACAAATTCGGACCGGCCATCCTGACCGTGCTTGCGAGCGAGGTTCTCGAATCCACTACCCCATCCTTTCATTTCTCGCGTATCTGTCTGGAAAGGAGATACGTCATCAGGCTTTCCGGTACGAAATTTTGCGTTGAGCGCCATCTTCCGCCGTTTTTCTTCTTTCTCTTGAGCTCTGAGCATACTGACCGGAAATTGGGCCCTGATTAGCTCCGCCTTTTTCAATTCGATCTTCTGTCTTCTCGAAAGCCCACCTTCCTCTCGTGACTTTGTGAGTCTCTTCTGATTCATCTCGACATCCTCCAGAAACTTGGTTCTCTGGCTCAGGGCGGTGAGGTCGAGGCCCTCACTATCTGAATCCTCGCCGGAAGCATCCATCGGAGGTTTGTTTTGGCTTTCATCCAGTTTCTTTTGTCTCCGCGCCTGCTGGACCTCTTCGGGGATTCCCGCAGGGTTGATCAGTTTGCCCAAGAATGCGGACAACTTGCGCTTTTGCTCCCAACACTCCTTCACCAGGCCTTGTTCCAGAGGGCCCAAACCATCGTCCTCCAATCGCTCATTGATCATCAGAATCTTATCGTAAGCACTGATGTGAGTTCGCAAAAATTCCGCCAACTCTTCCATGTCTTCATTCACAACATAAGGGGTAATTTGGCGTTTCGCCAGCAACATCGCGACCCTCACCGTGCGGGCTCCCAATCTAGCTTGTGCGTCGAGTTCGTTTAAATGGAGCTTGATCAGTTGCTTGACGTTGAGCAAATGCGGGGACAGCCTCTTTAGGGCTCTCAGAGTGTTGTTCTTGTGGGGATCACGCTCAAAGTCCAAGTCGCCATCTTTGGTCTTTTCCAAACTAGTTCCGTCCAGACCTTTGGTTGTGGACATCGCTAATTCAAGATACTTTGTAAGAACTTTGGGTGAGAGCCGAAGTCTTTGTCCTTGATGTTCCTCCGCCTCAGCTTTGCCTGTGACTTCAGCCTGTTCCCTGCCTGTACTCTCGGCCCATCCTTGCATCATATCTAGCAGACGATTGGCAATATCGAACACGTTGGGATTTTTCTTGTCTCGCAGACAAGTACTCATAGCTATGACGAACGTGGCCCGACTCATCACTTGGCCCTGAACCTCCTCGGACCATGGTTCGCGAAGCAAGTTCAGAACTGTCTGACTAGAACGTGAAACACGGAGAAGACGCAAGTAGGCCGTAATGTTTTGGTAATCTGGTTTAATCCTGTAAGGTCCGTCGGGGGAGGTGAGCAATTCCCAATACTTTTTGCCTTCCGATAGTTGTCGGAGTGCCGTCGTTGTTTCCAGAAGCATGGAAAGGGTGTTCCTACCCGGTACGGCATATATTGAGCTTTTTGAAGTCGCCAGTTGATTTGGAGGTGGCATGAGGCTCGTAAACGTCGTGGCAGGAACTCCAGATTGGGAGGGAGCATGATCTGGTAGATTGTTCAGTGTATCTTCCGGATCTTCTGTATGATCGGGCTTCATCGAAGACAAATTTCGAGGAAATCTCTGTATGTTCATGGTCTGTTGAACTAAGTTAAGGACATCCTCGTGGGTTTTGGCGTCGTCGGAAAGCATCAGCAATCTCCCCATTGCGCAGACAAGGGCCTCATCAAGTTGGAGATCGCCTTTCCTCCATTTCGTCGTGATATCAACCCACAATTTCCGTGCATCATCGATTGCTTGATTGAAAAGAACCTGTGGGTTATATCCGGGTTTGTTGCGGTTACTCAGCTCTACAGCCCTAGCCTGAACCTCGGCGCTGATGGCTTGTAGGATCGTAGTGAAAGTGATGTGGTCAGGGGCGCCGGGCCCATGGTCGGGAAGTCGTCCGGCAATTGCCCAGAGGGTTTCGATATCATTCGCCCTTGCGCAAACGCTAAGAATAGCGTTCGTATGGATGGTAGTTGCCGTAACAGCAGAGTTCGCAGCGAAGATGGAGTTGTAAACATCTACTGCTTGCTTGACGGCGTTTGGCTTCTTCACATTGTCTCGATAACCTCGCAACATGATGGTATAAGTATGAGAGTCGGGTTTGTGACCTCGCTTTTTCATCTGCAATTTGGATCAGAAAAGATTCCGACTTGGAAAGCAATGGCAACAATACGTACCTCGTGATAGACTTTCCAGGCTTTTGACGGGCTTCCCTGGCTCATCAGCCAATCCATGATGTGATTCCAACTGACAACATTGTCAACGGGCATGCCATCACGAGCTTTTTCACTTGCGCGAACCAAGCTCAAAGCAGCCTCAAATTCGGAGTTCCTTAATTTCTCCACCACCGACTGGGCTAGCTTCAGCGGATCAACTAAATACTGAGACTCCTTTTCCATGGCTTTCTCAAGATTTGCGCGAGCACTGTCGGTGAGTCGCTGCGTACGGTTTTGTTCTCGTGCATCGGCATCGCGACTGAACCTCTCGGCGGTGAGGCCTGGCTTCTTCAGTTTTGGCACATCAACTGGCTGCTTCTTCAGCAACGCTTTATACAGTAGACGGCGATGGTGACCCAATTGTATGGATCCAAGAGTGGCATGGTTGCGAACGAATGTGGTGGCGGTCAGGATCGGACACGGGAGCGAGGAGCATGTCCAAGGAAGAGAAAGAGGTTGGTTGAAGAAATGCAATCGAAGTTCTCGGCGCAGAGAGGTTGAACAGGTGAGCATTGGGAGGTAGCTTCCGGGAAAACAAGCCAACGAAGAAGATGAAAGGAAAGGAGACATATGGGATTCCTCTCTTTGCCTGCGCTCGAATTCTGGATTGAAGAAGCAATACGAAAAATTTTTCAATTTGGGCAGGTAGACCGAGCTGACAAGTGCGAGACCGCACGTGACGAGTGTCTGCTCAGATATCCTCGGTGAACGATTATCATTCTAACGTACCTGCGCGCGTGGGATTATCCAAAGAACTTTGCATGTATTGACTTAATGATTCTCAGACAATCGGGAAACATTCATTCGAAAGCACAGTAGGAGTATACGAGTGCCGCTTTGATGAACGCTCGTTTACCCATATTGATAGAAGTGACGTCACCGGGACTTTTTCTCATATGGCTGATGTCCCAGGGGCCTTCCTTTCCTCTTAGATGAGGCGCCAGACTTGTGTACCTTTCTCCCATCAGCCATATGCCGTAAGCTGCTGGGCGGGATGCACAAACGCTTCTCTCCATCCTGGTTGCGTATAATTCCCATAGCTCGACCCAGAAAATCTTTCGAGGTCATTGAGTTCGTCCTTCGAAGGTTGACAAATGTTTTCCCGCTGGCCCGGTCCACGTAGTGCAGGTTGGGTCCGCAGTTGGTGATCTCGCACTGCCAGTGGCTCTGACTTCCATTTTCGATGGTTAAATCTTCGCAGTCTAGAGTGATAATCGGGTTCCGAGTGATCCGAGAGTAAAGAAAACGCATCGGCAGATTCCTATAGTACAAGCCCGAGGTCAAGAAGCCATAACTGAAGCCACTTTCCACGGGAGCATGGTCTTACGTTCTGCATTCCACGAATACTTCTTGGGTCGGCACAGCTGCCTACATGTCATGTTGGTCGGAGGATGGGTTTAGAGATATCTCACAGCCGAGGGGAGATTTCATGGCTGCGGTGGCAAGATCCTAGCTTCGATATGGAGGGGGTGCTCTTGCTAGCTGTTCTGGCATTGGTGCGATTATTTAGCGCTGGAACAGACAAGAGACCATTGAACGTGAGATCCATGTTGCCGGTACCTCAAATCAGAAGTTGAGGCAATGCGACACGCATGGGATAGGACATGACATGGCAGAAGAGACAGCGCAGCTAGTTAACATATTTCTGATGTCTTCCCCTCAGGTCGTCGGGGGGCGCGAAGGCGATCAACGCCAACGATGGTCTACGTCAGGTACTTAGGGGCAGGTACCTTAAGTAAGATACCTAAATGCTACGGCGTGACGAGCCCTTACTAGCCCAGACCTCCAAGGCCCGCAGGCGGCTAAATCTAGCTCTGGAGGCTCTTAGGCCCTAGCTTCCACGCCAACTGTACACCACCCGCACTAAACACCCATAGTGCATGGTGAGCTTTGCGCTGTCCACGTCGCTCAGACCGGCGAATTTCTAGCATTTGCCTGGCCACTCCTCGAACTCACCAACTAACAACCTCACCAGTTCGGACGCCATCTTAGTTCCCATGATCTTGTGTAACCGTGCTAAAAGTTTGACATCAACAGCTTTCCCCCCATATTGAACTCCAGGTTTTCCAGAGGAGCCTAGCCTAGCCTAACCAATGTACAGGATCCGAGCGCTTTGCTCGCCACGCCCAACCTTAACTGCACGACCACTGACCGTCTACTCGGTATCATTCAATGTCTGGCACTCTCTGCCTTTCCCTTCCTACTTCCATCGATTTCGCCATAGGATGTATGGCAAAGAACAGTAGGGATCCAGGTCACAAAGTCCACGTTGATTCGAAAGACACTTTTTGCGTTCCTTGTCACCAGCGCAGAGATCGATAAGAGGAAATCATACCATCGCGCAAATCACACAAAATCAAATCAATCGATTGGTTTATCATACACAAATCAGTACTCGGATTTTCGTTGACTTGCCTCATTCTAGTGTTCATGGCAGATCTGGACCCTATTCTAGTAGCTTTGATTCCATCTCGAGCTTCCGTTAGAGTACGACTCGCATCCTGCTTGATTCTGGGTACCATGAATGTACAAAAATTCGACGAAAAACCCTCGCCCTATGGCGATCAAACGATATTGCGGCCCAGCTGGAGCAACACGAGCCAACAAACCAGGCCGTTCGGAATGTCCCCCCCCTCGCTTCTCAGGTCGTCGCAGGCTCTAAAAAAAAAGGCTTGGTGTTGTTTGTGTGCAGAATAAGAATCCTCCACACTCGTGAACTCTCCTGTTCCTCCTCCAAAATTGCATGCTGTCGGTCGATTGATCGTAAATGTTCATCACCTCGAAAACTTTGTGTTGCCGTGCCGGTACCTGTGAGTCCGGCCGCAGAAAAGGAAAAAGAGAGGGGAAAAAGAAAAGAAAAAAAGGAAATTCATGAATGTGCACAGGCATCCGCCAGCCGATTTTGATGACAAACTCCTGCCAGCATATCCGCCCAGTCTTTTGATCTTTCCGGTGTGCTCTCCCATTATCTCCTCCACTCCCACCTAGGGTATCTTGTTAGAAATGTGGCACCGCACCAATGCACGAAAGCAGGCAACTCGATCATGGCCACTACTGCGGCGCTGGCAAATAGTATCCATTCGGAGAGTCGACAACGCACCAACCACCGGTCACCACATTGGCTGGGCCGTCAATCCACCTCTAGTATTGACGCTGTTGGTAGACTTGGCCTTGTTGCGCGTAAGGAGAATTGGGGTAGTTAGCATAATTGCTCATCTGGCCATTTCCTTGTGGGTACACCATGCCGCCTTGGGGTTGACCATATTGTCCTTGTGCATGTCCGTCGGCCGACTGGTAACCAATCGGCGGCAGTGATGGTCGGCTACCGCTTTGTTGATATCCCTGACCGGGCACTTGATGCGCATCGCCAGGCTGTCCGTCCACTTGATTCGCTTGCGCTGCGACTCTCTGCCGCTCTTCCTCAGCTTTGCGAGCATTTTCTTCCTCCTTCTTACGTGCCTTCCACTCCTTGCGGATCTCTTTGAATTCTGTCCCCCAAATCAGTCGAGTCCTTCAAGCCAGAGAATTGCTAGACCACCATCGGGCTAGCTTCACCTTATCCGGCACGACGCGACGCTCGATTCCAAGCATCGTGGACCGAACACATGTCTAACTAATCTCTCAAAGCGACGGACTGCCATAAGAAAACGGTTTCTTACCTTCTGGGGTTCTCTTTGTTCCGTGCGATTGCATTGTGACATGCGCATTCAAATGATTCAATGTCCCATACGCTTTTTCGCAGCCATTCCAGCCACACTTGTACATTCTTTCGATTTCTTCGTATCTTCGTCGTGGCCGCTTATGTTGCTGCGCACCTGGAATAGGGACAAACGAGTACACCTATGTTCGCCACTTGGTTAGTTTCCCCGTCTCAACCAAGGAGAAAGATTCGGATTCATACCTGACCGGTACGTGACGCGGCAGAAGTTTGGGGTGGCCCTTGGACACCTGGTCCTGGGTGCGGATATGTGCCAGGCATGCCATGCTGTGGAGGATAGCCACCCCATTGTTCGTGCGGTGGTCGTTGCTGCATGTACGGCGGATGCTGTGGTTGATAGGCATGCTGCATGTCTTGTCCTTGCGGGTAAGGCGAATAGGGAGGGTAGGTTGGGCTAGCTTGCGAAATCGAAGGATCTATAGGAACGTCCGAGTTAGACCTCACATGGTTGGAATTTGCAGTTGGATTGCCATTGGGTGCTCCATCTGGCAGGGATATTGACGGACTTGTTGGTTGTGCCATGGTTCCTACAGCACCTGGATGGTGAGGCGCGTGAGGGAATTGGCTGTATCGCAGGTGATCTGACGGAAAACCCGACGAGCGCGCAGAGGTAGGCGTCAGACCGTAATCCGACTGAGGAGTGTTATTGCTGGAGATATTTGCTGAGCGTGGGTCTTGGGTGCTGTAAGTCGCAACAGATGATTGATCTAGTAAAAGCGAGTTTCTCAGAGATTGTTCGACCAAAACGAGTTCTGTTTCTTTTTTACGGTGTTGCTAACCTGACTGCGCGTACTCTGATGCACTTCTGTCCATAAAAAGGTGTTCCCACTGCTTCCCACGTGAAGGGACGCGGGTCGATGAACGAGGCTTTGGCGAAAGAAACTCAAGTGGTACTGGTACAGTGTGACCCGAGTGAAAGGTAGTGGATGACAGCAGTCGCTCAAAGGTTAAAACACCTCTAGGCCGGGAGCTCGGCGGACAGGCGACGATGCCACTGAAGCAATTGCTTAGATCGAGAACCGGTGTATTCTTTATTTTGAAGGCTGCCCATGCGAGGGGACCAAGTCACCAGTCACCCTAACGCCTGGCGTGGTGGAGGAGGTAGGAAACGAGTCAGGATAGGTCGGGAAATGAAAGCGCTTTTTGCACGAGGAGAGGGACGCCAGATCGGCCGCCGCCTAGTCGAGCAAAAGGGACGGTTGATCTCGAGCAGGGGGGAGGGTTCGGCCCAAGCGATGGGGCGAAGACGGTTTGAAAGTGATAGTTTTAGCACAGTTCTTGCTGAACTAGCTTGCAAGCTCGGACAAGTCCCAAGAGGAACTGGTTTACAGTACTTTTTCTCGAGACGGAGCGAAACTCAGACCTAATAAAGGAGTAGAGAGAATTCAGGTTGATGACTGGTGAAGGAATGATAGGTCTGCGTTCCGGCCCAAGGGCCCCCCCCCGTTCTATGTAGTAGTTAGTGGCTGACCGACTCTTTTTCTGGCCTTCGATTGCCTTTGGTTATGCGCGTAAAATGCACAGGGTCCCTGCCCCTCCGCTCGAAGTGCACGATCACAGGTGCAGGAGGGTGACTTCTTGTCGGGAGTGGAACCAGGTGGCAGGAGACCCGGCAAGCCCTTCTCCCTACCAATGGAAAGTGTCTCGTGATGGAGAAAAGCGCGTCCAGGACCGCCAGTGCCCTTTGACTTGTTCGTCGTCACGATTCTCCCCTTAGAATTGCACAACCCTTGTCGAGGAGGCAATCCGCACGAGTGGCAGGCAAGTTTATCCCACCGGCAGATGGGCGAGTCCGAGGAAGAAAGAGAGTTTGGAAGTTAATGTGGGGCGGAGGAAATAGTGATAGCGTGGTCCTTGGGGAGCTGACTAGTGATGGCGCGACTGCGGCAGCTAACAAGGGGTGTGTTTTGTTCAAGGAGTCCCACGTCCACCAAATCCTCGGTAAGAGATGGGGAATTTGCCGCTTTGTGCGTTCACACACGCGTACGCGTGATTGGCGGTGTGTCTACGCACAGGCAGTGGCGAAGAGGAAATGATGAAATGGATGGATGTTAAGTTTAAGGTGAGGTAAGAAGTGAGATGTCGTTGGTTGGGTGGTTTATTCTGCGCATCCGTCGGGGTTAGATCGAGGTGCGAGAGGCAGCGAGAGTGCACAAGGCGATGGGGACGGGGATAGAAGCAGAAGCGAGAAGCGAGATGTGCTGCAGTCTCCTCTGACGGGCAAAGCGTTGTCCTTGAGTGAAAAAAAAAAAAAAAGCACACACTCGAGACGGAATCGAGGGGTTTTGGCTCGAGGGGGGCTGATGTACCAATGAGGGCAGTAGGGGAAGATGGAGATGGTTGGTGGATGACCAGGGTGGTATTGATTTTGCATGGGCTGCCAGTAGCTGGGGTGGCTGGAGGGAGGTCGGGAGGCTGGCAAATTTTCAGACCATAGTCTGAGCCAAAGAAAGGTAGGTGGAGTTGTTTTTCTTTGTCGATGAAGGCGAAGGGGGATCCGGTCGGGGTGGGGAGAGGCGAGAAGCTGGAGGTGAGAAGCCAAGAAGGGTTTCCAGAGATGGAATGGAGAAGGGGGGACTGCAGGAGGGAAGAACGTGCAGATCAACTTTTTCCACTTCCAAGTTGATGGGCTCTCGGAATAATGATGACTTCGTGGGGGCAATCTTGAATGAGCAGAGGAGCCTTGAGTGTGAGGGCCTGCAAATTGGCCTCGAGCAAAACCGCCCACTACGGCATGGCCATGCAGGCTTGCAGCATTGTAACTTGGGCTGCCAGTACAACCAGACGCCAGTCCTGATCCGGTCTAGAAAACTCTTGGCATATCTCCCCACGACCGGGGACATTGAAACTCCTTCAGACTGCATCCAATGTCCCATTCCACTCAATAAATCGATGCCTTGCAAACTTGCTGCATCCCTGCGCTCTGAACTTCCTCCTCCCCCCCTCCTGCTTGGGGTCCTTAGGCCATTTTCCCTATCACCTCACCTCGTCTCGACTCCCAGCGCCACGGCCTCTGTTCTGACTGGTTCAGTCATCGAGACCCTCCAGTCGGTGCATCATCGCCTTTTGCCATCTTATGTTGTTGTCCTGCCAGTTTCGTATGTTTTCCGGTAACAGAATGTTTGTGCTATCGCACGGGAATCCCTGTCCAGAACACGCAGATGATCTCACACCACTCTCCAAAAGTCTCCAGAATAAACCCCCGTATCGAGACCAGATGTCACATATTGCGGAAGCATATCCGGCGGTTACTACTACCTTAACCCATCCCCACCCTGTTCACAGACACTCTCTGGTCACTCGACATGCCGTGTTTTCCAGGAGCCTCCCATCGAAAGAAGCCAGGTCCCGCAGTTGTGGACGCTCTGTTATTATTGAAATCAAACAATCCTCCGAGGGAAGATATGACCAGACAGGGGAGAGGTTCCGACGGGGGGAGGTGCATCGCACTCCGTACTCCGAACGCAGTGCGGACACAACCCGAGTCTCAACTGTGGCTGCTATCCAAGGGTTCCACGAGGACGAATATTTAGACCGCTTTCCCCAGGGTGCCACTAGGCCCCGCCCAATCAGGGATCTTGTTCCCGCTACTCCAATTGTGACTAGGGTCCTCTATTTGACTTTCCCGGTCTCCCATCAGTTGCCCTGTCTCCCAATTACCGAATCGAACCTGTGCAGCAAACGAAACCCCTCTGCAGCTGCATGAGTGTCAAAAGGGAAGAAAGAGCTTCTCACACACATTCAAACACACAGAGTCCACGGGACCTTCCGCCACTCATCTAGTTTCCGTGCCTAGGCTTATCCTTGAGACGGAAATATAAGGAAATGTCACATTGAGCATACCTCGCTGCTCGACATGACAGGCTGCTCGTGCCCACACCGGTTCAAATCAACATGCAAGGTGGTCCCGAAATGTCAGAGTCTTGGATCCGAGCATGGATCATGCGCCAGGTTTGACATTGTAGCTTCAGCGCCTCTGCACGATGCATGTTCGTATACGTTACTATGATATTGCTTGTAACCGTCAGGATCGGGGCATGAGCAAGGGATTTATCCAACTCACTTCCATCCTCATATATGGATGACGAAAAGCAGGAAGGATCCCCGGTTTGCCATGTTCGCCTCGTATTCCTATGATCGCTCTTCAACTGCGGCCTTTTCCCAGTTCATTGAATTCATCAACAAATTGGCTCTGGGATTTGGACGACCCTCTGGAGCCTCGCTTGGCGGTATCCGAGATTGTGGGCGAAAGGCACGGTGATTTACCGAGCTTTCATCTTCCCAATTGGCCCCTATTTGACTGATCATGCTCTCAACTTTGTCGATCAAGGTCTCTTTTACTTCGATAAACCTATTTCTTTTCGCGTAGCTCTTCCTCACGCAGGACGCTCCTGATCAAAAGTTGAGATGAAGTCGCAGCCCGGGGGTTGGGATGGTCTTGCACTAAAAATCAAGCTTCTAGTTCGGTGCAGGTACTCCATACCATTCGTAGTCTCGTACTGCTGTCGCAAGTGGTGCAGAATCCTGTCAACCATTGAGATGGCAGGGTGGCCGGTTCACTACCACGAGGATGCGCAATCCTTGATGGCCAGCTAGGGTTTCTTTTTGTTGAAGCCTTGCGCAGCCTTTTCCTCCCTTCTGGCCTCTCCTTCCTTTTAGCGCATCGAGATAGCGTACAAGCCTTGCAGACTTCTCGAAGCCTAGAGCCTCGAAGAGATCTTGAAGGTTTAGCGGCCTCCAGGCTTCATACCGTACTTACAGCCTTATCAGGAGCAATTCTCACCCGTTTACAAGGACTGCCATTGTAGACTCAACCCACCTCTTGTCGAATTTTCGTGTCTGGCATGATAAGTGGTCAAATGTCTTGCCGTGTGTCGTATCCTCGACTCTTTGCTGGTCCAGCTCACACGGCCGAGCGTGAGTCTTTCCCTCTTTCACACTAGCATACACTTTTGGGTCCTTTGGGCCTCGGTGAGGAACCAAAGGATCGCCTCGGTACCCCCAATGAGCAGCTAACAGTCGCTTGGCATGCGGGATTCTTCGGCCCTCGAAGCAGATGGATACCTCCCCAAGCGACCCACGACCCGTTTTTGAGACAATCCCGATTGACACCAACCTCAATAATTTCTAAGCGGGTGACCCTCGCTGAACCCCGTCGAGCAGGGACTGTGATTCTCCGCCTGTGATCCGAGGTGGGTAGGTGGTGTTGCCCTCTGACTCTCTGAGTGGCCTGACCGACGCTCGGGCTTTTCCCATACGGGGCAGCAGAAGAAAATGCAGGTGGCTGCTGGGTAGTTGAGGGCGGGAAATGTATGCAGCAACCTCGAGCCGTTGATGCATTAATGCTATGTCTCCGGAGGAATCACTTACCTCTTGGGTGCTCAATGACACCCCCCAATTCCCGGGACTATGGTTAAGAGCCTCTATGATTCGTGGGCCGTCCCGATCGAGGAGAAATTTTCCTCGCCAAAACTGAAAAAGGCTCTCTGGTTAAGAATAAGGAAATCAATTTGGGTGACCAG